TTGGGAAGGAGACCTGATTTCACTACAGTACTCCTGTTGGTGCACCCTAATTTTCAACCCACTTTTGGCCTTAAGTGTCTTAATAAATCGCGTGTCTGTTGTACAATTAATTGCTTGCTGACTCGAATTTTTTGGATAAAAAATAGACATCTTTTTATTGTAAGGACTTAATCGATCTAGAATTATATTTCCGTAAATAAAGTCATTTTCCGAAAAAACTATTATGTTTGTGCATCCTGGGGATACCCTAATTTGATAAGTCTGTGTAATATATACCCAAACCGAAAACGGAAGGGAAAATACGATTAGGGGACGAGTCTCGTACCCCGTTCCTCCAGACTCGAGATGGACAGGTTATAGTACAGAGTTGGACCCCGATTGTAGTAAGTATAACATTTTGTAGGGTCACGTGTACAGAGCGCCTTGACGGTAAGTGGATTAGTCACGAATAACATTTTTTATGGGCTTGTTGATGAAGCGACATATGTACAGGTTCCTACATGTTTACAATGACACATTGTAGTTGATAGGTTGACTGCTCTATAGGATGGATTGGATTATGGTGTGTGTGCGAACTGATAAACATTACCATAGCTTAAGCTATATTTATAAATGGTACTGAATGGTGCAATTCACTTTTGTGTCTTTTGTACAATTACTACTGGTATGCTCATCTGGTGGATTGTAGCTACTGAAGTGTGCTGCTTACCTTCTACGTCATCAAAACTGGTGACACTATGATAATAAAAAGATAAATAAATAAAAAATAAGAAAAGAAACACTGCATTTATTATCACACGTGATGATACATACGAACTGTACATGCTTGTATATAGTGTATATTATATGGTGTATTGTAACCACTTACATACATCGTATATATATATATATAATGTACTTACATAGATACGTGTATGTATCAAACGCTACAGCAATTTATGGATCTCTAAACATTTTAAGGACTTTCAGACTGCCTGATGATTTGTTAACAAATCAAGGATATAAATATACTTTTATTAACGTAACGAAAACAGTAGAAACTACAGACACATTTAATTGTGTTTATTTGTATTTGTTTTTAGTGAAATATATATTTTTTAACTGAAAACGTACAAATCACGTAGCGAGATGACTATGTGTAGTATACAGACCTTTGTCTATTAGCTAGAAGGACATAGTTCAAAAAGTCCAGTAGTTCAATATGTACATCAGCAGTTCTTCATTTCATATCACTCGTACAGTTTTATGTACACACTAAAGTAAAAAGATGGATTATGAAACAAGCGGATAGTTTATATCAATCTACTTCAGTCCATTATATAGTCCAGCAGCCAAATAAGTATATCTTATCTGGGGGAATGTGTACCAATGGTTTTGTATGAGGATAGATATGTCGGGTTACACTTCTACTTTTAACAAGATTTAACTTGAGTTACCTCCCCTGTTAAGTTTCGAATTCATATTTAAAAAAAAAAAATAAATAATGAAAATAATTGAATACATGTATTTCTAAAAAAGAGGGTAGATAGGTAAGGATATTTAAAAATAATGTTTGTTTGCTTTTGATATTGGCATCTGTAGTAAACCATATCGATTAGTGAATTATTTATACTCAAGTGTCAGGTGTGTATAAGTGTTTGTATGTGCAAATGGTGAGATATTTATCAATCTGAATATCACAATCTGTTGTTTGACTTTTGAAAATGATAGTCTGCCCTGTACTATCACGTGGGGAGTTTCAATGAAATTCCATCACACAGTGTAGCACTTATGGTGTGTTGGACAGATTGATAGACAGACAAGATATTTCCTGTACACACTCTTCCCAACTTGTTAACAGAGGATTTAAAAGAAAATGAAATACACCTTTTTTTACCAAACGTTGGAAAATACGGCAAGTAACAAGAAGTATGGCACTGTAAGGTCTAAAGTTCAAGAGATATGGGTAGAGGTAAGGGTGGCACTATAAGGTCTCCGGTTCATGGCACTATAAGTTCGCAGGTTCCAGAAGCATTGACAGAGAGACAGAGAGTAGGGGTGGCACTATAAGGTCACAGGTTCCAGAAGCATTGACATAGAGTAAGGATGGCACTATAAGTTCGCAGGTTCCAGAAGCATTGACAGAGAGACAGAGAGTAGGGGTGGCACTATAAGGTCACAGGTTCCAGAAGCATTGACAGAGAGACAGAGAGTAGGGGTGGCACTATAAGGTCACAGGTTCCAGAAGCATTGACAGAGAGTAAGGATGGCACTATAAGGTCACAGGTTCCAGAAGCATTGACAGAGAGTAAAGGTTGCACAATAAGGTCTCAGGTTCATGGCACTATAAGGTCACAGGTTCCAGAAGCATTGACAGAGAGTAAGGATGGCACTATAAGGTCTCAGGTTCCAGAAGCATTGACAGAGAGACAGAGAGTAGGGGTGGCACTATAAGGTCACAGGTTCCAGAAGCATTGACAGAGAGTAAAGGTTGCACAATAAGGTCTCAGGTTCATGGCACTATCAGGTCACAGGTTCCAGAAGCATTGACAGAGAGTAAGGATGGCACGTTAAGTTCGCAGGTTCCAGAAGCATTGACAGAGAGTAAGGGTTGCACTTTAAGGGTTCACACTATAAGGTCTCAGGTTCCAGGAGCATTGACAGAGAGTAAGGATGGCACTATAAGTTCTCAGGTTCCAGGAGCATTGATAGAGTTCTCTATTGGGCTCCTCTTTAATGTCTCAGGTTCATGGCACTATAAGGTCGCAGGTTCCAGAAGCATTGACAGAGAGTAAGGGTTGCACTTTAAGTTCTCAGGTTCATGGCACTATAAGGTAACAGGTTCCAGGAGCGTTGACAGAGAGTAAGGATGGCACTATAAGGTCTCAGGTTCCAGAAGCATTGATAGAGGGTAAGGATGGCACTATAAGGTCTCAGGTTCATGGCACTATAAGGTCACAGGTTCCAGAAGCATTGACAGAGAGTAAGGATGGCACTATAAGTTCGCAGGTTCCAGAAGCATTGACAGAGAGTAAGGATGGCACTATAAGGTCTCAGGTTCCAGAAGCATTGACAGAGAGACAGAGAGTAGGGGTGGCACTATAAGGTCACAGGTTCCAGAAGCATTGACAGAGAGTAAAGGTTGCACTTTAAGGTCTCAGGTTCATGGCACTATAAGGTCACAGGTTCCAGAAGCATTGACAGAGAGTAAGGATGGCACTATAAGTTCGCAGGTTCCAGAAGCATTGACAGAGAGTAAGGGTTGCACTATAAGGTCTCAGGTTCATGGCACTATAAGGTCACAGGTTCCAGAAGCATTGACAGAGAGTAAGGATGGCACTATAAGGTCTCAGGTTCCAGAAGCATTGACAGAGAGACAGAGAGTAGGGGTGGCACTATAAGGTCTCAGGTTCCAGAAGCATTGACAGAGAGTAAGGGTGGCACTCTAATGATCAAGACACAATGAGTTCACTCGATCCAGAAGCATTGACAGAGAGTAAGGATGGCATTATAAGTTCTCAGGTTCCAGAAGCACGACAGACAGACAGAGAGTAAGAGAGTAAGGATGAGAGTAAGGATGGCACTATGAGGTCTCAGGTTCCAGAAGCAGCAGTGACAGAGAGTAAGGGTGGCACTATAAGGTCTCAGGTTCCAGAAGCACTGACAGAGAGTAAGGATGGCACTATAAGGTCTCAGGTTCCAGAAGCACTGACAGAGAGTAAGGATGGCACTATAAGTTCTCAGGTTCCAGAAGCATTGACAGAGAGTAAGGGTTGCACTATAAGGTCTCAGGTTCATGGCACTATAAGGTCACAGGTTCCAGAAGCATTGACAGAGAGTAAGGATGGCACTATAAGGTCTCAGGTTCCAGAAGCATTGACAGAGAGACAGAGAGTAGGGGTGGCACTATAAGGTCTCAGGTTCCAGAAGCATTGACAGAGAGTAAGGGTGGCACTATAAGGTCTCAGGTTCCAGAAGCACTGACAGAGAGTAAGGATGGCATTATAAGTTCTCAGGTTCCAGAAGCACGACAGACAGACAGAGAGTAAGAGAGTAAGGATGGCACTATGAGGTCTCAGGTTCCAGAAGCACGACAGACTGACAGAGAGTAAGGGTGGCACTATAAGGTCTCAGGTTCCAGAAGCACTGACAGAGAGTAAGGATGGCACTATAAGTTCTCAGGTTCCAGAAGCACGACAGACAGACAGAGAGTAAGAGAGTAAGGATGGCACTATTAGGTCTCAGGTTCCAGAAGCACGACAGACAGACAGAGAGTAAGGGTGGCACTATAAGGTCTCAGGTTCCAGAAGCATTGACAGAGAGTAAGGGTGGCACTATAAGGTCTCAGGTTCCAGAAGCACTGACAGAGAGTAAGGATGGCACTATAAGTTCTCAGGTTCCAGAAGCACGACAGACAGACAGAGAGTAAGAGAGTAAGGATGGCACTATTAGGTCTCAGGTTCCAGAAGCACGACAGACAGACAGAGAGTAAGGGTGGCACTATAAGGTCTCAGGTTCCAGAAGCACTGACAGAGAGTAAGGGTGGCACTAGAAGGTCTCAGGTTTCCTATTTAGCGTTTGATGCCTTCTTCTACAATTATATTTCATTTCGAAAAGCTATTTCAAATAACGAAAAGACATTTAGAGGTTTCATTTATAAGACAGTTTAACAAGATATCAAACAACTTTATAGATAGCGATATCAAAATCACTATCACGAGGTAAAATTAAAATGGATTACTGGTGCTGTAAAAAAAATCTCCTTCTATAAATATATTTTTCTTTGTTTGTAAATTTCTGAGATTTCTGTTACGTTCATGGAAAACTTTATCAAGATGTAAACGCCGACAAAGTTATTCAATGGAAACTTTGCAAGGACGATCTTACATTGATCACTTCTTACAAGGTAATAAATCAAATAACTTAAAGCCTTTATTGAAATATTATTTCAATTTTAGAATAAGCTCTTTCTTTTTAAAATAATTTGTATAATATATTATATTATATTATATTTTTAGACAATGACTAGTCGTGCTCCGCTGTTGGTGGCGGCGATAGATTTCGGCACTACTTTTTCTGGTTACGCCTTCTCCTTCCGCCACGATTACGAAAGAGACCCACTAAAGATATCGTGTAACAACTGGGTCGCAGGTGGGCGTGGCTTGGTATCACTTAAAACACCATCAACCATACTTCTTGATTCAGACAGGAAGTTTCACTCCTTTGGATACGAAGCTGAAAATAAATATTCAGAGTTGACTGAAGAAGACGACCATCATGATTGGCTGTACTTCAAACGATTCAAGATGTTACTACATAACAATAGAGTGTGTATAGTAACATGAATATACATGTAAACATATATATAAACCAACACACGTTTCATAGGAAATGGCTTGGCGTTTAAGGTATCGGCGTGGAAATTGTCATTTCCTCATTTATTTTATTGGTCAACTAAATATCCGTGTAGTAATTGTCAGAAAATGTTATTTTTGTAAAGCTGCATTTTAGCAGTGATTTGGTGAATAAACATTTATGTTTTAGTTTTCAAATAATGTTATCTGTCGTTTAGAAGTTTTATTTCAGAAACTCTTGTCATATTTTGGTTGTCGGATTCGTGCTAAGTGATATCGTGTTTAAAGAAGCTTCGTTAAGAAAAATGCGCCTTAAGCGAAGCTTTAAATACATTTGGAAACTGTTTGTATGTTTCATCTTGATAGGTGTAATTCTGATCTCGGAACGTAATATGCAGTTTATTTGTTGATAAAGAAGGTTAGGAAGACAACAGATAATTACACACTATCAGTAATAATTAGCATAAATTTGTCAATTCGTCTAATTAAATCTTACATCAAATGCTGACTGTTTGCCCTCAATAGGATCTCCGCCGATCAACTAAGATAAAAGACATCAACGGTAAGTCTATGTCGGCCATGGTGATTTTCTCGATGGCGATTCGATACCTCCGGGAACACCTTCTGGAGACAATTCATCTTCAAATGGATGGTTTCAGTGAAGACATGATTGGCTGGGTACTCACCGTACCTGCAATCTGGGACGATGGCGCTAAACAATTCATGCGTGAAGCAGCCAAGGACGTAAGTACTACATATGACCAAAGGTAAACATAACCATCACTATGGCAACTACTGCCTTAGATAAGAGATACTTTTTTCGCGTCGTGATGTTTGTTCTTATTTCTGTGACAGGTAAGACTGTCCGGAATGATTAAGTCTTAACTCTTCACATGCCCACACCTTACATTGGAATAATGAATGTTGAAATGAACATTTCCTAACACGTGTTTTCATGTTTTACGAGAGGAAGGTTTCATGTTGTCGATATTTAAATCTTTTCTCCTTCATTTGATATGATTTAGTGACTGTGTATTGTACCGATGATTGTAGGCTGGTATTGATAACGACAAGCTGACATTGGCCTTAGAACCCGAGGCAGCATCACTGTACTGTATGAAGCAGCCGATGACCAAGCTCACGACGGTCAACCAAAAAACATCTTTCGTGGAATTTGAGGTCGGAACCAAATACATGGTTATCGACATTGGAGGTAATAAGGCGTTACAAGAGTTACCTCCCTTGGTCCACATTTGTCAACAACACAGTGTGCATTCTTGTTATCTCCTGTAATAGATATAGATACCCTGAATCCTCGATACTCAAGGGGTTACGTTCACTCTTGCTCCCTATACCCTGGAACATTTCATTGCAAAACTGGAGGTTACTTGTGCGACACCTTTTGGATAAGACAAGAAAACTGGTTTGATTCTTTGATGTATAGTTAGTCAAAGGAGCCTATACATTTGTGATTGGTCAGTTTCTTTTTTCTCCTAAAACTCCTTGTGCCTTCAGTTTTGCCTTTGCCTGGAAAAGGGATGCAGTGAGCATAAGTGATTTTAATCCCCGAAATATTGAGGATGAGAAACACTGTTGCAGTGAACATTTTACAGAAAACGGTGTTTACACCAATCGTGATTATTAACTAGTTTGAATATTTTAGAATTTATAAAAAAGCAATATACTATTGAAGACGATTTTATCTAAGTGATTACAATAAACGATCAACTCGAAATGACTATTGTTACTTCGGGCTTATATTATCACCCTTACACCGAGGTCGGTATTGGCTTCTAAATGTTAAGGTTTTGGTAGTGTTGAAAGGCATCAGTAAGCCCCTTTATAAGTGTACTAGGGTACTGAGGGTTTCTGTGGTTGTAATATATTACTTCCGTTAGTCTTTATAAATGATATTTCAGGAAAAAGTATGTTTTATTCAAACCTTTTGGAATTCGACCATTTTTATCAAATCTCATCTTATCCAATCTAATGTTAAGGTTTTAGTGCCAATGTTGGCAGACATTTTTTCCTGTTCAAATATCGGTATATCAATAAATAGATTGCAGTTGGAGAATCCACTCCCAATCGTTAGTTTGAGGTTTAGTGATGAACGATATTAGGGGAGTACTCTTGTTTTATCTGTGTTTTATTCCAGGTGGAACAGTTGACATCACTATTCACGAAATAATCTCCAGTGGAAAAATCCGTGAGATACAAGCCGCCAGCGGTGGATCGTTTGGCGGAACAAATGTGGATAGTAAGTTCAATCAATTTCTTGTGAAACTTTTCGGAAACGATGTGCTTACCGAACTTAAGGCGAAATGCATGCAAGATTATCTTGACTTATTCCGCGATTTTGAAACAAAGAAAAGAACACTGAAACCGAACTCTGAGGGCCGTATGGTCTTCCGAATACCTTTCTTATTAATGCAAATTTTCAAGGCAACAACTGACGAGGAATTAGACAAATCTCTGTTGAATTCTCCCTTCAGTGACACTGTTTCCATTCGCGGAGACAAGATATTGGTTGACATATTAATATGTAAGGAGTTTTTCAGGGAAGCTTGTGATGGTATAACCGAAAGTGCAGAACAAGCCCTGGAAACTGCCAAAGAAGTAAACATTTCTAAGATCCTACTTGTTGGTGGTTTTTCCGAGTCACAAATGATACAGCATGCGATCAGACACAAATTCCCAGGGAAAACTGTTGTGTCACCAGGAGATGCCGGACTAGCTGTACTCAAAGGCGCAGTCCTCTTTGGACATGAACCTGACACTATAAAATCAAGAGTGATGAAGTATTCGTATGGTGTAGAGGTGAATCAACATTACGATCCTGACATCCATCCCGATGTCTACAAGTTCTGGCAAGCAAATAAAAGCAGATGGATGTGCCGTTACTGCTTTGATCCGTTCGTTAAAGCTGGGGATGAAGTTGAGGTCGGTAGCACCGTGACAAATACCTATGGGCCAGAGGAAAAAGACTCAATCGAAGGCATCGGTATTTTTGCTTCAACAAAGGTTCCAAGGTTTATCAAGGATCCTTCTTGCTTCAGACTCGGTGCCATGTACATAAAGATGCCGAATGGAGGTTGGCCATTGCATGCCAGCCTCAAAGTGGAGATGAAATTCGGAGGGACGGAGTTCACTGTTACCATAACAGATGAGTGGTTTGGAGACTCATACTCAGATTCGTTTGACTTCATAAAGTAATGATATATGAACCGATGAAAGGTGTTTGTTATGTTACTATTTATGTGTGAATTGTAAACTTTTTCAAAGGAACCATTCTAGAAGCTGTTGCTTATAGTGCCGATACTGCTTTCTTTAAATGACTGTTCCCGTTCTTAACCCTGCTAATAGTTCGATTATGACATGAGAAATATTGCAAGCAGTTCAGACGTTGATGTTCATTGAATCATATCCAATGGAAAGGAAGGAAGGTCTTCTTAAAACGTGAGATATCCGGATTGTTCACTCAGAAATTAAACGAAGCAGGGAATATTATCAGTTTACGAATACTTTCATTAAAGCATTCTAGCCAGGTGTCCCTTGTGCTTTTTGGCACGTCATCCAGGTAACATTGAAACAAAATAAACACTCAATATATACTGGCCGGTGGATGTGGCGTTTGGCATGCAAACGATTCATATCGGAACTATTAGAAACCGGATATTGTGAGCGTTGTGAGGAATGTATGTGTAGTTTCAATGGTTGTTATACTTAATTTCTAAAATTATTTCGACCCGTTCAATTATCGTATTGATGTGACATATCTCTGTATTTATTAAAAATATAATGCACTGTTACTAGTGTACTGAAGAACTGAAAGCATTGGATGAATATTAAGATCGATGATATATATCTACTACTAATTGCTATCACGGTGAAACGCTTGATGGCTTTTCAAAAATGTGAAAAGTTCATCTTGATTAATTTATATTGTCTTACATGAGTATATATAAACATGTAAAAATGGGAAGGACAAAATCGAACGTAGACAACCATTTTGTTATACCATTTCTGAAGTGACATCATTGTTCATAGTATGACATAAACATCGGTTTCTGACTGATGCAGATAATGAAAAACTCAACAAAGTATATCAATTCAAATATAACAACATACTACACGAGGGAATTCACTTGATAACTGATGACTTTATGATAAATAGAGGTCACACAACGAGTGGTCATTGTATATTGAATATATCCATCTCGAGTTAGTTATTTTTCAAAAGTTAAAAAAAACAAGAGCTTTTGCAAGTGTTTTTTGTAACTTTTGAAAAATAACTAACGAGAGTTCAATAAATTCAATATACAATGACCACGAGTGTGTGTGACCTGTTTCTACAACAATACAAAACATTGGCCGGGGCGATCAAATTGACATATTTTCTCACGATTGTTTTGTTTACGTTTTCGTTTGATGAGCACGAATATGACCCGTAGTGAGTGTTGCTAATTAATATGCAAAAATGACAAAACACAAAAATGTATTCAACTAATCTAATTTATTACAATGATAACGAAAATGTTATGTTTAGTAATGCTCATAATATATAGGTGTATGATAAAATGTTCTTTATCACAAATTTTATCATGAACTATTTTCTTTGCGAACTTAGTTTGTTTAAGTCAAGTGATGCGTTTAGAGTTTATACCACGTGTGGTAAAAACAAAATGGTATTCAGCAGTTGCATTAATTATCCAATGCCCTTGGAGTTGAATAACACGGTGTATTCTGGTAGAAATTTGCAGAAATCATTATCTAACTGCCTATCAGTGATCTTATACCCTGCACTGTGATAGTCTTGTATTAACTACCTACATTGTAATCTACATATGCAACAGTATGATTGTATTTAAACGATATGGTATTTCAGCATATAACTGTTGCCTACTTAATACCTAGGTCAACATATTAGATATATGTTGTGTTGTCTAAGTAACAATCATTGATAACTTATCAAATATTTTTGTAGCTTATATACATTCTTAAGGGCGTCTTCGAACCTGTTTAGCTGTGACATACTTAATAAGGTGCATTTATGGTGTGTGTATGTCATTTACGTAGCTATACTTGAAATCTACAATTATATCAGTTGTTTCATCGCTTGATGGCCCTAATGGCCTTTTATGTGTTGACGGGCCGTTAAGAGTGTAATAATAATAACAATAAATAATAATAATAAAAACATCAGTTCCAGTATATACCTTATACTGATCTTGTATGTATATATATATAATGAAATATATGTTACGATTGTTATAATTTGTAATACTTTAATTTTGAATAATAAAAATGTGAGAATTAAGAAAGCCACACAGTTAATAACCATTAGGCTTGTTATACCCTCGACAAGGTCATGTAATCGTAAACCACTCTATAGGGTGGCGCAATGTTTGTATAACCCTATATGATCAGTTAATGAGACTATTCACAACATCCATTAGCGTCATGTTTGTATTTCAGCAGACGAGGCGTGATGGGACAATCCATATCAAACAACAGATACAGGAAATATATATAGACCAAGTTCGAAGTTCTAGAACCGACGTGTGTTTTTTTCATATCAACATCTAAAATACAAGCTCATTCGTTATATCATTTATAGTCATTTTCATGTCAGATCAATAAATATTAGCACAAATCTGGTAACATATTGAAATTCAAGGTTTTCAAATTTTTGTTATGGACCTGATGCTACGATGGCCGACAAGAGCATGACAAAATAATATGAATTTTCATATCTTTTTGTACGAAATAAAAGTGAACCATGGTACAAAAATATACGAAAAAAAGTGTAAAGACGTAGAAGAGCAAGGGAAAGTGGTAATAAGACGCTATGTCCAGAATAACAACGAATTGATAATCCCTAAAAACAACGTCAGAACAAAACGCGAATTTTATTAGTCATGTCCGATGAAAAATGCGTTAGAATTGTGTCAGTATCGGGGTTCTCATGGGGTCCCATAATTACACATTAGATGGAAGTATGAAAATGTAGTTTGGTAATCAAAATAGCAGACATTCCATACGATAAAATGTATCTATGTGTGATGACAGCCTTATCAAGGTGTAGATTTGTCATACTTGGTCATATTTCATTCTATTGGTTTCACATGTTTCTGTACCACGGCTGTTTTCGGCCGTAATTCTGGTACAGAACCATAAAAAAGGAATGAGATTATTTTTTCCTGCTTTGAAATCATTTTGTTCCAACGATGATACACAAAAAAGTGAATTTTCACTTCTTTTTGAACCATGAAAATTCATTTCATTTTGTCAGGCTCTTGTCTGCAATCGTATAATGCTCTGGAGATATTTTAATAAATGCACTGATGTTTACCACGTACAAAGCAGTCCCACGTTATAGTACCAGGCAGTCCTACATTATAGTACCAGGCTAGTTATGACAATTCTGTGAAGATCGAAGATCCGTTTTTGTAATGTAATTTTAATACAACTAGTATTCAAGGCAATTAATACATAAAAATCAAATAGGTTCAAAGTCCATATTCAAGACTATTATCCTAATACCACAATTTCGGTGATAGATGACAGCTTACATAATAGGCATTAGCGAAATGCAGAAAGATGAAGACTGGGAAAGTTTTACATGATATCAATGTGATATGGTTTTTTCATGTACATTATGTACATTGTATCGTAGAGAGCAGAGTCTGTTTTCGACGGCTTTATTCGTAGTAACAAAACCTCAACGTTATCCGTTGTATCTTCGACAAAAGCAAAGCTTCCATCAAACTCGTTGTCATTGTAATAATCTTCAGTGTCGAAGTGGATGTACTCCTCCCTGACCGTCATGCCCATGACACGCTGGCAGTTCTCCTTAAAAGGTAAAAAGGCATTGTCGTCGGAAACAAGATGGGGACGGAGGACAAACCGTCGTTCCTATTCACAACAAGGCGGAATTCGATTATCAAATATATTTATTATATATGCTCATTGTGATCATCGAATCTTATTTCCTAGGCCTATAAGTTTCTGATCGACTTTTTTCATAAAGACATTTCGATGAAGCATTCGTTCAGACGCCATGACGGGCTTCAACATTATGTTGATTTTCTGAAAATTGCATTTTCTCAGTGATAGAATGTTTTATATCAAAACAAACGTTCAGTATTGTAATATCAACAGTCTAAGCACATCTAACACGCATACCGAAAGCCTTATTTGTTCAAACTTCCAAAATTACAATTTATTTCTATTCTTTTTGCGCAAAATGTCAAATGTCGTTTGAAGTACAAAGACATAAACAAATATTGGTTAGATAAAAAGTTAAAGTTATACTGTAAAAGGCGCAGGAATATGTACATTCATTTTCACTAAACTCAGGAAAAGTGATCCACTAAGCAAGAGTTCACGTTTTTCTGTGCCCTGATTTTTGTCGATACTTGTAACAGCGAATTCGTCCTGATTGTAAACACCAATAAAATCAATATTTTAACCATTCATACACAAAATATTACATACAATAGTTCATTGATTTTTTTACTCGCGATCGTTTGGACTCCAATAAACATTCTCACAGTTCTTTGTCACACGGTCAGCCTGTCTCCTGTTCGTGTGTTGTAGATTACACATAGATACACTTTTTAAATCACGGCATCGCAAAGGGTTAACATGGAATTGTCAATTTCGATTATAGACTTTATCTTCTGGACAGAGACTAACAATGTACCACTGCTGACGACACTAATACTATATCCATTGCTTGCTGGAGTCTTCAGCCGAGTGTTAACTCCGAACTTCAGTCCATGTACATAGATTAAATATTACGTGATCGTATTCACTAAAGAAACTCTGTATGTTGTCAATAACAAAGTACCAGGGATTCAGCAGTATATAGATAAACGTATAGTCTATTAAAAGATTGTGCTTAAGACTGTGTCAAAATCAAACACACCACATAAAGTTAACTGCGCATTACCATGAACACAGAAGTCGTGAAGTTTACCGTGCATATCGTGCCATTTGTATATATGTTTTTGAAAATATTTTTTTCACTTTATAGTAGTAAAGTAAACCAATAACTTCAATTGCAACTTTAATCTAATTTCTTTACGAACATATAATTCTACAATTATTACAATGATTGTAACAATAATTCATGGAAAGTTTTATTTATTTCTACCCCAGACTTCCAAAGTTATACTCATGAGAAGAACATTGGCAACAAAAAACATTAAAATTGCTAACACTGAAAACTGAACAGTGTTATTACAGAATGTTGTCAACATCAAATTTGGCTTTTACAGCTCTAACGTTATAAGAGATAATTAAAAACGAATCAATGAATCAAGGCAAGATATTAACAGTTTTAATTCAGTTATCAGTCGTTATGGACGTTAAATAAATAATTATTTGGAAACAAAGACATTATCATAACAATACTATTGTCAGGAATATCATAGTGGGGTATCTCCGACAATAATGTAAAATATGAAAATTCATAAAAAGAGTGCTGGAACAGCATGACATACACAATGTACCATAAGCAATGATTGTCATTGATGGCATGGTTAGATATGCTGATTCTGAACAAGGTTTTGCAAAAACATTAATATAAAATCGATAATTCCCCTTCAATGAAAGTTATTTTAAATGTGGTTCCATCTTTTAATTCTTTTCTCATTAATTATATATTCTTTGGAAAGAAGATGTGTTGGTCATGGCACATACTTGAATAATTACGATGTGCACCACTGCAGATTGTAACAATTCCACTTGTGGTATACAGTGTTATACAGTGTATGTAGGGCCCTAAATTCCATTTTGTCATTTAAAGCCGTAAGACATATTCTCTCATATAATTCATTCATACCAGAATTATTGTTTCACAACACGAGACAGATATATATATTCGCGTTGATACTTTCATAAGTCTAGACAGATATGTAGTTAGGTTACCTTTATCAACGCTAGACAGATAGATACTATAGTTACTAGTACACTTCACTTTCATTATGTTTTAAGGTGTCCTCATACTCGCTCTCTGCACCACTGAGATATTTCCTGGGTTTCAATAGGAAAACTGACCATTTACAGACTGAAGATCACAAAGGAGCGACATCAGACTTCAAAACCAAGCCATTATGCGATCTCGAGATTCGTTTGATGGATCAAACTAGTATTTTAGTTTCTAGAGAACTATAGTGAGCGTAACCGCTGGAGTATCGTTGATGGTTTCTAAGTTACCAAACGGATAATAATACAACTCTTCTGTTCAAACACAACAAACACAAGATTGGTCAAAAGCTTTATGCAGTTTTTTAAACTCCACATACAGTTGATTCTATTTCTTGAATAAACGGTATCACAATAATAACATAACCCTGGTTTGATAGTATTAAGAATGTTAGAAATACGTTTTGAGAAAAACGTTTTGTAGAACAACCAGACGAGGCAGCAATGAAATGCTATTAATATAGATTTTGGGGTAGTTTAGGATGAATAGGCAATCTAAGTGAATCTTAACCTGACGCTTGATTAACTATGATTTCTTCTTTAGAAGGACCGGATAATGTGTCGGCAGAATTTCTTTCGTTATGCAGCAAGCCTTGTTTTTTCTGTATTCAGGAAATCTGATAATGTCTACAGTCAATTTTTGGATGCTTTATCTGCAGGCACAATAACACACACAATGCATGAAGTGTGAACTGAACAACAGTATCAACGAACACAGGCTGGAAATTTGTGTACATTTTTTATTTCAAGTTGACAATTCTTTTTTAACATGTGGATTCAGTTCAATCTGAAATTGAATCTAAAGCAGCATGCTTTCGTGTCGTCCGTTCTCTGATATAATTTTGCTCTGAATCCATTATTGCCTTGAAATAGCAGAGAAAATCTGCTTTAAACCATATCATTCGTAGTAACAAAACCTCAAGTCAACGTAATCCGTTGTTACTATGACAAAAGCAAAGCTGCCATAAAACTCATCTGAATTCTGATCATCTTTAGTGTCAAAGTGAATGTACTCCTCTGTGACCGTCATGTCCATGACCTGTTGGCACTCGCCCCAAAAGCGGTACAGATAAAAAGGCATAGTCGTCGGCAGCTTGATTGGGGCACTTGACAAACCGTCGTTCCTAGTAACAAAGAAGAAGGTAGTGTAAAACATACTAATAATTTGTTTCTTGTAAGAGAATGGCTTGTTTTCACAGAGATTTCATCTGAACAAATTGCATAAAAGTAACTGCCGATTAGAAATGGAACATTATTTCTTAACTTCTTACATAATGGTTAGAATTTTGCCATATATGGTAAATATGGTAAAGTTGTTCCTTGCATATCATCTAATTGTTTGTCTAACGTAGGCACGATACGCTGTTAATCATATATAGAATCATACAACGAAAAAATCAATAAATAATTCAAACAATCATATATAACTATTTCTAGTTATAATTGTTATGCAGATATTCGTACCAATTTTATTAAGGCATAATATTTTGATAAGTCTAGTATGTTTAAATGAATTCAGTTACTCAAAGTCGAAAATATAAAAGAACTCAATAATATCTAACATCAGCAAATAAACATAGGAAAAACTTCTTGCCACAATTTAATTAGTATTTTCGTGGGCTGGTGTTGCAACTACGACAAGCTATTGCGAATTAAATTATGGGATTAATCGCAGAGAACTATTCCATCTCAAACTGTTTACACGAAATTCCTTAAATATCAACCGTAGAAATAAATACCTGCAGCAGAAGTAGAAATGGTAGATATAGTCCCCTTCTTCATGAAGCCCGATATGTCCTGGATAAAAATCTATTAAATAAGAAAATAAAATGATGATGATGATGATGATGATGATGATGATGATGATGATGATGATGATGATGATGATGAAGATGGAAATAAATGCCCCACGAAATTTAAGAAAACAATAAGATAAACAAATAAAAATAAATAAGATGGGATCTTTGTTTTACATAACATTAATATGCATGGAATACGAATACATCTTATCAATAAATGTAAGGTAATTATTCAATAGAATAATGTAATAACATTGTTTGAGTTAAGAAATATGCTGTAGGCACGTCGATACAGTGATGTTACGCTTTTGAAACTATAAGAGATAAATAACATTTGAAATATTTCCATGATTGCTAGGAACGTTTGAAATATGTTATTATTTGTGAATAGATACCTGGCGGACATTTTACCGCTATAATACAGTAATCACCAGCTGGCCAATCATAGGTTCCAAATGCTGAAATTTTCTGGCACCCAGGTATATTTACGACGTTGTTTGATACGTTCCCTCCTTGTTGTTCTATCAGTATTAGACAAACGAATGGTATTTTATGCGAGGTTTAATGGCTGAAATAAGAGAGAATAAAAAACCCCAAGAAACAAGAAAATACCAACATATTAAGATAATCTTTACCCAACCCCGAATTCAATGAACAAGTGCAAAATGTTAACACGGAGACTACTGAAAAAGGACAAGAGAGAAAGACTAAGAGAGAATAGGACCAGGTGTTCCGGAAGTGTAAGCGTCGTCTGCTTCTTCGATGACATTCACCATGTAAATCATAGTCAATACGAGGTAAGACGTTAATAGTGTTAGTGGATGTGTTAAAACAAATGTGGACTTCTTTAATCATTTATAAAAGGACATACCAAATAGCCATCAATACAGATGCATAATATATGTTCCATCTAGTAGAAGCGATAAACTATTCGAGTGAGGCAGAGTATGTTAATGATAATTATACCTGATGGTACCAGATATAAATAACTCCATGACATGATTTATATCATTATAAAAGAAATCAAGAAAATACCAACATGGCAACATAATCATAATTCAAACTCAAATTCCATGAAACGAGGGCAAAATATGAACAAAGAAAGGTTTACAAGGAGACTCCTGAAAGAGTACAAGGAGAAAAAGACCAGGTGTTCCGGAAGAGTTAGTGTTTTCTGCTTTATCGACGACACCCGCCATGTAAATAGGTATTAATTATGTATCTGCAATAATAACAATACGCTGGAGATCGCTGTATACAATCGAGAAATGGAGGTTGGAATATTTTGTGATGTTATTTTATTCATTTGGTGGGTAGTATTCAGATTATGTACATATGTTTAATAATAACAGTTAAATAACCAAAATACTGATTTTTGTTTAGTTTAATTATAAATCCTCTTACTGTTAAACTAATGAGACAATGAATCGTTACTTACTCTGTATATGATTTCCTACACTGTAGTTGGTGTTTCCTCCGATCTGCATGTACAGAGTGGACGAGTCACTGAGCCAGTCTTCTGGACAGTCGTAGGTTGGCATTGAAAGGCTAAATATACCTTTTGGCCATACTGGACAGCGGGTATTAGAAATAAGCAGGGTGTAAATAAAATGAATAGAACTTACTGTTTTATGTGTTGTGTACTCTATTCGCAACCAGCATCTGTGCGTTGATCTGTTTTTGACCATTTACATTATTCGGAATACACTTAACAATACATATTTATAGTTTGTTTTATTTAATGTAAATAAAGAGTAATAATGAAAATATATCGGTCAGTACTTTTTACATTTTTTAAAAAAAATTTCGCACTGATACATTCATCTTGGAAATAACTAGTATTTCCGAAATAAAGATTTACCGACGTCAAAATGTTTAAGTACCATGGGTTTTTTTTGTTCGGCGACTGGAAATAACATTTTTGAGATTTACACCATCTATATAAACGAATGGATGTAAATATCTGCCGTATATAATAATGATGAAAAAACCCTAATTCTAATCTGCTGATTGTTACAATAGTTATGCTACAGTTTATTTCTATATCAATGTATGGGAGTTTATGTCAATGTAGGTGATTATGTTGTTGTCGCAGGGTTAAGCTGGCGAATACATGTTGTTTTGAGTATGGACGCATTGTAATTATGACAAAATATGACAACGTCAAGGCGTCACAGGTCCCTTATCATATTATTACGTCACAATAGAGATAAGATGATTTTCTACAATAGTAATCGTGTTAAAATCATGATTAACCCGATAAAACGATATCGAATTGTTTTAAATACAATTATTAATTTTAAACTTAAACTCGCCATTGAAAATTTCATGAAGGTCAAATGAAATGAAACCTTTGTTAAGACCATATATGTCGTTGAGTAATTAACTTACATAACTATCTTAATCGATAAAATATATATATTTTATATCGGCCGATTCATCATGATTCCTTCCCCCCTTTTGTGTTTTCCAGGTAGTGACGATAATCCTTAGCAGACAACTAGCTACGCTACTGATTCATATCATTAAATTAATATCATTTTTGCATTATCAAAGTACTATTGTTCCACATGAACTCAAACTTGCAAATTCCGATATTTACTGTAATGAAGGGTATTGAAGATGCATGATTATGATTAGAATATTGATACTTAGTATTTAGATACCTTCAGTCATGAAATGAAAGAATGTACAACCAGGATTAAAATTCATTGCCCTGCAATCTGCCACGTCATTTACATTCTCTCGATACAACAGCTCACAAACAGATCCCGCACTGGCATCACATATGTTCAAACCCACACATTTCGATGTGCTGGAAATGTCTTTTTCATTCGACTCAACGCAATATCGGGCGCACTGGATCTTGGACAGGCTATTGTTGAATAAAATCCCTATGTCTTGGTATCCCAATGTAACATCAAACGTGGAAAGTCCGCATGCACTCTCAAATCTGAAGTTTTCAGCGGAAAACACGGAAGAAAAATGCAACCATTGAATAGTGAAGTGGATTAAAATATGCAACATATCCATTTTTCTGCTATGCTTTCTGAAACAACCGATTTAAGGGTAACGTATTCAATCCTAGAGTCGGATGACAAACTTAATAATTTGTCGTTGTAGGTATCACTTCAGATAAAAAGTGTTTAAATGACTTTCCAGAATGATATTATACATGTATTTCTCTTATTTCCCTTTGGGTTTATACATCCTATTTCGATATTGGTGGTGGTTAATAGGATCATAAAATATTTCGCTTATGTGATGAATATTTAATGTCATATTCACTTTTCATTGTAGCACATGCCTTAATAGGCAGTTCTTAATTATTTGGTTTTTCTATTTAGAAAACTAATCGATAATTGATATAAAAACGAATCTAGCTTGACATTTACAGGACATAACTTATTTATTGTTTATCTGTTGATCACTGAACAGGTCCGCTTGTTTTCGAAGTTGTCCTTTATTTCATCCTATGTTTATTCCCCTGCGAGACCCAATTCAACTAGCCAGGGTATATGGAATATGTTGGTAGTGTACATCAGTGCTAAGTAACGAGCGATGTGGCTATATTAACTCATTGTATTTGTGCATATAGTATATATAAAAATAATTACCAATGTCAATATCAGTTATTAATTGCCAAAAGCCTTTTTCCCTCATGAGAAATGTTTTGATGGGGATATTAGTAAATCGACGGAAATATGCCTGATTAATTAGTCAAATAGAATACTCTTTGTATCAACATATGTGGGACAACGCCAAGAAAGAAATGAGAACAAGGATGCAATATAGGGCTTGTAGGGCGTGGTCATAACAACGTCATTATTGTGGACATGTCATTAATTTCTTAGCCACTTCCCAGATTGCCCCAGCTAAAGGCCTGTATGACCAATCAACAAACTGATTTTCTAGATTTTCAATCGTAACATTTAATAGATGCATACATACATACATACATACATACATACATACATACATACATACATACATACATACATACATACATACATACATACATACATACATACATACATATTGTATACAAATAACTTAATCAGATTACAAACAAGTACGACCACAGAAGACGGTAGATACCACAGTTGACACGTGGTATGATACAATGTATATGGTAGTTATTACGTGCTATTTTCGATTATTTTCACGAGAATATGTTGTTACAAGGCAGAATGATGGATAATTTAGCATTTTCATTGCACGATGCCATGTCTGTGATAGTGACATCATAAAGGAAAGTAAAAACAAAGAAATTGATTTACATTGATGACATTCAGATGTTATTGGATTGCATTGGTTACCTGTCGTCTGATTGGCTATGAGACTGAGAGATGAATCTTTTTTTAAAATACTCCGGAGAAATCGAATCATTTTAGAACAGGTTATTCAACGGTAACAACACATTGGAAATTGATCAATGATGATCCTCATCATCTACCACAATCAACCATCCCAACAATCCGGAACACCCAGCATCCTTAGCACCCTTCACCAACAACTCCCAATTATCTTCACCACCTACAACATTTAACCATCATTTTCGCTCACCAAGCCCAACGATCTCCATTAACCAGCTCAATCAACCATCCCCATCACCCAAATCCATTACCCACCAGCGCCTTGAAAATAAATATGAGAACTTCATGTTCAGTGACGAATGGTTCGATGGTTGATGGTATGTGCTATATATAAAAGAATAGACATATTATGATTCTTTTCTGTGAATATGTCATAATAGATATTATTTTCAAACATGTAGTTGATAAATTTTATCTCAAACAGGAGTTTTTTTTTTATTTTAGCAGGAAATAATTGTAAACATAAATACGTCCTCGAGGAAGATGTCTAGTGCTAACGGTGATAGATACCAAATTTAGAATTACATCATGTAATACCAGCGGGATTTCCTTTACGAAATTATCAATGGAAGTTAACGTTGCATGCATTTTTATTTCAATTACAACATTGATAAAACGTGCAATACAACAAATAACAAACATAGTCACTTTTGTTTCATATATATATATATACATCTCTGTCACCAATCAAAACTTTTGATATAACTTTATTTTTCTCAAAAGATACTAACGCACAAAACCTGTGAAAAATATGACTATATACCACATGGCATGTAGTCAAATGTGAAAGTGTTCAGAATTACTCAGAAACTTATATTTATGAGGCAGAAAAGAATAAATTACAACTGACTACAATTGTCACTGTCGTATATTGACCATGGAACTGAAGCTGAAGCCATAACTGATAGGCGGGAGTAAATGCCATTTTATTATAATACATAAGTGTAAAGACAACATTTATGATGGACACACTTTCAATAGAAATATTTACATGACATAAACTACATACTAGCTACGGCATAGGTTAGCGTTTTTCAAATCCGTTCAAAAACAGTTTTCCTTGATTGTTACAGAGGTTACACAAAACATGGCTGTGGTATATGGTATTTCTGTTAACCTTGAATTCGTTGCATTTTCAAAAGTTACAAGAAAACACAAACTTAAGCGACGGAAAATCATTAAAGAGAGCGGAAGAAATGTCATATTTTACAACCACGAGTTACCATGACTTGTTTCTTCCACTACAAAACTCTCTCCCGTAATTTACCTGTTCTGAACCCCTTTGTGTTTTGTTTACGTTATCAGTTAGGGCGTAATGTAATGTAATGTAAATCCGCTAATTAATGTATGAAACAGAAATACAGAAATATTTTTGCTAAAATAATCATGATGACTTATTTTTCGTTCTAATTTCCATGAGTGAATATGCGTCCTTTTGGTTCGGCCAATCATAATTTGTCAAATTGTTATACCACATGTGAGATATCACGTATGTTTACAACAGCTGAAAGAATAAGTTAATGACACCCATCTACTGTTAAAAAAAAAAAATACAATCCTGATATGTATGATATTGTCTCAAATATAAAGTCACAATTAAAGAGATATTCCACACAAGTTGCAAAATTTCTGACTGCTTTGTACGTTTTAATAATTCACTCTAATGTCAGCGTCAATCTTAGAAGGCGAAATTCGTAGTGCATCTGGAAATCCGTAACTGAAAGGTCACTGGATCACTGATGTTAAGCAGTGTATGGGGTTAATACCCAAGCGCGTATGCTTTTCACTAAAATTCCTACCGAGGTTACAATTTTATTACTTCATTACTTTTATGTCCGGTTGATTTTATAATCTACACAACTATTTCATCCTTTTTGGCTTATAGCAAAACAAACCTGTTATAATATAACCAGCGCCACAGGGACGTTTGTAATTTTTTGTAAATTAATTACCATAGGTTTGTTTAAATGATAAATTGAAGCGTACGACTTCCATAAGAATATAAGCAGATGCTTTTTGTACAGTTTCCTTCAAAGGAATCCCATGAAATCCTAAATTGTGCAGAATATTTCTTTAAATATTTCATAATCATGAGAATTTTAGACTCTCAGACATGCATTTATGTTGTCATTACTATCATGCTGATGTATCAGCCCTCTTCCTTGAGTAACATTATACGTCACCTGTTCCATTTCACAAATAAAATCCCTATTTTTTTTTAATGTCATGAGTCCTTGCCTTTAACTTTTTAGAAAGATTCATCATCAAATCACAGAAAAACTCAAGTAGCTCCATGATGGTCCCAATACTCGCTCCGATAAATAACCCCATATATCCTCCAACGGCAGCTGAAAGAAATTCAAACACAACGTGAAACTCCAAAATACAAAGTCCCTATATTCTTTGAAACAAACTGCGATAGAAAATATTTGAATAAGACCAGGTGTCCGGAAGAGTAGGCATCTTCTACTTCATCGACGACACCCGCCATATATAAACCTTCCATGGAAGTAACATTGTTAGAAATTGCTGATGTAGAAAAGTCTGTAGTGTTTTTGATTTCCAAACCTGGTGGGTTTATACGATGAACGTGGTCAATGAATTTATGAAACGAAAACCTCATACTCTTCAGACAGTAAGTTACGAAAGAAAATAGTGTTAAGTATTCTCCATTCTCCGATGTAAACTATAAAATGCACCATAAATTATGCAACTTAGGCACAAGTAGGTATAGCATGTTCTGTACTAAAACTAGATTATTTAGAATTAGTTGAAAATAACAAATTCCAGTGTGTCTATCAACATATCAGCTCTTTATCACTTATTTATCTTCGATAAGCACGTGGTCATTATTAACAGAAAACCAACATTAAAAAAAACTTACCTACGAGATCCGCTTCTGTAAATTCTAATATCTGCTTCCTCTGTATGTACATGTCACTTTTCATGAAGACCTCAAACATCAGCCCATTGCTCCTAATTCAAAAAGAAGCAAACTTTACCAAATATTGATCCATCTCTTCACATTGATTTTATTGGCTGATCGATACCACACAGGTAAGGATGATATATTTAGGCCTGACAGTATAACTGACGGAAATGGATCTTTTATTATTATTATTTTTCATTTTCACGGAAACTTACTTCATGTATTCCTCTGAAACTTGGATATCCGGAAATGTGGTTGTCAGATACCCAGGGTATGGAAATGAACCATAGGATACTTCCGGTAAATATGAGATTTCTTCACAGGGATTACCGCATTCACACGAACTGTTGCTGATAAAGGAAACTGAACAGATTTTTGTATGAATGCTCATTACCAGTTATGATGGATCGTTCAAATAATGATAATCCTAGTAATAATGATATTGTTTTTCTATTCTAATGCATTATTTATTGACTATTTATAATTTCAATTTATCACGCCTTCGATATAACAAAACTTCCTTTGGATAATTATTACAAAATTTAGACACCCGCGTGAAGCACATCACATTTCAAATTTTGAAATGGTTGGAATGGTTGAAAATTAAACATTGTAGATAACGACGATTTGATAATTATGAACAATTAATTTGGTAATTTTTCTTTCATGCAGTTTCTTGGATTGGTATTAAAATGATGTATAAAAAGGGTAAAAAGGTCATACCTTCAGCCGCCTCAAAACAATTAATCCTTTGGTCAATATTGCATACTGGAATGTCTCCTGAAATATAGTAAATATTTCAATTAAATTGTATGAAATATTGCATAGCATCGTCGTTGAACAATTCTATGATTACCGTGATATCACTCGTGTTTTAAATGTTTTAGCTAGAATTGTTTTGTAATTGTCTCTTTTGCATCTGAAAATGTTCATTTCCCAAATTTGACCACAATTGTTAACAAAAATGCAGCAGAATTTGTAAATATATCTTATTAATATGAAATATCGATACCAATGGATTGTACATTGGTCACTTGATTTAAAACTGTACAATAATGAAGCTTATTAATCGGGGGAAAAGTTACACAACTCTTTGTCAAATCTCTTTTACCTTACACAGAAATAAAATCATGTCATAAAATTTTCAGTGAATAAAATATTGATTGCGAATTATATATGCTGTGCGAAAACTATAAACAATTGAATTTGCTGGCAAATATATTTTGAGAAAAGTTGCATGTATCTCTTTTTTTTTCCCCACCGCGTTATATCAACATGTTTTAAGTGTTCTGATGAAATATCGGAGCAGCTTTTGCTTTACATTATATAGCAACTTTTAGTCACAAATTTCATGTTTTTGATTATTTAAATTCAGTGGTAAACGTTTGTGCCAGCGCTGAAACATTTAGATACAGACTGCCTTGCAGTAGATTCAATACAGAAAAAACATCATAGATTATGTACATATCCATGTTCATCCAATTCACTATAAATATGAAGGGAGAGGCTACACTCAAAAGGTACACATTTGGTAAAACATGATAAATAAACATTTGACTTTTGTGTATGAATATGTAAGAACATTAGATATAAAACGTTTTGAAGACTCATTTCTGCGATAAAATCTCTTTAGTTATTCAGGTACTGAGAGTAATGTTCAGTACTTCAGTGCTGTAAGTTCTTCATTGTTTTATACCTGTGATTGTATTGATATGATATCTCTCAGAGAATCATACCTGGCATGAACACATCTCTACAACCACAGATTTCTTGCACAAACGCAGTGAAACAGTCCGTAACACAGGCGCCATAGCTGTACTTGGAGATGTATTTGAGCTGATGAACATAGTCACTTGCCGTGGTGTCTACACAGAAGTCATCACCAAAGGCAGGAATGGGAAATCGCTGAAAAGATGTCTATAAGGTTTCCATTATCAGAGGGTATCATCATGTAACATATGACACAGACAATGGCACATGTATAAAGAAGTATTTCGTTTGATTCATTAGTTTTTAACCTTACCGCAAAAGCAGTAGTAATAACAATCTTTTGTTTTGAAAACCTTTCATCACTTAGTTTTAGATAACTAACTTTCGTCATAGTGTACGCGTTAGTACCTAGAAATAGAAGTATATATAGCAAGGGGAAAGCAGCATCCATTTTCAAGAATGTGAAAGGAAAATATTAATCAATGTGTTAACAATAATGTGTTTGGTCCTTAATACTGTGAAATAACATTGATGCATTTACACGTCAGTCCGTTAAGAACTAAGCTGATAACCACGTACATCTGTAGAATTCTGATACTAGTATTTGGATTTTATTATTAGATATATGATTGGTACGTTTAAGGACCTGATGGAACCTACCTGGTATTTCGTCACAGCAATGATACTTGCCGTACCAGGAGAGAGCGCGAAGCCATGTTCTTCAACATCCGGTTCCTCATTATGTGTGTGCAGCAGCACCTGTTTGGGTTTGTTTGGAATCACTTATCAATGTATGTCAATGTATAATTATTTATGTAAATATAGATACACATATCACTATCATCTTAAACACAAAAAGCAGCATGCTTTAACTGAAAAACTCTCTGATGATGCGCAATTATTTCAATACAATATCGATGAATTTATTCGGCAAACTTTTATGACCAAGGAATATTCCGATGTTCAAAATGTCATTTATTCTAGGTTAGTGATGGAATGGCATATGGTTTGAATTTAGAAATTTACAATCCGATACAGTGTCGCAAAATAAACTACATCATAATTTATTTTGTCATCTAGGAATCGAAAGTAATACTAGATTCCTGATGTGAGGAAGTTTAGGAGTCGACTGCGGAACATCAAATTTGTTCGGTTTAAATCAATGTCGAAATCTGAATGAAGAAACGCCATACTAAAATCAAACAAATTTCGTAATATTTCTTATCTAATAATTTATAGAAAATCTCAAATACGTGTGTATATTCTGAATCATGATGGTTCGATTGAGGTTACTTACCCTAAAGCCTGCACCAGCTCGAGAGGTGACAAGATAATCCGAGATGTTAGAATGAAGTATTACTACAAGGCCATTTCCGCTTCCAACGCCACCACTTTCCGAAAGCACCATGCCCTTATGGGTAGCACATATCCCCGCACTTGTCACCCGTTGAATGAAGATTGACGAACACGGGATTGGTTTTTTCTCCCATGTACACAGCAAAAACATATCAAACACAGAGTGGTTATAGAATATATCAGAAACGTTTATACTTCTTAACCAATTCACATCAAGGTGATTAAAATAGGATTTGTTTGTTGCGCTCTCCATGTATGTCTTGGTAAGGACCTCTTGGACTTGTGGATTCTGGACATTACTTTTTTTGACATTGTTGACATCGCAAATCGTAAGAGATGGGAAAACTCTATCTTCGTTAAGAGCTGAATGTTCATTGAGTATAGTTTCCCTCTGCAGATATCGAGATATTTGAGTGTAACACTGCCACAGCAGTAATCCGAACATGGCGGCAAGGAAGACGTACCAGACGAACCTAGAATGGACAATCGCATTTTATACAGCCCTGTTTCTACACAATGTATTCACTAACCACTATCATTTGTATTTCATGCATGAGTATGAATGTTTATTGAAATGGAAATCAAAAACAATTTTGATGTAATGTGGTATTTTATTTCAAAATTTACAAATGAGATTGTATTACGTTTAGCTATCAAACATACAGCTGGAACCACGTTCGTTTTCTATATAATATAAAAAAATTCACAGATATTAATGAGATGTTATTAAGATGTTAATGAGGCTAAACATTGCATAAATAACGAATAGTAAAGGAACGTGAATTCACAAACAGAGTTATATGACACACTGATTCAAAAAGAGCGGCTAATTATAGAGTGCGCCTTTCTCTTTATTTCTTCCAATGGGAGATAACAATTTTTATCTATAAGCAATTAAACCTCTTTCCTGTCTTTTTCCAACATTAAGAAAAATATGTTAAAAATGAAATTGAACGTCAAAATTTATACAAGGTCCGTTTCTGCATACTCCTACATGACGCTAAAAAATTTGATTTCGACTTTAATGGCAGGTCAGCTCAAAAGAAAGCAATGTGAATTTTCGGGGAAACATACGATTGAAAGGGCATGAGTCTAGCGAACATGTTCATTAGATTGTTTCTTAAATCAAGTGATATTTAGTATTGTTTTAACAGTTGTGATGAACGTTTCTGCTTTTAATTTACTGAAAGTGATCAAGATACTACTTACATTTATATTAATACGTGACATGCGAAGCCAAAAATAAAACAAAAAACGTGAAATTGAAAAGTAATTGTTAATGTTATAGATATATATAAATAAGAATGGGTTACCTCCTCATAAGTGATGACTCGACCTTGGCAGCTCGCGAGAGACAGTGAAGAGTAGTAGATGAAGAATAGTTGTGCCATACATTAAACAATCCATCTTTTATATCTTTGTCATTGTTACATTTGCAACCGGAATCTTCAGGCTTTTCCAATACAGAACTGTCACCAATTTGATGTTTCAAAACCATTTTGTCGATAGAAAAAGTCGACATATCTAAAACGTTACACAAAGAATACAGTTCACCAGGACAGTGATGCTAACGACCCAATCACTTTCCTAACAGGGTTGGTTATACTGTCGCTATCACAGTACGCTGTGTTCAACCGTCAATACCATTACCAGGAATCTCTGGAACTGGGTTACTAACATCTAGTATTGTCAACATTATACATTTGTACAAGCTATAGACTTAATAAATACAATAAGTTATATACATAGCCGACAGGACCTAAAAGCATAGTAAGCAAGACCTTCGTTATTACATAGGCCTAATTTGTCAGGTGAGAAAGCTTTAAAGGGGAAATGCTATCATTTGAATATTTACATCACAAAGCTTCAAACACTTTGTATAAAATGATGATTGATGATAATGATCCTTGTATCGTGTAGTTAGCCAAATGTGTAAACATATTCGGTCAATTATGCAACAAAATGATTGTTCATTACTGGCGTTGATAGGAGTATGTTGGACAAGGCTAGACTTGCTATAGTATGTTGCTATATATAATTAATCGTTGATGTGTAATGCTTTATCAAAGACCATGGGAATACAAAAAAAGACAATAAGAAAAGAGAGGATTGAAACAGTTTTGATAACATCTGATAAACAATTTCCTTCGAAATAAAAAAGAACATTACATAATTTACGCATGTACGTCTGTTGTTTGGAGTGCATACCGCGATAAAGTATAATAAATATATGTTCTAATCAATTTCTAAACTCGAAACAAGAATTAAATATATATATATATAATGAATTCACTATGTGAAATGCATTAACACAATTTCTAAATAAATGTGCAATCTATATTTTGAAATGTTTTCATTATATTTATTTTTATTTAAGAATTAATGATATATTGCAGGGTACTGAAATATTTCATATAGTTGTGTTATATTGATGTTTTCTTAGGTTAGGACATTAGTCTCAATCACTTTCGCGAATACTTTATTTCGCAAACTCACCTCTTCAGACATATTTTAGAAATATATGAATTGACGAACGGTATTCTAGAAATGACTTTAAATTAACAAATGATGGGCTATTAGATATTTGGACTCCGATATCGGTAACTGAATCAGCATGGATGCCATCATGATTATTTCTGTATCTGATTTGGATTGAAATTCGCAATTGACTCTCCTCGCGAAAATAAATCCTACACGAAATATATGTGATTTACAGTCTCACTTTTCTATCTAATATTTGAAATATTTATTTATCGAGTATGACAGGATTTGCACATATCAAAAGTTATTATCTGAGAGCAAACATTGTCTATTCACGACTGTCTAATTGATATATGAACGACTGAGGTTTGTATTTTAATATAAATTTCAATCACTTTCTATGAAAAGCACGATGAAAAGTCTGTCTTGTTCCCAACCATATATTTTCTTTTTATTCAATATTCAAGGGCATGAATTTCAAGAGGGAAGTCGACAAATAACGGATAAACTTACAACACAGAGATGCAGATTGATTGAGAATACGGGAAAGTGTTGAATGCGCTAACATGTCATTGGGGAATATCCATTCGCTTTTGCGATATAAGTTATATGTAACAATGCACGGTCGTTTTAGTGGTAATTTGATGTTGACTTAGACTGACTAGGATTAGGACGACAGTTGTCGTCAATAAAGCGATATTTTCCTGTTGTTAATGGCCATATAGTAAATAGAAAATAAAACAATGGCATAAATTTTGGAAATGCTTTTTGATATTGATAATGGTTTTCAGCGATTCTAAAATGAGGCCGTACCGTACACATAGAGCACCAATTGACATTTTGTCCTGGTCAATCATGATTTCGATATTTGCTCATTCATTGCCATGAACTTTGATATAAAATCCATTATCAATTAAGCTTGTTTACTGGACAGCGGGGGCGTAAGACATCAATGAACCAATCACAGAAAATAATTTAAAGGCAAAGACTACATTACTGATGGGTCAATAGGTAGCACTCTCAGTTTTGTTCATATAACAATGAACAGTTTGTAAATGACTATATTTGGAAACGTAATCCGCTCTCAAAGGTGATCATTGGTGCATTCGGTTAAATGTGTTGTATACTTGACTCGGAAGCCATGTTTAGATTCATATGTTTACATATGCGCTGCCACCAACTATATAAAGATTAAAAGAAAACAAAACGTGCATAAGGCTATGAATACAATAATATTCACATGTCATTTGATAGAATATTTCACACGTAGTAACCTGCAAAACAGAAGGAAGGGGGGACCCCAGAGGATTTCGAATAAGGCATATCATCATCTAGAAATGGATTTTTCCGTATTGCATGTGAATGACCTTCTGACCTTGCTTTTAACTACTCCTACATTTCTTGATTCTCTAAAACTAATATAACCTCAAATCTGTCTGCAATATGACTGAATTGAGCTTTATCTGACCTTGGAACGTTTCTTTCATTGCCTTTTAGTTATCCTTTTCATCTTGTACATTGACTCAGACCGTTCAGAGTGTTTAATATCTCCTCGGACTTATTCTTTGAAAAGTTGGTGATATTCGTTTTCGATATGTATATACATTTATTATAATTAATAACATTATTAACTCCCCTTTTATAATATAACAATCATATTACGTCACAATGTAGGTTACTAAGTAAAGTACAGTGTACATGTAATGTTTATCACCTGAAGATGGCCGCGAGGCCTGAAAACGTTAGTGATATATATTTGTTTGTCATGTTAAGTGATTAATATCTCTCTCTCTCTCTCTCTCTCTCTCTCTCTCTCTCTCTCTCTCTCTCTCTCTCTCTCTCTCTATATATATATATATATATGTGTGTGTGTGTGTGTGTGTGTGTGTGTGTGTGTGTGTGTGTGTGTGTGTGTGTGTGTGTGTGTGTGTGTGTGTGTGTCTTTGCCTTGCTTAAGTGACTGTGGAAAGCTCAATTTAATGGAGCGGATATCATTCTTCATTTGTTGATCTTGAACGTTTTAGTAATTTGATTAGATTACTTATAGGTATACAAAACACCTGAAGATTTCAGTAACAAGTTTTTTTCTCTTTATTGAATAAATGTTAGTCCATGGAAAGTATCCTATATCGCAGTACATGTGCGAAATACTTATGTAGAATACTCTTTTCTGGTCCTGACCTCGTCCTCTATGCAATCGTCGCTAAGGACGGAGCTCAGCGTTCTCTTCATTGTTGATGTAAGTGGTGGTATGTAATCACGGGGAATGAGGAAAGTAGACAGGTTGAACAAATCAAGGAAAATCTTGTATCTGTCACTGAAATAAAAGTAATATGTACAAGGCACGACGAAATTTTTCATAGGTAACAGGTTACAATTCATAAATATTATAATGTAATACTTGTGTCCGAGAGGTAGACCAGTATTGTTCTGTAATCCAGACTTAAGATATTTGTAGATATCTCCAACTTATTACGGGCAGCCAGAGATGTTTATTCGATATTAATAAGTAATTACCGTAGTAACTACAAGCTATTTTTAAGACAACGCTATAAATGCTAAATATTATTCATGATTTCTTTTGACATTACATTTATATTCCTAAAATGTTTTGTTCGAATGAACAAATAGACGCATTGTCATGACCTATATACTATGCATCACAGAATCTGTAGAATACAGACATGTCATGCTAACTTTACTTTTTACTAGATAACTGCATCAAATATAGAAAATGTAATTCATCATTAAAAGATTTTCAACGTTGAACAGGTATGTTTTATCTATTTGATATAATATGAGCCAAAAGACCCCAATCAGATAATGCACATCAATCCTTTCGTAAGTAACACTAAATATGATTACTAAGATATCATGTGTCCCGGTAGCAGGAATGTCACGTGTTCTTGCATGTGACACGATATACGTTCTATATTGTATCCAGTAGACACGTGACGCTGTACCTGATTGTTGAGCGAAGGTAGTGGTATCCAGATGATCCGCCCGTGCCCACTTTACTGCCGATCATTCTCTGTACCATCATCACGTGGTTATCTGCATTAGTTTAAACACTGATTACAATATATGTGATCTATTAAAGATTTCGTAACGAATATGACCTATTTTTTTCATAAATGGTAATACCCTTCCCCAGTTACTAATAAAAGATAAAGTGTTTCGAAAATACACAGATTAGATTTGTAAATAAGCCTCAATTAATTGTTGATTTATTTGCCAACCATTGTATCAATAGCAAAGAAAAACTTCAGAATTAGATTATATTACAGGTAAGTTCATATTCCATGCGTATGAGTTATCGATGATTATATTCATTTTTCTACATTTCTCGGGATTGTAAAAACCGATATACAACTAGATAGCACGTTTCAATACAAATATACATTGAAATGGATTTCATTATTTTTTTTTAATATTCGTACGTTCCCGCTGTAAACATCTCTAGTCTCCAAATATGGGTAGTCGTTTATCCTATATAGTTTCATCTACTTTTCTTGTGGTGGATTGCCAAAAGACATTATGACTCATTTAGACAAAAAATGTTAGCTTTCTGTAGTTCATCTTACATCTCCATTTTGTCATGAGGGAGTCAATGTCCACAAGAAGCGTGAGGAGATGAAACGGTTGGTTGAAACGTGACTCGTCTCGGTACAGCGAAATCATCAAGGCACCCTGAAAAGCCTTGTGACTTAGTCTCCTTTCACCTGGAGGAACAGTTAATTAAACATTATCATATATATCATATATATACTGCGAACGATAAAGTTATCTCCCCTTCTCTTATGTTTTATGTATGACGTCATAATTTCGTTAACAAGACATTGTAATAAATGTATCGCCTGAACATGGCCGTAAGACCTGAAAACGTTAGCGGAATACATTTTTTCTCATATTTTATCGATACACAAACCATCTTTAAGTTACATATATATAGATATGTATGTACAGGTGTACATATATGTATGCATGCATATGTGTACCATCTGTGTGCATATAATGTTATCGACATTGTCAATTCATACTTCTATTCGACGATTTGTGCATAGTTATCAGTGGAAAGAACAAACAAACATTTCCAAATTTATGTACGCAAAATAGATTAATATTTATCTATTTCTTCAAGCAAACTACCCGCCATCATTCTGTAGGTCTGACATAAAAACGCTGGAAGATTTTGTGACGACGATGATTAAAAGTTAGGCTTAACGCTAGGGCTATCAAACGTAATGATTCGATGTAAATTTATCAGACATAAGCCACTCGCGATGGGTTTTTCATAGATGTTGCTGAATAGAAAGTCTTCCATCGACATCTGATCATTAAGATTTGTGAGCACATAAGGTAAGATGAAGTGGTCCCATACCAAGAGATTTAATATTTAGCATGTCTGCGAGGAAATGGGTTGTTTTTACAAAATTATAATTTTGATTTCATGTGTGTTAAGAAACGGGAGCATTTTCATTCGGTTATTAAATATACTTCTATCAATTTTCAAGATGCATCAATTATATAAACAGGTTTCAATTAACATATGAGATATGAGGTAGTTTGGGTCAACTTTTAACAAATCAAAAGATTAAGTATTGGTCGGGAATAAGTCTGAAATAATTATCATGGTACTTAATGACGTTTTTGCTCTGATGATGAAAGATACCTCTACCGGTCTTCGTATTCTCATATGAAGTTCAGTGATGCGTGTTTACTCTGCGGAGGTCACAATGACCTTGCAGAGTCCTTCAATTTCCCTTTCAGATACCAAGAGAGTAATTGACATGGTCATCAAACATAACAACCAGAATTGGAAATCAAGGACGCGACAAACTGCTTTATTTTAGAATACATCAGCGACAGCTTTCCAACAAGTTGTGTGATAAGCGTGGTGATTTCAATTTCCCTAGTATGAATTTCCCTTTTCTGGATGGAAGCAAATCCTATATCCCCATTCTACGGTGTTTATATGTTGCAGTTGATTCGATATTCTGGGGCGTGTTCCAATTGTCATGATTTTCGTGCAAAAAGGCAAATGACAAACTCGGTTTCGAGAGACACAAAGAAAGATTATGGAAAGTGATAAGGATTTCATCGAGAAATATTCTATTTCTTTGTGCGATATAAAGCTGGGCGTGCTTAATGTTCGTTATCGTATCTGTTGGTTCCGTTGTTGTTTACCTTCTTCTCATTTGGGAACATGACACTTCTTATGTGAATTGACAATATTATCACGAGTCAATGAAGCATATGACGCTTATCCTTCCGGAAAACCTTGTATTATCATCCTTGTACTTTTAAAGGTATCTCCGTGTAAATTTCTCTTTTGTTATTATTTCCCCTTGTTTCATAGCATTTGCGTTTTGAATTACGATGACCCTAGCTGTTCACGGGGTGATAATTCCTGTAAAGAGTTGTCTCTCTTCCCCTATCTTCTAATTAGTGGCCTTTTACCAGAAATAACGCTATTTTAGTTGAATTAAATTTACTTCGACTACCACGAAACATTCAACATTTGTTTTTCCCGATATTAGTAATCTTTGATACAATGGACGTGTGCACAGCCTTTAAAGTGTTCAAATAAACTTCTAATTCCGACATTCATGAAACACCAGTTTATATGATATTGTTCGTCAAAAATGCAATAAAGCGGAATAATTCCCGCGGGTTTGTTCCACGATAGCCCCTTATACATAATACTGTAAATCAGGTTTTTTCCGGTTCATCTTGTTTTCGCTTTATACGCGACGACTGCTGAACGCAAACTCTGCGATCGTGAAACATACCCTCAGACACAAATCTATATTCATATTACATGTGGGATCTATGTCAATGGAATTAAATAATGGCTAATTGACCGTGACAACAGTGGCAATACGAGCTGACGTTTGGTGTCATAGAGATACATGTGACTGTTTTATTAATCAATTTATCATTTACTGCATTAAAATGGCGTTTTGTTGTTACCAATCAGAGGATGGCGAAAATAAGGTCACTAGATAACATGCGAAATCGCGTACTTTTAATATCGCGAAAATAACTGGGTATATGGTATGAAGTATTGGCTGGATGTCGACTAATGGACAGATCGCGAAACGATATTCTAAATCCTTCTGACAAGTTCTTAGTGGGACAATGAAGAATGGTTACCTGACTTGTACAAATTAGCCTTTAATGCTTCCGCTGATTCAATGTAAATATTAAATGAATTTTAAATAAAGGATATAAACTGTCTGGGTGTAGTTCTCTTAAGTGTATTTTCGGTACATTGATACACTTCAGTATAATATGTGATTTTATAATTAATATCATTTATACTACCTCGTTCCATAGCTTTTTGATGTTTCTCCGGATCAAACACAGTGTCAAAACTGTCCTAAAATAAAGAATATCTGTATTATAAACAACGACGTTATTAATACATGACGTTATATACCTCATGAAAATATTACCACATGAAATATATATATATGAATATTAGTATATAAAGAGAGTGTAAGCTATACGGTTGTTTATCTTTACGATTTTTTGTTTGGTTTTTTAATCAGTAAACAGCTGGACAAAGATGTCTCCCCATACCTTTTGTTTCTGATATTCTGCCATTAGTGTTTCCTTCACTTGAGGATCGCTTTCCTCCTGTAATCAAATAAGAAATTTTGAGTTGATAGTCAAACAGGGCAATAGTCTGATACCATCTTCGTTAATTCTTTCTCATACTACCAGACAAGCAAGACATCTTACCATAATAGGTTATAGTCACTGGTCCTTCAACCTTGATATTCCGCAATATCAGGCTGTAAAAATTGATCCTTAAACCTAAATATTTCACTATACCAGGCTGTAAACATTGATCTTTCAACTTTGATATTACGCAATACCAGGTTGTAATAATTGATCCTTAAACCTAAATATTTCATAATACCGGGCTGAAAACATTTATCTTTCTACCTTGTTAGATATTTCACAATGCCAGGTTATAATGATTAATACACTTAGCAATATCAGGCCATTATTAACATTGTCCGTCAACCTACAATGTAAATAGCTCACAAAAGCAGACTGTCAACATTGGTCCTTCAACCGAGATATCACAAAATCGTAGGCTTTAAACATTTGGTCCTATTTCAACCTTAATATATAATAACAGAACGCTGTTACAATTACCTAAATATGTAACTATAGCTGGGTGTTGCGATTGGCCATTCAATATAGCTATCTTACCGTAGCTGGTTGTAGCCATTGGTCCTCCAACCAGCGGGTGACGGCATTCTGGTACCTCTCCCAAAAGTGGAACTCTGATTTCGCCAGTCCAGGAGTTCTTTCCAACCAACGCTTTATTGTGTATGATAAGTAGAAAAACGCAATCTGAACACAGTGTATGTTCTGACGAAAACAATGGAATTGATAAACAATTACTTTGTCATTTTAGATTCTTTCTTCTCCAGTATCTAGTTAAGCGATGAGTAGATCAGGTAAAAGTTTCCATCTGACCATGCATGAAAACATCTAATCATATGATGAATATCGTTTGCAAATCTATAGTTTATGCAGCATTCAACAACAAAATATTTATAAACTTTTCTATCTGTTTAACTCAAGATTAATGGAAAACGGTATTGTTAGAAATAAGCTCATGAATATTTCAGATTTGCAGGAAATTCGTTGATTTTTTTTGGATTAGGATTTTGGATTAGAAAACGATTAATGTAAGCACAGTTGTATTTGCAGTCTTCCACAAAGTGTACGGGGTCTTCATTGTAAAATATCTCAAAAGCATAATAAAACGAAAATTTCTAATTCGGCATGGTTCTCTCTTGACAGTCAGTAGTGAAGAACTTAAAATATAAATACATTGTGTGTTGTACCTACCTCGACCAGTGTAAGTAGCGAGGGACTGGTGATGGAGTCCTGTAGCTGTTCAATGTTTTCGGGGTCATTGAAAACCTTCATGTAATGTTGCTGGTTGTACTTCACACGACTCTCCTGTCACGGGGAAACATATATAATTACTATAATATCTGTGGTAAGTTCCGCCCTAACAGTAATGGCATTTTACAGTTATCAACAAAATACCTATAAACATTCTACCGGGGAGTTGTAAATGAACGAATCAACCTCTCTCGCTAAAACATTTAATTATCTGTGAACATGTATAATACATATCATATAAATTTACGGAACATCTCTTACCTCTTTTAGACCAAGTTTATTTTCAATCAAGCGGAATTGTAGACTTTGAAATCCAGAGGCAGTGGCAAGATGTGTTCTGTAAAAAAAATCATCAAATTAGAAAATCGTCCCAAATCAATCAGTAGGTATGATAAAAAGAAAGAAATACTGACATGTCAACAGAATATGTATTTATTCTCAAATGCGATAAAACAAGGGCAAGCTTGAGCAAATTAAGGCTTTACACGTAGTCCCTGGAAATTTTACAAAAGATAAGAAAGATAAGTGAATCGTATTTTTATTTACTTGTACTTTAGAGTTAGATACATTAGAGCCAAACAATGCATCATACAGCTGCTTGGTCCTTTTAGAACTCGCCAGTGATGTTAATGGCTTAGATTTAAAGGCAACTAAGGAAAATCTAAAATCTTCAAAAGAAATATATATCAGTAATTTCGTAATTTTCATTTATCTGATGTTTAAGGGGAATTAGACCGTGTCTTTCGGATGGATAAGTGTATTCATCGAAGACAACCACCGATCAATCGAAATGAGTCTATTCTATGCCTTATATAGTAGATTTCTATCCCCTAATGTTCATCCTAGCGACAGATAAAGCAATACCTAGATTGCGTGTCCTGACACATGAGCTTATTGAATTTTCACTAGGGATACTACTCTCTGCTTGACAAAGCTTTCACGGAGTCGCAGTAAAAACTTTTCTTTCTTTCATTTGTCATTATCTTATGACCGGATGGAGTGTAATATTTCAGCGTACCTCCTTAATTACCATCACTTAGCTGTATTCATATGACTGAAGCTATTGTGAGGAAATCAACCTACGCGAAACGCACACAAAACTGTTACGGTATAGCAAAATGATGAAATACAACTATATCACATAGTTGTGTCGTCCTTCTGGAACTCATCTGTGAAGCTATGAAAGCCTGAATTGTTGAAACATGGGAGGCGAAAGAGGGAAGTAGCCGATAGACAGATGGGAGTTAGGGTTGCACTAGCCTGTAATTCAATGTTCAATGACCGATGACATCAAAAGAAATCCTAGTACACGTGTAGCATCGAGGGTGTGGCTACAAAAGCGTATTCCTGCCACGTTGTGTTTTATTTTATCTCGAAATATCGAGATGCGAGTTAGTAATCCGAAATTTTGATATATTAACCCGAAATTTCGAGATAGCAACGCGAAATTTCGATTCACTAACTCAAAATTTCGAGTTGCTATATCAAAATTTCGGGTTAATATCTCAAAATTCCGGATTACTAACTCAAAATTTCGCATTACTAACTCGAAATTAAAAAATAATTTCGAGTTAGTACCTCGAAATTTCGAGTTAAAATAAAACACAACATGGCCGGAATACGCTTCCGCATGCGGCCAACTTCAAGGGCTAATTCTAACTGCAAACAGTCTTACCACGTGCAAATCCAGATATCTTTTTATAGCAAAGTTATATCACATACAATCTTTTTTAAAAACTAAAGTTTGATTTAAGAGAAGGAAAAATATAAACAAAGGTAATGGTGTAGTAGCTTGTTCTATTCAATCAAAGCACTATGACTGACAGACAATTTATTTCCCTCCATGCCAATGCCAGGACAAGGACGAGTGGAAAATAACGTGACCTGGGTTATTTATTTTGCAATGGAATTTACTTAACCAGTCAGCTTACAATACAGCATTACTACGCAGTGTGTGACCCAATTTTATAAAGCTGAGTACTTTACAAGGTGCTACTTGACACAGGTATTTGCATTCTCGGACCATTGTCTAGAGACCTTTAACTAGTTGTTGAATAAGACAACAGACTAAAACGATCAACCTATAGTCATACAGTGTACCGGGTTGTACACAATTTAAAAGGATCAAAGAGTCACATTTTTACCTCATAAATGGACACTCAAGATTACAGACTGATTTCGTTGGTAATCGTGTGATAATATGAAAAACATGTTGGTCAAGTATGAATGTCCGGTATTTGTTTGGTGATACTGACCAGTATACATTATTTAGTAAACATATAGCGTAGTTGTACGAATTGAACGATTCACTGGAAAGCAATATAAACGTTTATGCATATGAAAAATAATGAAAATATTACCTAACGTTGGATTTTGTTTTATCTACTTAAGACTTGGTTCAGCCTCAAAGACGCATGTCGTTGGGTAATAATAAAAAAAACTCCTAACTAGTCTTAATCTTACCGAAATTCTAAAAAGTCTAGCGGTGTCATTGTCTCCAGGATAAGAAACTGGTCAACCAATAACTAAAAACAGAAGAAATGACAAACGAGAAACTAGTCATATTTCATGCCTCTTTAAAATCATGAAGTTATGTATCAAGGCGTTATATTTTCTCTTAAATCTTTTCCATTGAAGTCACTAGCAACAAAAAGTGAAATTAAATAGTAGGTGTAAAATGTGGAAAGTCAATATCTTTTTATTTAAGATGAACAATATACAGTATGTTGTAAACACATGAGATTCCTTTACCAGAGATAAGATTCTCTTTTATATTCCTAAAATAGGAAAATACGCCTCCAAATTTCCATATGACATATATGAAATATTAAACGATTTATATGAGATAGTTTACAACTTTTTTGAATGCTCTAAATGTTTAACTGATTCACAATATAAATGCCTCATAAATATGTAAGATATCTGAAGTACGATCAAATTGTAATCACTTTCTTAGGAACGTGTAAGATATGAAAATTGCCATTTCCTATTATTTAGATGTATTAAGATATATTCCATAAAGAGTATGTATTATTTAATGGAAAAAAATCTTTTATGATAAATATCTTAACTAAGCAAATATGGTGAACATTACCTGAAAAAAATATAAGCTAGTTTAATTTATTCTTTTGTGAGGTAGCACAAGCAACAAGTATTTCATTCGCATTTACCTTTAGTATCAGTGTAATGCGGCCAAGTTGGTTGTTGATGTGTCGTGTTTTACCTTCATCCAGTACCTGAAACAAACATTGTACAAACTTGTTGACCGATTTGATCGCATGGTTGCCTGTTGGATATTGTCAGTAAATGTAAAATATCGCTTTTTATCACAGTCTCTGTCTTTACAGTATGAGATACGGACACATCGCTTTCAGATCTTAATGAGACCATGTCGAGACAAATCTGATGTTGCCTACTGCTTCATTAATGCTGTTATGCAATAAGTTTGTCTTGATATTGTTCATGGCTTTCAAGCAATGAACTTACCGGTGCTGTGAAAATGTCTCGCACAGAGTCCAGCTCAAACAGAATCTGCTTGAACCATAATTCATACGCTGAAATGGTAAATAATGAATAAAGAAATCTAAATATCCGAAAATATAAATGCAACAGAAAAAATATGTTCTTGTCTCTTTCTTACCTCATGTATACGCAACATAATCTACCAGTTTCATTTTTGGAAGCAACATTTCAAAACGTCCACGTTAGAACCTTTGTTGATGTACCTTGCCTTTTTCGAAATTCTATTTGCTGACAATAACCTTCCAATTATAAGATGAACTGAACTCGGCGCTTTTTACCTTGGTGTGTTATGATAAACAGATGTTCGTCATGTACCGGCTTTCCCGCCTCTGCACTGGTCATAGTCTGGCATTTCAACAGACCCGACAACTAAATATTCAAAAAATATATAAATATGGCAACAATTAATACAAAGTAGTCATTTAAAATTTTTAGATGTATAATTGTGCGTTATGTAAATTTAATCAAGATATAACTACAGTCGATCCTCGTTATCTCAAACTCGTATAACTCAAAGACCCCGTTTAATTTGAAGCATTTCGTCGGTCTCTGTCTAACTTTACACTGAACATTCGAACTCAATCAAATGAAACACTCGGTTATCTCGAAATGTTCCCGCCAAGTTCGAGATAACAAGGTTTGATTGTACTTATTTTTGAAAAAGCAATTTTACTTTGCTTAGACAATAATTGCACGATAAAGTGTAGCTCATACAACACAACACAAAAGTGTATTGTTGATACAGGTGTTCTTAGTATCTATCATAGATGCTACAAAGTATGGCTATATGGTTCAACATGTTGGCTACCATGTCCAAACGCATATAAATATATATATGTAAACAGCAGACACACACGTTTACATTGTAAATTATTTTACAATGCAATCATAAAAATATTGAAGTTAGAGATGAATCATAGCGTCATTTAATTAGATATAACGTTTTCTAGGTCTCACATTTATACAATTAGCATTACTGATGAGTCCCAAGAGGAATTCATAATATGGCTTCACTGCATCTTAATCAAAACTGAAAGGTGTTATGCGCGTTTGCCTTTTGTACAACCTTCATGAAGTATATGTATCTGTGTATTAAGACTTGGATTTAGTAATTTTTTATTCTGACGGTTATCAAGCTATTGTAGATAATGACTATTTGTGATTAGGATATAAGGTTCGGCCATTCTATAAGATTGATATCACACGATAACGTTTCGCTCGTTAAATAATTATGGACACTTAAATAATTCTGGTTGACATTTAGGTTATATCTATTCTAACGGTCATTTTTCTAATGATGTGATTTTCGTGGTAGAGGGAAATAAAGAGAGTGAAAACACAGTAAGTTTCAGTTATGGTAAACATATTTCAAGAGTGGGAATGATAATGTTTCCAGACAACAGACAGGAGCAGCGACTGAATAATTAACATGTATAATCTATTGGGTATGTTAATTTCTAGGAAATACATATTATCTGAAGTTTCGAGGACAGGAATATTTTATATTCTCTGTTTTTCTGACATGGCCAGTCTACCTCAGCCGCGAGCAGGAAAACCAGGTAACCCTAGTTTTTTTCCATGGTCATCTTTGGTTTTCATACTTAAAGACCTTTTTCACTTTCTAGCATAAATCATAAACAAGCCTTACAAACCACCTCTCCCTCTCTGAATTCACTTAAATGCCCTTTCCATGTGTAATGTAGCTTCCCATTAAAAATAAGGCCTTGTTTACCAATGCACGGTGTCCTGTCGAGACGAGAGAGTTTACAGAGAGGGAAAATATCGCGCCCGACTTACCTCCAGGTACTCCCCGTACAGTTTTGGCCTATCCTTGTTCGAGTCTTCTTCAGCCATCCTGAGTAAATAAGATTATGTAACGTTAGTATTTTTACTGATTCGTCATACAGGTATTTGCCTGAACGGATATGTATGGAAGATTTGACTTACACTATTTCATGAATTCCGTTATTAGTACAAATCCCGTCAACGAATACAGTAATATGTGTGGTTTATAAACGTGTTCAACCTAACGTATTGTTTACCACCAAAGTCTTACGTTGAGTTTGAAAAACTGTATAGCGTTCACAGTCTCCTGGACTGCTTTCTATTGTCAACGGGACATCGTTTTTACCATTTATTCAAATAACAGATACATTTAGTTAACGAGTTATTAATGGTGTCACTTTGATACTGATATGAATAAACAGATATTTAAATGTAATTTACCTTAATTAGTAACATTACAATGTCAAATTAATGATAACATACACTTTAATATATCTATTATGATATATTCCAAGATAACATTTGCAAATGTAGTAACACATTGAAAGGAATATGAGCGTTGGGTTAACAGGTAGTAATCACAGTGAAATAGCGCTTAATATTGATGTTAACTTTTACAATATATTACTGTAACAGGGAAAATTAAAGATGTCATTCATTTGAGTCGATGTTGATACTGTTTATATTCAATTTGTGCTATATCGAGATCATGTTTTTGATATCACAATTTAGTCCTATTTAAATTGCCGTGATCCGTGGCTCGTCCTGAAACAATTTTCATTTGAGCATTCTCTTGAAAAGCACTGGATGAATCGTTCAAAAAATAATATAGAAGTTTCCCCTGTCCACAGTTGTGATTTTTGATTGAAGAAAACCCTGGACTTTGTCATTTGGCCTATCTGTTTCCATGGTAAGAGAAATAGTGTCTAAATGAATAATTTCGCCATAGCAAAAGATACTCCTAGCTTAATATGTGTAAAATGTTTTTGAGCAATTAACTTGAATGGTTTCAGAGCACTAATTCAGAAAAACTGAAATTTGTGATGAGGGTTATCGGTTTCCATGGTAACAGATTTTTTTACTAGGGTACTCACCTAATATATACATAAGGTTTTGTGGAGTGGAGTTGAATGGTTTCAAAGTTGTAGCCAGGGAAGGAAAGTTAATACTAATTTCATATATTTTGAATGTTTCCATGGTTACAGAAAAATATAAAAACAAGAATGTCGTCAACAGCAAAAGGCACAACTTGGACACTTACCTATTATCTACAGAAAGTTTAGTAATTTGAGTGGAACAGTTTTGAAGTTATAGCCAGGAAAGGCCCTCGGACGGACGCACGCACGCACAGATGGACGGAGCCAAAATTAATATCCCCAGTAAACGCGTTTCGCGTGCTGTCTTAAGAATGACGAGATAAAGTTAAGGAAAACACAAACACAATTCTTTTCAATTTAACTTCCCGACAACGTCTAAGTCAGATAAGAAAAAAAATCCGCTTAACTCTGAATACGAGCAATATGTATTTAAAACTTGGCCTTGACTATAAGTGACCTTGTCTTGAAATAAGTTTATCTGGCAAAGGTATTTCTTAAAAAAAAAAAAAAAAAAAAAAAAAAATGCATTTCGTCTCTAGTGTTAAAACAGCATTCACCACACAAATGGTATGTAGGTCAATGTCAAAAACATATTTACGTAAACATCACCGATACCTGACTTTATTTGCTCGGAGTTCAGTTAGTTTAAACATATGGTTGGTGAAAGATTTCAAATACGAATATAAAACAATTTTAAAGTTTTACAATAGTAGATTTGTGAAGACTGGTAAAATTGATTTTTTGAGTGACACTTCCTTCGAAAAGCCTTGGGGTTTTTTCAGTGGCATTAATTATGCTTTCACACTAACTACTAACTGAGCCAGAGGACATTGACAAGTGTATTAAATAGGTATTTAGGAATCCATTCGGACATATAATTTTAGTACCTTTACTGTTCAGAATATATGTATAAACACATTTATTGATTATTACGTATTTATCTAAATGTTTCTTTTTTAAATCAGACTATTTTTTATCAATATATATCATGCAATAATCGAAAGACCAGTACATATGAAACATAAATATTAAAGATCTTTCATTTCTTCTATTTATGAAATACTATTATCTATTGTAAAAAATGTAAATATTCTGTAATAAACATTATCTAGTGTACACCCAACATATCCTATATACTCCTACCTAGTGTACACCCAACATATCCTATATACTCCTACCTAGTGTACACCCAACATATCCTATATACTCCTACCTAGTGTACACACCCAACATATCCTATATACCATTACCTAGTGTACACCCAACATATCCTATATACTCCTACCTAGTGTACACACCCAACATATCCTATATACCACTACCTAGTGTACACCCAACATATCCTATATACCACTACCTAGTGTACACACCAACATATCCTATATACCACTACCTAGTGTACACCCAACATATCCTATATACCACTACCTAGTGTACACACCAACATATCCTATATACCACTACCTAGTGTACACCCAACATATCCTATATACCACTACCTAGTGTACACCCAACATATCCTATATACCACTACCTAGTGTACACACCAACATATCCTATATACCCCTACCTAGTGTACACCCAACATATCCTATATACCACTACCTAGTGTACACACCAACATATCCTATATACCACTACCTAGTGTACACACCAACATATCCTATATACCACTACCTAGTGTACACCCAACATATCCTATATACCACTATCTAGTGTACACACCAACATATCCTATATACCACTACCTAGTGTACACACCAACATATCCTATATACCACTACCTAGTGTACACACCAACATATCCTATATACCACTACCTAGTGTACACCCAACATATCCTATATACCACTACCTAGTGTACACCCAACATATCCTATATACCACTACCCAGTGTACACACCAACATATCCTATATACCCCTACCTAGTGTACACCCAACATATCCTATATACCACTACCTAGTGTACACCCAACATATCCTATATACCACTACTTAGTGTACACACCAACATATCCTATATACCACTATCTAGTGTACACCCAACATATCCTATATACCACTACCTAGTGTACACCCAACATATCCTATATACCACTATCTAGTGTACACCCAACATATCCTATATACCACTACCTAGTGAACACCAACATATCCTTTATACCACTACCTAGTGTACACCCAACATATCCTATATACCACTACCTAGTGAACACCAACATATCCTATATACCACTACCTAGTGTACACCAAACATATCCTATATACCACTACCTAGTGTACACACCAACATATCCTATATACCACTACCTAGTGTACACCCAACATATCCTATATACCCCTACCTAGTGTACACCCAACATATCCTATATACCACTACCTAGTGTACACACCAACATATCCTATATACCACTACCTAGTGTACACCCAACATATCCTATATACCACTACCTAGTGTACACACCAACATATCCTATATACCACTACCTAGTGTACACACCAACATATCCTATATACCCCTACCTAGTGTACACACCAACATATTCTATATACCACTACCTAGTGTACACCCAACATATCCTATATACCACTACCTAGTGAACACCCAACATATCATATACCACTACCTAGTGTACATACCAACCATATCCTATATACTCCTACCTAGTGTACACAACAACATATCCTATATACCACTACCTAGTGTACACCCAACATATCCTATATACCACTACCTAGTGTACACACCAACATATCCTATATACCCCTACCTAGTGTACACCCAACATATCCTATATACCACTACCTAGTGTACACACCAACATATCCTATATACCCCTACCTAGTGTACACACCAACATATTCTATATACCACTACCTAGTGTACACCCAACATATCCTATATACCACTACCTAGTGAACACCCAACATATCATATACCACTACCTAGTGTACATACCAACCATATCCTATATACTCCTACCTAGTGTACACAACAACATATCCTATATACCACTACCTAGTGTACACCAACCATATCCTATATAACACTACCTAGTGTACACCCAACATATCCTATATATCACTACCTAGTGTACACCCAACATATCCTATATACTACTACCTAGTGTACACACCAACATATTCTATATACCACTACCTAGTGTACACCAACCATATCCTATATAACACTACCTAGTGTACACCCAACATATCCTATATACCACTACCTAGTGTACACACCAACATATCCTATATACCACTACCTAGTGTACACCCAACATATCCTATATACCCCTACCTAGTGTACACACCAACATATCCTATAATACAAACCTAGTGTACAATTAAGTGTGTCGTTTCGGCAACAGGGATTGGCTAATTGTTACACACCTTCTAAACATCGGGCTGGCAGTTTTCTCTCGTAAAATATGTGCTTGATAAACGATTTTAGTACTGTGGAAATTTACCCGGTTAGTCGGCAGGAAATTCAGTTGATACAAACAAAAAGAGTTGTTCGGGTACTACAAAATATTATGTTAAATGTGCTTTTGAAAACATCGTTACATTTGTTTATTCAAGTATGAATTATACAAGTTAAAATGCATTTCCTTACACTCAAACAAAAAGTTTCTGACACTGGCCTCAAAGGAGTGTCGAGATTACATGACGGTAAATTCGTATCGTGTTCCTTTGTGTAAAGTCCATTTAAACGATTGTATAACTTTCTTGCTTTTTAAGATATAGAAACAAGAAAGGTTAAAAAAACTGTGAATATTTATGAAAATGCATTGGGAACCGATGAAGACTACAGTAGCCATAAGCCCTGGAAATAAATAGATTTTACAAATTAATTTGACTCCGCAGTGTCGTCTATGACAAGTTTATGCCAGCGTCGTATTTCCAAGTATAACTAAAACACATGAAATTATCACACAATATATATATATATATTTTCAACATTACATACCTGTCCGACTGCATCTTATCCATGTAGGCCACAGTACTCTCCAACAGCTATTACACCTGGCTAGCGTAACGACTATGTATAAATGTTAGCTGGGTACAAAATGTAGTAATGTCCAGTAGGGTTTCGCTCAGTCTTAGTGTATGTACAGTGTGTGGTTATAAATCTGTACCGGTGACAATTTGAAAGGCAGACAAATCTACTAACACGTGAGCCATGACATTACCAGATATCGGTCATGTGTACGTTATGGCTTCTGTTTTATCTGACGCACCACATTTTCGTCGACTATTTATACAATAGAGAGATATTATTCGGACAACAAAATTTGGGTATATCGTGTTACCGATGTCTTATCTGGAGAAAATATGTTTAACCCTGCTTTTCATGTTTATAATTGTGTGGCTTCACACGACTGCATATGAGTAAGTACAGTGTCCGGACAAGACGGATAACGGCATTTGTTCAAAATGCTACACATTCCTTTTATTTAAATTACTTGTCAGTTTGAAAAGTGGAACGAAACTGAAACATTAAAAGTTGTAACATTGCTGTGATAGATTTGAGTCTTCCATTTCATACTCTGTTGATGCTTATTCAATAATTGCTTGTTCTCGTATAGTTACAGAACAATTATAATTAAAATAAAAGAAATGATTAATAAGGACGAGGATGATAAGGATATACGTAAATACCTACAGTAGATTCACTCTCCTCTATTCTGGTGTTTGTTTTATGGCTGTAGGATCAAATCTATTTTGTATGTGACAAGATTTAGTGGGTTTTTTTTTCATTTTCAACTCCACGACAATTTTTTACATAACATTTGCTGTTTGAGTATATTTTTTCTCATGGTCCGTTCAAGATTAATGTGATATTTTCTAAATTATGTAACCAATACACTCCTGAAGATGATTTGCGCAAAATATATTTATGACGTCATAGAAGTTAAAACAACACTGTGACGTCAGAGTGGACTAAATGAATTATTTAAAGAATAATTTACATTTTACATTATACTGAAATGACGTCATAAGAGTTTTAATAATCTTGTGACGTCAGAGTGGACTAAATGGGTTATTTAAAGAATAATTAACATTTTACATTATACTGAAATGACGTCATAAGAGTTTTAATAATCTTGTGACGTCAGAGTGGACTAAATGGGTTATTTAAAGAATAATTTACATTTTACATTGTACTGAATTGACTTCATAAGAGTTTTAATAATCTTGTGACGTCAGAGTGGACTTAATGGATTCTCAGCGATGAAAATCAATAATCTTAAGGGATCGTTTTTTCAAGATCACATTTTTTAAAAACCCAACATATCTCGTTGTAACTGGACTGATAGCGAGTCACATATAACAAGCATGAGTTCAGGACCTAAATATCTGAGTTACTGAATAGTAACTGAAGAATGTCGAATGTTATTGTTACTTCGTGATAATGTCATTATTAAAAAAATTCTTCAATTAATTTCCATGCTGTAACAATTAGTCCATTTGCATTATATATCATCATATATTTAATCTTCTTCAATATATACGTCTACTCGTGTACAAATGAAATGAACATAGGAAGATGCAGTATATATCGAAAAGTAAAAGAAATTTCTGTTCAAAAAATTATGGTACATGTATAAAGTATTTTTTTATCCCAAACACAGATCGGTACTGAAATACTTTTGGTGATTTCGAACTATACTAAAAGGGTCCGTATGTTTTTGCGATTATCGGTAGGTCGTTTAAATGTACAATACTGAGTATTCATTATTGTCTTATAGGGATGTTTTGAATACTTGTATTTCATATTTCAAGCTGTATGTAATGATTCTCATACAATGTCTAGATGATCCAAAAGTCCCGCATCAAATAATTATACAAAATTTAGCCGTTTTCATTACATCTTGAATTAAATGATCTTATTCTATCGACGACTGAATGACAATTGAATAACGTGATACATGTAACCTTCCAGAAATACCTTCCCTATCATAGATCTTATAAACTTAAACATTCATTAATAACATAAAATTATGAAGGAATATCCAAATCCTATACACGTCGTGTGAGTTAATGTCATTTCAGACACGTTATATAAAAAATCTGTATGTAAAGTTGATTTCAGGAAAGTTATATACCATTAATGTAAATTTTTAAACAAGTTTTCAAGCAATTGTGTATCTTAAAATGTTTTCAGACAGGTTATATACCATTTATGTAGGTTTTCAGACATGTTATATAACATTTATGTAGGTTTTCAGACAAGTTATATAACATTTATGTAGGTTTTCAGACAAGTTATATACCATTTATGTAGGTTTTCAGGTAGACTATATACCATTTATGTAGGTTTTCAGACAAGTTATATAACATTGATGTAGGTTTTCAGGTAAGTTATATACCATATATGTAGGTTTTTAGGTAGACTATATACCATTTATGTAGGTTTTCAGACATGTTATATACCATTTATGTAGGTTTTCAGGTAAGTTATATACCATTCATGTAGGTTTTCAGGTAAGTTATATACCATTTATGTAGGTTTTCAGGTAAGTTATATACCATTTATGTAGGTTTTCAGACATGTTATATAACATTTATGTAGGTTTTCAGACAAGTTATATAACATTTATGTAGGTTTTCAGGTAAGTTATATACCATTTATGTAGGTTTTCAGGTAAGTTATTTACCATTTATGTAGGTTTTCAGGTAAGTTATATAATATTTATGTAGGTTTTCAGACAAGTTATATACCATTTATGTAGTTTTTCAGACAAGTTATATACCATTTATGTAGGTTTTCAGACATGTTATACACCATTTATGTAGGTTTTCAGGTAAGTTATATACCATTTATGTAGGTTTTCAGGTAAGTTATATATCATTTATGTAAGTTTTTAGGTAAGTTATATATCATTTATGTAGGTTTTCAGGTAAGTTATATACCATATATGTAGGTTTTCAGACAAGTTATATACCATTTATGTAGGTTTTAGACAGGTTATATACTTATTGTGTATCTAAAGATGTTTTCAGGCAAAGTTTCATACCAATACAATACATTGATAAAGTTTCATGGCGTCAGTAATACAATACAATACATTAACAATTATACAATCCGACACACCTACGTGATATCCAGGTGTGTTCGGTTTACTGGACACTTTCAATGTGATTATTTATGGGTATTACTAAAAACATATTTAACCTAGAACTACAGCCGTATCTGTAACTTTATCATCATGTAATGGAGCTGATGATAAATATTAAATAAAATGATTTAGATCTTTATAAAGTGTATATATATTACTCTCCAGCAGGTGTATTAATTACTGCAATATTTTGCTTACCTTAATGTATTTGCTACAGAACGCCTATGACTCATCATAACATGGATAGTTTTCGATATTAAGTATTGATGTTTTTAGTTTGAATAATGCACAAAAACATGTCTCTTTCTTTTAGATAATGAAAATCCTTGTTTCGCAAATCAGCCTGACAAAATAAATCGGTACGGACATCACTGTAGATCAGACATTCACAAAAATAGGAGTGTAGGATAGAATCTCTGGTCCTCTGGTATGTCTATTCAACGTCATAAATCCAGCAGTGACGTGAAATATGCGATGTGACGTAAGGTTCAGGACTTTAATAATTTTTAAAACATCTATAAATTCTGAGTTTATTTTCTTGGTTAGGCTTATATTTTTATAGCTTACTAAACCGGATAACTGCACCCTCTGAGATGAGTATAACATTAACGATTAATGATTAGCTAATTGTACAAGATTAGACATTTTGTTTATAAAGTCAACATTTTCCTAAAGGCTGCCAAACCAGTGTTGATTTGAAATTTCGAATTTGACTATCGACACGCCATCTGTCGTTTTCATACCGTTAACTAACTATTTTGCATTTCATTTGTGTATCAAATTCATTTTTATGCATTTTAAATGATATTTTAACTTAAATTATCATATTCTATTCACGTCTGAATGACAATGGCGTAACTTATTAAATGTAACCATCCATTAGACCTGAAACAGAAATACCCATTATATCATAGATCTTATAAACTTTCAGATACAATGTCATAAAGCTATGAAGGTCATTTATCGCAAAATGCTATACACATGGGCCGTGTGGGAAAATGTCATTTCCGACACGATCTATATCAGTTGTGTAAGTAAAGCTGTTTTCAGAAAAGTTATCTACCGATTGTGGAGGTAAAGATATTTTCAGAAAAGTTATCTACCGATTGTGTAGGTAAAGCTGTTTTCAGGAAAGTTATCTCCCGATTGTGGAGGTAAAGCTGTTTTCAGAAAATTTATCTACCGATTGTGGAGGTAAAGATGTTTTCAGATAAGTTATATACCAATTGTGTATCTATAGATATTTTCAGAAAAGTGATATACCAATTGTGTATCTATAGATATTTTCAGAAAAGTGATATACCAATTGTCGAGGTAAAGATGTTTCAGAAAAGTTATATATCAATTGTGGAGGTAAACATACTTTTATACAAGCTATATACCAACCCAACCGTGAAAGTAAAAATTACTTTATACCAACTGAGAAGGTGAGAACACTGTCATGCAAATTACAAACCATCTGTAAAGGCAAGGGAGCTATGATGCAAGTTATATTTCAGTTTTCCGGTAGGTGATCCTATACCTATAGTGTAGGTTAACATGTCATTAGGTAAGTTAATTTCAGGAAAGTATTGTCACAGTATTGATAAAGTAGGTTAAGGTCATTATTATGTAGAACGAACTTATATAGGTAAAACACGTTTTTAGAAGATTCATGTACCTATTGTGGTGTTAAGAAACTCTGAATGCAAGATGGGTAGTCGGATGGCGCAGTGGTAACGTACATGTCCTCCACTGAGTCGACCGGGGTTCTATTTCCAAATCGAATGTAGCAACGTAGCAATTAGTGTTAGTTAGTAATAAAGCACATAACAGAAGCTTCAGTAGTATAGTTAAAGTTATTTAATGTAAGTTCTATAGCAATATTATTTAGATAAACATCCTTTCATAATAGCTCTGTTACTGTTAAACAGAGGAGAAAATTACGACAATTGGGAAGTTCGTTTGTGGTTTGAAATACCATAGTAGCTTTTATTTCAATTGATGACAGCGTCATTAAACTGTTACAATCAAATAAATATGTTTCCGATAGACGGGGTGACGAGGTCCTCAGTAGATGTCGGGGTCACATACCAGCTATAGTCATATGACGAGGTCCTCAGTAGATGTCGGGGTCACGTACCAGCTATAGTCACATGACGAGGTCCTCGATAGACGTCGGGGTCACATACCAGCTATAGTCATATGACGAGGTCCTCAGTAGATGTCGGGGTCACATACCAGCTATAGTCATATGACGAGGTCCTCAGTAGATTTCGGGGTCACGTACCAGCTATAGTCACATGACGAGGTCCTCGATAGACGTCGGGGTCACGTACCAGCTATAGTCACATGACGAGGTCCTCTATAGATGTCGGGGTCACGTACCAGCTATAGTCATATGACGAGGTCCTCAGTAGATGTCCAGGTCACGTACCAGCTATAGTCATAAGACGAGGTCCTCAGTAGATGCCGGGGTCACGTACCAGTTATAGTCACATGACGAGGTCCTCAGTAGATGTCGGGGTCACATACCAGCTATAGTCACATGACGATTCCTCGATAGACGTCGGGGTCACGTACCAGCTATAGTCACATGACGAGGTCCTTGATAGATGTCGGGGTCACGTACCAGTTATAGTCATATGACGAGGTCATCAGTAGATGTCCAGGTCACGTACCAGCTATAGTCATAAGACGAGGTCCTCAGTAGATGCCGGGGTCACGTTCCAGTTATAGTCACATGACGAGTTCCTCAGTAGATGCCGGGGTCACATACCAGCTATAGTCACATGACGAGGTCCTCAGTAGATGTCGGGGTCACGTACCAGCTATAGTCACATGACGAGGCCTTCGTTAGATGTCAGGGTCACGTACCAGCTATAGCAACATGACGAGGCCCTCGCTAGATGTCGGGGTCACGTACCAGCTGTAGTCACATGACGAGGCCCTCGCTAGATCTCGGGGTCACGTACCAGTTATAGCCTCATGGCGATGTCATCGGTAGATGTCGAGGTCACGTACCACGTATAGTCACATGACAAGGTCCTCGGTTGATGTCGAGGTTACGTACCAGCTATAGTTACATGGCGAGGTCCGCGGTAGATGTCGGGGTTACGTACCAGTTATAGTCACATGGCGATGTCATCGGTAGATTTTGGGGTCACGAACCAGTTAAACATATGGCATACATGCCGAGGTTCTCAGTAGATGTCGGGGTCACGTACCAGCTATAGTCATATGGCGAGGTCCGCGGTAGATGTCGGGGTTACGTACCAGCTATAGTCACATGACGAGGTCCTCGGTAGATGTCAGGGTCACGTACCAGCTATAGTCACATGACGAGGTCCTCGGTAGATGTCGGGGTCACGTACCAGCTATAGTCATATGACGAGGTCCTCGGTAGATGTCAGGGTCACGTACCAGTTATAGTCACATGACGAGGCCCTCGGTAGACATCGGGGTCACGTGCCAGTTATAGTCACATGACGAGGTCCTCGGTTGATGTCAGGGTTACGTACCAGTTGTATTCACCTTACGAGGTCCGCGGTAGATGTCGGGGTCACGTACCACTTATAGTCACATTATGAGGTCCCTGGTAGACGTCAGGGTCACGTACCAGTTACAGTCACATGACGAGGTCCGCGGTAGACGTCGCGGTCACTACCAATCATAGTCACATGACAAAATCTTCAAAACCTGTCACAATAAAATATTCTGAGCGCCTCGAATATGTACTTATATAACGATAGAGGTATAACGCGTTTGAAAATGTGACTAATATTTATTATTATAACGAAGGTTATTTTTATCATATACAAACATCTAGAAGACCGGTGATTGGCTGTTGGGCCATAGTATTTCTACGTAACTGCCTGAAGGCTCCACATGCATTCACCGAGGATATGGCTAAGGAGCAATGCATTGCCCCTGTAAATTTTATATTAGTGTTCTTCTTCCTCACAAATGCTAACTAAAATAAGTTTAACATTTTTTTTTGCAGTCTTCCTTGATTTTTCAATTAATAATAGATGTTTGAACATCGTCGCCATTTTACATAGCCCCCGCATGATGTATCTACATATGAACATGGCAGGAAAACACCCATATCATCATCTTTTTCGAATACGATGTTGAATAATGAGTATTAATGATACATGAATGGTACCATCTGTATTAATGTTTGTGTAACTTGTCTTCCTTCGTCAGTTATGTTACAACTTTCAAAAATCAATAAAGAAATGTTACACATCATATCATAAGGTATCTGGATCCGGTGATTTCAGATTTTATATTGCCAGTCGTGATTGTACCGGATTTGTGACAGCTATGTAGTAAAAACTTTTGTGTATAGATGACGCAACGTCCTGTTTCACAAACATCTTCAGGTCTTCCGGCCATATTCAGACACGATCTACTTTTATCTTAAAAACGGCTAAGTTACCACACATCAACGTTATCATCAATACCGAGTCTCTATAAGTTTGAATTCGACTGAACAGCAAGGGTGACATTTTTTATAAATTGATTTACACGTTCAGAATATGCTCTAACATGACATCTTTAACTAAGGACCGAGGAATAGTGTGGTCTTCGACCAGACTCCAAACTTTTCTTTTGATCCCGAGGCCAAGAGACTTTCTGACAGAGAAACAGCATAACGCCTTCAGCGTCCTGACGTCACGGTGATATTGCGCCACTAAACTTGCCAATGTCTCATCGTCCGGCTTAGCTGTCAGGGCACAGTTTAATAGCGCGTCCGAAAAGTCAGCACCTGATTGGAGAAGGACACTCAACACGTCGGTATCAACAGTATTCGTCTGTACCGCTTCTATTAAGGGGAGTTGATATAAGGGCTCGTCTAGCGGGCAATTCTCTTGAAGCAGTATCTTCAAATGTTCTTTACTTTTTTTCCTTATTGCACAAACAACAGGATTTTGTTGAAGAATGAGTTCCTGTGTCACTTTCAGTCCCAGTTTAAACAAAAGTTCAGTGATGCCGTAATTTGATGTCTGGATGGCATCAATTAATATCTCCCTATTGTTTTGACTAATTTCACAGTTAATATCGGCGCCGTATTCAACAAGATCCCTTATAATCGATACGTATTGTTTCCGACAAGCAAGGCGTAGAGGAGTCAAGCCCATTTTATCCTTTGCATCTGGATCCGATTTAGCTTTAAGAAGGTATCTAACTGATTGCTGATCTTTCTGGGAGACGGCGAGAATAAGTGGCGTTCTGTCCATCAAAGAACGTGTCGCGACGTCAGCTCCAGCGTCAAGTAAAATACGAATAATTTCTGGCATCTTTTCACTGTGACACACAGCACTCAGCAAAGGCGTATGGCTGTGATGTCTTATCCTCCTGTTAACGTCTGCTCCATGCTTTAAAAGAGCATCAACAGTTTTGAAAAAATCTTCGTCTTTTTCTGGCGTAAATTTAGAAATCGCTATCATGAGTGGGGAAGATTGGGTTGAACCCTCTTCGACCTCGTTACAGAGTGACGGGTCTAGGTCAGCCAGGAAATTTACGGCATGGTAATTCGCATACGAACAGGCGGCATGTATAGGCATTTGATTGGTGTCGTCTTTAGCCCTAATATCAAATCCGTATCTTACAGCTTCGTGTAAATATTTAACAACGTTCGCTTCATTTCGACATTTACAGATACAATGTAAAATCTGAGATCCTTGGCTCATGTCAAAGCCACATTTCCCTATGGTAGATTTAAACAATGTGAAATTATTATCAGCGATAGTACTGTACAATGTATTGAGATGATCAACAGTATTGTTCTCAACCTCGTTTAAAGCATTATCAATATCCCTTTCACCGTTGCGAGTTTTGATCGTACTTCCGCTTTCCATTGCTGCTGCAGTTCGGAGTTCCGGTTTCAAAGTTGATGTTGCTTGCAGTATTTCAGCGTTGCTCAATACCGGTTGTAGAATTGGCTTCTTGCTTTACTGACCGACGTCGAAATCTAGGGAGGGAATTAAAAATCAAACGTTATGTTTTTTTGTTGTTTTTAAATACACATCCAATGCATATATGTTATATAAGTAAATCCTATACACGTATATGAAAATGCTTTCGCTATTGACTTCGTAAAACCTATATAAAAATCCCAATGACGATATATGTTTGACTGTAGACCATAAGGTTCCATATATCCATTTTTTTTCTTGTCCAGATTGAAGTCGATATAATTATATATATATATATATATATGAAGACAAAAGGTTAACTAACATGTGCCCAGTACAATTTTAATATTAAGAAGAATAGGTTTAGAGATTTTAATATTTCTGACCTTTGAAGATGAAAGTAGGTCAAAGTGATTCAGCTAGACTTTCATCCTATCATGCAGTAGGAACAATATCAGTACCCAGCGTCTTTTAATTATTGCGAAAATGATTAAAAGACCTTGGTCACTGATAAGCCTCATCGCGGAACCACAAGCCATCAGCATTTCTAACTTATTTAACAGGAACTGTAAATTAACACGCACTAAACTGTACCTGACAAACCTCTTGTACAACAAGAAAAATTGTGATGGATAATGAGAAAGTTGTTGATCAATATTAACTTACAGTTTCTGTTAAATAACTTAGAAACGCTGATGGGTTGTGGTTCCGTGGTTCCGTGGGGCGGACACCGCACCATGGCACCACAAGACGTCAGCATTTCTGAGTTATTTAAAAGGAACTGTAAGTTTACTCGCACTAAAAAGTGCAAGGTTTAATAACCTCAAGAAATGTTGTATAACTAGTAAAAAAAACGTGCTGGATAAGGAGAAAGTTATCGATCAATGTCAAGATAAACATCATATTATATAAGGGCTCGTGTGAAATATCGGGAATGTGGGTATATCGACCTCCTAAACGTGTTGGGGGCGGGGCGAACTCATATAACACGTTACAAGGAGATACGTCACAAGATATGAAACTACTATTGAATAAATAAATAAATAAAACCCTGTCCTACCTACCTTAAATTTACACCAAATGACCACAGTTTCACTAGCTATGATACTTTCCATCAGTACAGCATGACAAGACCTACAGCCGAATTTCAATGCTTTTGTTAATTTTAGAAATGACTGTTAGAGTATCGTTGAGTCATACCTTGCACTTAATTTTATATACAGTGTGTATGTGTATATACATCCATTATATCAAATTCACACGATATGTAGTATATGATGATAAGCAATATAAATATAGTTTTCCGAATTAAATACAAAAAAATGTAATCTTGATATCAGACGACGAGTGCTCTCAAGCGAAATTAGGCATTTATGAAAAATAAAATTACCCCAAATGGAGCCTCATCGGTCATATCGCAAGGGGGACGACTCTAATCAGAGGTTCTCCACCTGGAACGTGGAAGGTGAGGTCTGTGTACTATTTATGGAACATGGTACTTAGTAGCATGTGCATTCTAGTAGAAGAAGCAGAAAACACAGTTATTAGGTCTGATAGAACGTGACCAGTTGACTATACAATGTTTATTATGTAGCCTTGTCACAAGATAACCTTTTACATGTTGTATGTAGCTAGATTGTCAACGTTACACTTGTTCAGGCATCACCACCAATTGGTTTTAACGTGTGAACTTCTAATAATTAATGAGAGCTGTGCCGTTGTATCAACTTAGTCTGGGGAGAACACAATAATCTGGTGTTTTACCTGTGTATAATGGTCTGGGGAAAACACAATAATCTGGTGTTTTGCCTGTGTATAATGGTCTGGGGAGAACACAATAATCTGGTGTTTACCTGTGTATAATGGTCTGGGGAGAATGCAGTAATCTGATATTTCCTATCAATGATGGCCAGGAGAGAACTCGGTAACCTGGTGTTTTACCTGTCAATAATGGCCTGGAGAAAACACAGTTACCTGGTGTTTTACCTGTCAATAATGGCCTGGAGAAAACTCAGTAACCTGGTGTTTTACCTGTGTATAATGGTCTTGGGAGAACACCATTAGATTCTGTTTTACTGGTATGTAATGGTATGGGGAAAACACAGTAACCTGGTGTTGTACCTGTCTATAATAGTCTAGAGAAAGCAGTAATCTGGTGTTGTACCTGTCTATAATGGTCTGTGGAATACACAGTAACCCGGTGTTGTACCTGTCTATAATGGTCTGTGGAGAACACAGTAATCTGGTATTGTACCTGTCTATAATGACCCCGGGGAGAACACAGAAACCTGATGTTGTACCTGTCTATAATGGTCTGTGGAATACACAGTAATCTGGTGTTGTACCTGTCTCTAATGGTCTGGGGAGAACACAGTAACCTGGTGTTGTATGTGTCTAATGTATGGGTAGAACATGATAAGCTTGTACATTACCTGGTTTTAAGTCTTGAACTTAAAGAATTTATGTGCCCAAATATAAAGATTGAAACAGAACATTACATTACATGCCCCTTTGTCCTTTTTTTGTGCAGCAGTTCCAATGGCAAAGAAAGTGTTGATCACTGGTGCATCTGGACTTTTGGGAAGAGCTTTGTATAAAGAATTTCTGAAAGATACAACATGGGAAGTCTTAGGGCTTGCATTTTCCCGAGCACATGGAGACCTGCGCAAAGTGGATATAACATCAAGTGAAGAATTAACAAAAGTCTTTGATGATTTTAAGGTAAAATTAAATTTTTAAAAATCCATTTCCTGACAAGAAATCATCAGTCTTTTGAACAAGAATTGTTAAAGTACTTGATATTCTCATTCATGACAAATGTTGGAGTGAAGATATAGGGTTGTTCTCAGATGTATTTCCGACAAATTTGAAATCCAAGATTCTGAAGTCACTATATTTAGAAAATCCTGCTCAGTGCTCTAGCAGCTGCATTTCTGGTAGGACTGTAATCAAAATCCTTGTTGGTGCTCTAGCAGTTCCATTTATTCACACACTAATATTGACTATAGTATATCAGACAAAGTTCAGGTTTGTAGGGTCAAGGTCAAAATCGCTGTTACAGATTTTAGAAAACCCTTCTCGGTGCTGTTACAGTTTCACTTCATGAAGGATTTTGATTAAATGTCACAAACATATGAAGGAACCAAATGTCTTGGACAAGTTGAAATTTTTTTAAGATTGTGGAGTCAAGGTCAAAATTACTTTTTTTTATATCTTCATCAGCACTTTAGAGGTTTCATTTATGTAGGAATTTGGATCATACTTCATATTCATTCAAAGGACTATACTATCACAGACAAGTTTGAGATTCAGAGTTGTAGGGTCAAAGTTTAGAAAATATTTGTCAATGCATCAATGACTTCATTCCTGAAGCGATTTTGATCAAATTTTACACAGGTGGCCATCATCTCCATCTTTCTATGTCCAGGTGGGAGAGTGAGGGGAATAGAATCATTTGCATTGTTTATTTACACCTTTTCTAAGATTTTAACCTTTATTTGAAAATATATACAATCACCCAATTCCTGTATAATTGCTATCAAATTTACCATTATCGAGAGCATCCTTGATAAATGCCAGTAAAATACACCTCTATTTCACAGCCACAGGTAGTAATACACAGTGCTGCGGAGCGTAAACCAGATGTTGTAGAAAAGCAACCAGATGCAACACGACGCCTCAACATTGATGCCACTAGGAAAATTTGTGAATTGGCAGGTAAACTCCCACCCTTCCTATCCCCAAGAACTGAGTTTGTATGGACACGTTCATAAACATGTACATGTAACTGGTACATTGTGAACAGTATTAAGATTGAAATGAGAATTGGCATTTGCACCAATTAATTGAAAAAACCATTATCATTTGTCTAACAATAGCATTTGTTATTGTAAACACGCATGAAATATACAAGATATTTTGCCATAAAAATATTGATGTTACCGGTGTTGGTCTCTCTCATCATATTCAAAGTCATGTCTTAAAAAATCTTAAATTAGATTTGGTTAACATTCACCCCATATTATTATAGCATCAAGTCTTACACATTTTCGTATAATTGGGGTCATCGGTTGAGGTAAAAGGGTCAAAGGTCATATCTGACAACTTCTGCAAATTCGTCAAGCAAGGATACTCCAGTTCACGGGAGCAGAGTCTTTATGTCTACAGACTTTTTCTAGTTACAGACCAAATTCAACAAAGTAAATATGTGACCTTGACCTTGAAGCATCATTGCAAGTTATTTCCGTAATTTACTTGACAGGAAAGATTGGAGCCTGGGTGTTATACATCAGTACTGACTATGTCTTTGATGGGAAAAATCCTCCATACAACGAGGACGCCACTCCCAATCCTCTCAATAAATATGGTGAAAGTAAACTGAACGGAGAGCTAGTTACTCTGGAAGTCTCCAAAGGTAAGATAATGAAATTATTAAAAATGAAAAATAACATCAAGGAATTGTCATAAAAAACATTGGTTTTTTAACTAAATAAAGATCCAGTTTATTTATATGCTAATATTTTTCAATTGCACTCTCTATAATCACAGGGCTTTCAGTGATGTATTTTTCCAAGTAGAAAGTTTGGTCAACAAATTTTAAAATTCAGGTGAGCAATAATTTCTTTGTGGGCCTTTAACTAAATGATATCTTTTACCTTTGATCCACAGAAAATGGTGTCCTACGAGTTCCTATCCTATATGGAGAAGTGCATGACCTTGGTGAGAGTGCTGTCACTGTTCTGTTTGATAAAGTCAAGAACACAGGAAGTCAATGTGTGATGAATGATTATGAAAGGAGATATCCAACACATTGTGCCGACATAGCAGTAGTCATCAGACAGTTATCTGATCAGAAACTACAGGTACAAATACTCATTTCCTTGGTTTGTTGCAGTTTTTTGGCGAGATGTTTCCCCCTGTAACCAACCATGATAATTCCAGACATCTGGGGGTTATAATCAATCACGAGCTCTTGAAAGCAGATCATCATATCAAATATTCTTGGCCTACAAAAGAGTATTTAAGATGTGGTCTCCTGTAACAGCTGGTGGCTATCTCACTGAACAACGTGCAAGAGGCCCATCAAATACTGTTTAGAGCAAATGGAGTGAAGACAGCTTTAGATGGTCATGATCTCAGTTGAGAAATATAATCTGCACTACACAGGGGTCAAAACTTGTTATCAACGACAATTCTAAAGAATATCCCATTATTCTTGCTTCAACTTCTCCAAACAGCGAAGTTCCAATTCATATTAATTATGATAATTATGAGTCAAAAATATCTACATTAAAATATTGAACATTTTATGTAGTTCATGCAAACTTTGTACAAAATAAGAAGCCTTACTTAAGATTATCGAATTTGTTATTTGCATATTACACATAAATTATTATTTTTTTAAAAAATCGAAGCTTTCCGATTGGAATATTTTGGAAAGGATATGGAGATGGTCATATGGAAAACTTCATATTCAGTATTTGTATCAAATGTCCCTAAATAACCTGACAATGATTTATTTTTATTTTTTATACACAGGATCTGCTTGACTGGTAAAAGGTGCAAGTAATTCATTTCATGGAATTGCTATCTTTTCCATAATAAAACAAAGGAGGGGAGGTTGGGAGGGGTTTAGGGTTGGAGGGGGATGTCATACATTTTTATGAATATGATTAGAGTTCAACCTTTATGAACTTATCTTTTAAATGAAACAAGTAGACTATTAATGTATCCTTGTCAGAAATTCATGTTTCCCTTCTTTTTTCCTCAGGATCCTAGCAATATAGGAGGAATATACCATTGGAGTGGTGATGAAAACATGACCAAATATGATATGGCAGTTGCTATGGCTACAGCTCTTGGAATCTCAACCAATCATATTGAAGCAGACAAAAATCCTTCAGTTGGAGCAACAAGACCCTATAATGCACATGTTGGCTGCCAAAGAGTTGAAAGTTTAGGTTTTGGAAGAAGAACACCTTTCAAGGATGGAATAGTTCCAGTGTTATCTCCCTTTGTTGGAAAATAAATTGAATTGTATATATCGACCAACAGAGACAGATCAGAATATCTGATAAGCCACTGCATGTTTGTCAGATATGTCAAGGACTGTATCATTGACTCAAATCATCAGCTTAAAAATCAAAGATACAATGCTTCTGATACCTGAAAGCTGTATCTTTTCGTAGGATAGTTTGAACCGAATGTTACCTATGGATTCAACAAGGTTGTTCACTTTTTTTATTCAATAACACAGACTGTGAACGAAATTGGTTCAAGAAATATCCCTTGTGTAGAGCATAGCTTCCATTTTGGTAAATTGTATGGTGATTGGGTTTGTTAGATTCTCGCAAGGTTGATGTAGTTATATAATTCATATATACTATTGGTGTTGGTTTTACTAGTAATATCCCAATCTACAGACAAGTTATTACAAGTAGGTCAGTGCACTACCAATCTACAGACAAACTACTACATTAACATTGTAGGTCAGTGTTCTACCAATCTACAGTCTTGTAACTACATACATGTCAGTGTTCTACCAATCTACTGACTAGTAATATACAGGTCAGTGCTTTACCAGAATATAATTGACTGGATGGAGGATCCTTTTTGCTGAATCAGTTACAGGAAACAGATATTTCAGTGACGGAGCATCCACACACTTAAGCTTTAATATTTCTGTAATCTTCTTAAAGGGGAATTTTTTCCCAATACTGAGTGTAGATGGGCAAAGGCTGCTGTGCAATTCAAGTACAGAAACACTGCCCAAATATGTAAGCTACAAAATATACATCATTCCTGACTTGGTTATTTTTCAAGTTGATTATACATGCATTCATTAAAATATGTATTATATACTTTAACATGTCTTACAATTAATTCAGCTCTCAAGGAAAAAACAAAGATAATCAAATATATATAAAGTTATAGGGCAACAGTGATTTCTAACTGATTTTTAATATACATGTATTTAACAAGCTTTAATGGAAAATGTATGTTATGGAAAATACTAATTCAAATAAAGATAAAGTATTTTATCTGTGATACTCAAATTATTTACATTTACAAGCATAATAAAGAGTTTTAGTTTTTATAGAATTGTGTCATATTTGAACAAGGGACTCCTTATTTTCATTGGTTACAACTGCGGAATAAATGACAAATGAATGAATAATTTTGGAGGATCTTAAACTATTTAATATAGGCATATTGTAACAGTTCTACACTAGTAAATTTTGGCATTTTTGCCATGGACAAGTCATGTACAGGAGAGCGTATTTTGATCCTGCGAAGATGTGTGTCTCTGCCATTTTGATGGTTGGATAACACCGCTATTTGCACCATAAATGTCCGTATGGGTTTGTTGTTTACTTGCTTCATAGGGATGGACACCCAACCAACCGGTTCACTTAGCTCTATTTGTTCAATTTCTAACAAGTCATTGAAATGACTTCCAGCACGGATGGAGATCCTGAAAGATAGAATATAAAAACATATTTCATGGACAGTTATGATATACATAGGTATAATTAATTATCTTTATTTTGCTATTGTTGTAAAATAAAGTTTACAGTTTCTGTACAGTTCTGACACAAGAGCCATGCAGGGCAGAACAAATATACATCCACAATGTACCAAAGAAACTTATATTCATGATACAAAATGCATAAAAATCTGGAAATGTAGCAATCACAAAAAACGAAATGGTGCTAATGAATTATAATTAAAACTCTCATTCCTGAGCGATACAATGTACAGTAATTAAATACAGGAAGGTATTTATACCCCTAACAGATATCAACAATCTGTGGGCAATGGAAGGAAATGTGAAACACATGCTTGATTAAAAGGTCAACTGAGAATATATGTAAAATATTTCAATTTTAAAGGACAGACCACCTTTCCCGATCAAGGACTACAGTTTTTGTAACCATAGCAACAATTTGTGAAAGAAATGAAATGCACACTGTTAGGGGGAAGTTATGAGTTACTTGTGGTATAAAAAGTTTAATTGACACCACCTACAAGCCTGAGAAGAATTGCCTGTACAAACATTTGCTATTTTTCAACAGAGGGACATGAATCAATAAGTAACCTAGGAGATAGTTTTGATATGTGTAGTTTAAGGACCTGGGAGTTATCTAGACAAAGCTTTATATGTAAATATCCTCTTCAGGGCAGAGACCATTAAGAAAAGGAAGTAAAGATCAACTTATTGAAACGTCATAAATTGAGGATTATGAAAATCATCAACTAAAAGATCGTGGCTCCCCCAATGGGACAAAATTTAAGTGTGAAAAATAACAAAGGGCAATTAAAGAGCTATGATTCTTGTTTACTGCCCTCAATTTTTTGAGATCTATCGTCCTATGAAGTTTCATATTGATACTTCTTATAGTTTTAGTGTAAAATTCCGCACTAGGTATGAAAAATAACAAAGAGAAATAACTCTTAAATTATGCAAAAGAGTGATGATCTCTTTGTTGTACATAAGAAGTTTTATGTTGATACCTCTACATTTAGAGTGAAGTGTCTTGTGAAAAAACACAACAACACATGGTGGTTCATAATCTGAGATGTCTAGCTGACGACTTCTTCTGTTCAGGAAACCCCTCTAAAATTTAGCATTGATAACATTGCACAATACATGCAGTATTTGGTAAGTACAAACATATCATGGCTGGCAGGCAGAAATGACAGCGACAATACTAACACAGTAAAATCCAGTTTTTCTTCCATCACCAGATTTTGTTATGGGTGTGGCAAATGTTATTTGATAACTCTTAAGTCAATTCAGAATAAGTAACATTAATCGCTAACCTTTTTTTATGAGCACATTTCAACAAAAACCAAATACCATCGTTTATAGGGTGATATCCTTAATCTATACATGTATATGCAATAATAAAACAGAAAGAAAACTATTGTTTTACCCTGACATGGCTTTAACATTGATATATCCTACAAACCTGCACCCTCTGATATGAGCTATCATTGTATAGGAACAGAATCATGAACTACAAAATAAATCCAGTCTACATTGTAACTTAGATATTAGACTGTCAGTGAGTCTCTAGGTAAAGCTTATGTACAAGTAAATCTTATAGTTTGAAAAAGCATGAAATCTACCTGTTTGGTGTGTAGCTCTCGTCTGCCTTGTAATCAGTATAGATACAGATGTCATGAATGGTAGTTTTGCGGCGAAACTGAATATTGACAAGGTGAGGTTGGGGACCATCAGATTGCCAGTATGTATCTGAGGAATCATCTCTCAACTGGTCTACACCAAAACCTACATTTTCAAACAATATATTTATATACAATTTAAAATACATATTGACAAAGACATTTCACATTTTTTGAAGCCAATCACATATACTGTTATATCAGGTCAGTGAACGTCTGAGGGGATGTATCAAGGCATTTTATTTCTCTCTTTAATTGAGAATACATAAATACTTTCAATATGAAGGCTTCAGATTGATTTAAAGTTGATGTTTTATCTGGCCATTATACATATTTTCATCCAAAGTGCACTATACCATACAAGTAGTGACTTTAATTGTTGTAATTGCTACTTTGACACTGAACATAAAATATTCATGAATTTTAATTGTCAAGCTGTCACACCCAATTATTATAACATATGAAAATGTAGTTTTTCCCAAGTAAATGTATAATACCTGGTTTACATGATGACAAAGACCAGACTGCGTGACCGCCGACTTCTCGCAGCTTCCCTTCTCTCTCTTCTTTAAACACATCAAGATCTGGGTTGGCTGTTAACTTGGAACTCATGACTTCTACAAATAAACAAGATATATTTCAAGATGTAATTCATTGTTTAATTGATATAATTAAGTGAATTAGTACTTGTCATTCTAAGTGCACACCTAATTGTAAATGTTATCTATTAAAATGCATTATGTATTTGCAAGTACATGCTGTTGTCCATGTATGTATATCTTTGAGGATGTCATGATCACTTGACTTACCATGTAATGTGTGCATTCAATAAAGTGGTTGTTTGTGTTAGTAGCATTAACCATATTTTGTAATCTGTCTTGCTTTACATGTTTGTTGCATTGTCTCATTTCTTTCAGTTCATACCCTATTATTAAACCAGTAAACACCTCAAGGTCGGGGTATAACTGTAGCTAGTCACGCGGTACGGCTGCTGGGAATTTTCTAATCAGTCGAGCTGTAGATAGAAATGTCCAGCTAGAGACTGAATAGGCAGGGAGTTTTTCGTTACTCCTTCCTATAACATACGTACCAGTCATCTGTAGGCCGTTTCCCTCTGGTTTTGTCTAGTCTGAGACTAGCTACAATATAAGTGAAAGTAAGAAGTACACAAATGCAGACCCTGTACAGTAGCCAGACTACTAACACACACAACAGGCTTTTCGATCCTTTTCGTGGTTTATCCCTACCGGCAGGAATGTGATCATGACGTTCTATGGAATGCGGTCTGCATGATCTGATCCCTTTAACGAGATACATCAATGTACATGGGTAGAGTTTTCGCTGGACATGTACTTACTTTTGTGATGTCAATGTTAGCCAAAGTCCGGACATAAGGGCATCGTTGTTAGTTAATTACTCAGCCTTTGTAGTCGCTGGAAAAAAGATTGGCGGGTTTTGTTTTGGAACTCTTTTATTTTGAATCTACTGACCGGAAGTAGATTTAACACATTATCTAAAGTATATACATTTTATTGATTAGTTTGCAAACTGTGAAACGTGTATTTTTTGTTTATGTTTTTATTAATTTTACATTTGAATCCACACTATACTAGATATACACATACATTGTGTGTACAAACAAGAACTAAAGTTTATTTCCGGAACATTGTCGAACGCTATCCGTGCAATTTATTGTTTTATGTAGTATACATCCGGTCCGAAATAACTTGCGACTAAACGAATAAAGGAACAAAACATGACTAAAATGCAGCAGTATTCACATATGCATCTATGTACGCGTAAGATACAACGCAAGACAACCCTTAATCGCAGGTTCTCATGTAAGATATTTTGATTAGGCCAAGAGCAAGGCAATTTTAATATCACGGTACATCTACAGACTACAACAGAGTTCTCGCAGTTAATATTTAGATTATCTGAACTTGTCTATGCATCTTTGTTAATCACAATTAAGCCCTCACATGATTTACATTGTATCAGCATTTACCATTGTCATTTGTTGCCATACATTTTTAAAAATATTTGCGAAATATTCAGAGTTATTGCCCTTTGTGTGCTGTCATTAAGGATTTTCTTTGCAGAGATACGTCTCTGATCTTTGCAGGAATAAAATGCAACAGGAAAATGCAATAGGAAAGTATACGGAACCAACGCAGGAAGACGGACCAGAAGGCAAGATCATCTTTAACAAAGTGACTGAGGGCAGACACATGTATGTGTATATCATAGTATGTACATGTATATCTCTTTATAGAGGGTAACGTCAGTTTTGCCAACCTCTTCTTACATTACTAAAACAAAACATAAACTAAAACAAAAGACAATATCATTGGTGTCTGCTCTTCCTCTGTCATTCAATGACAGGGTATCTGTGACATATACAGACAGACTTATTAATCAAACAAACAATTAAACTAATGTAGAAAATTTCATTAAGTGGTCATTAATCTTTTCCAAGTGGACCGTTTGCCTTGGGTATATGAACATTTTTTTTATTTACCATTTACTTTCGATATATCAGCCAAATGTTCTGTTTAATGAAGAGTTAAGCATGATTTATTTATATTTTCATGGTGAATTGTTCATTGTAAAGTGAAAGGGGTCAGGTTAATTTCTAAACATTTCTTCTACAAACTGATATGGTATATAATTTTTATCTACAAGCTTTTGTCAGTGATTATGTGAGAGAACAGGATTATGTAATTATATAGTTGATTCTTGCATGTATATTAACTAGTGTTTCTTGAATATCTCAAGTCAGTTGAAACATTTTGAAATTTATTCAGATCCAGGGAATTACAGTTGTATAGCTTGTCGGCCTCCATGGAAAAGTTGAGATCATTTCCTGTGAGAATCAATCATGCAGGACCAAGCTGCTGAGACATTACTGGATGTTGTTACACCAAATTTTGTACAGTATAAAGATGCTCCTGCAGTTAGGTTTGATGATGGAGAGGCCATTGTAGTGTCTACTTACTCACAACTTCAGAAGTCAACTGAAAAGGTATCAGAATTACCTTTAATGAACATCAAAGTTACCAACCATGTGAACAAGAAATATTTACATTTATAATCAGTACACTGATAGATCAGATAGAAAATTTAAAGATCAGCTTATGGTTATAAGCAGGATTAATCTTGAGTCATTTTCAGTCACAGATTTATACCTTTGAGTACTAAAGTAGTGTCTATAATTACTGTTGGAAATGATGAGCAACAGCTCCACAATTTACATAGGTTGTTGTCTTTTTATAAGTATGGTTTTTACAAAATTAATACCTTTCTTTATGAATTACATTTTTGCTTTTTAATTAGATAACAGCTGCACTGGAGAGGTTTCATGTAAAGGATGAAATTGTTGGTGTTTGTATTCCACCATCTCACAACCTGCCTTCTGTTCTCCTTGGGTAAGATTTATCTCTATACTGGTATGTAACCAGTTGTGTTATAGAAACAGGTTGTAAAGTTGGTACCAGATTTGCCAGATCACACTTTAAAAGTAGTGATTTAAAAGTGAATCAAATTATCTGCTGAGAAATATGTCTAATTTTATTTGTGCTCAAGAATAAAGAGAACACTAGTAGTAGTGTTGTATCTGGTTTTCCATCAAACAGAAACATATGGCAGTGTAATTGATAATATATATCTGGTAAATGATTGTCCAGTTTTTTACTCAATATGGAAAATACCCACCATAATCATATCTTATAAACTATAAACTTTATTTATTTTACAACAATTGCCAAACAAGTTATTTCAACTTATACTAATCACTCTTTTTGGTCCGGATGTACGTGTGCGAAGGGTCGGATGGCGCAGTGATAACATACTCGCCTTTCACCTAGCCGTCTGGGGTTCAATTCTCAGAATGGATGTGAAAAGGCATTGGGTCACCTCCCACTTGGGTCTTCCCCTGGTACTCCGGTTTCCTCCCACACTCAGACCCCTCGCACGCTTCCATCAGAGCCAACAATAGTGATTAATATAAGTTGGAAAAACTTGCTTTGCAATTGTTGTAAAATAAATAAAGTTTATTATAATCATATCTTTATCGTCCTAATCACACTGCAAACATTTCCATATGTAATACAGTGAAGAACTCTAGGATTTTTTGTCTTGTTGTATTATTGTGCAAATAAAACAAATTATATGCTGACCTATATATTAGTTTCTTTAAGAATATGTTGACAGTTTTGAGGTTGATGCCTAATAATTACTGAGTATATATCAATATGAATTTCTGATTAGAAATAACCCAATTCTAAGTTATTGTTACATCAGCATTGTATCATTACTTGCCAGTCATGAAGTTGAACACTTAATATGCACAAGTTTTGTTACCAAATTTTCACTAGTGAAAAGGCCAGTATTGTGACCTGCTTTTGTCAGTTCAATATGATATGGGTTACAGGATTGACATGCTCACGTTGGGAAAATTGATAGAATAACTTGATATTTCCTGACTTTCTATTCAGTATTTGAAAAATAGAAATAAAATGGATCTAATTGAGTTAAAACAATGTTCAAATATAACATAGAACTTCATATGAATACATACAGATGTGATAACTATTCAAAAGAATTGATTATGAGGTATATTTCTTCGATGGCCTTTCAAAACACACTGTTACCCTTGATTTCGAAGGGCTGTGAAGAGATATTAGATGACTAGAAGTTGACAACATTGAAAGTCTAAAAATTTAACTGCATGTCTTCTATTGTGGTATGCAGGTTAAAATGATATTTACTTGGAAAGAGACGATCTATGAATTATTTTAATGGTAAAAATGTTGACATATATATATATATTAATAGTGTGCTGGGGAGTGGAGGAGCCTTTTACAACTTTGAGCCAAACTGTGTGAACTTTGTCCAGCATGTTATCAGGGAGATGGGTATTCGTGTTGTGCTAGTTGACCCTGAAAACTTACAGGTTTGTGAATTTTGCTATGGTGTTAACAATCAGGATTAGAAAATGCAACATTAAACTACCTTGACATAACATTTCCTGCTTGTTTTCTGAAATGCTAGTCTATCTTTTTTCAGCAAGCACCAATATGCATATTGTGCATATTAGAATATAATTATGTGCTCAATATATACTAATACTGTGTTACATTTGAAAATAGAAAACTACTATTTCTGAATTGGAATATACGCTGTTATTTTAAGAATGAAAAACGTGCTTCCTTTTCACAGGTTTATGTGAATGTATGTGTTGTAAACACTAAATGATCTTTATAGTATTAATTTAGATACAATAAATCAAGAGGCAACTCGGTGCAACTTACTATGACATATTTATGAATTTTACCTGTAGATAAGGAAGATTAACTGGTTAGTTTGAGATATACATGGATGAGGATAGTCCAACACTATTAGCCATTTTTGTCCAAGGGTTAATGTTGCTGCTACAGTTTTGACACCTTGGTCTTACAGTATATCAATAGTTTAACATTTTCATGCTTTTGATTTTCTTTGTGTTATGTTTGAGTAATCAAAGTGCCATTTTGACCATTTTTTACTTCACTTAAAGGAAGTAATCAATTATTATCAATAGAATTTTGTAAAACTATACTTTGGATGATTTTATTAGACATAGTGTGTCCTCCTGTTTACTGTTATAGAAGTTGGAGCCTATGCTGCTTGGGTTTGATGCTGTGACTGTAAGTGATGCAGGGATACGGGACATAGGTTTGATGCTGGTCCAGCTTCAGGGAACACACTGTAAACACACTGGGAGTCTAGCCTACTGCATCACCACCTCAGGCACAACTGGTACACCAAAGATAGTACGAGTACCACACCAGTGTATCCTACCTAACATCATGCATCTCAGGTACCTAACATCAGGACAGCAACTTAACATATATAGTCACTGATATCCAGTTTGAGTACCTTTGGTTACAAGAAAATGACAAGATGAGTATATTTAAGTTTAAAATCCATGAAATTGTATGGGTTTAAGATGATCAGGGAAGTCAGAAAATTGCTTCAAGGCTATTGAAGTTGACAATGACTCCTTGAATGTTTGTTTTATTATTATTGCATTAGAAGTATATATAAATCACTGCCCTTTATAAATGGCTCATTATACTTTTATTGAAAATAAAACCTGCAATGCTGTCATTAAATATTAGGTACAAACATCTTAAGGTATGAAACATTTAAATATGTATATTGGTCCTCTAATTGTTACAGAAATATTTTCAAGATTAAAGACAATGACCTCATATTCTTAAGCTCTCCTTTGACCTTTGACCCAAGTATTGTTGATGTTTTCCTGGCCTTGGGAAGTGGTGCATGTCTGTTGATAGTCCCACACACTGTAAAGATGATGCCAAGGTCTCTGCTGAGTATGCTGTATTACCGTCACAAGGTCACCTACCTACAGGTCAGTACCTTACTAGTGTCCACTTCATTGTCCTACCTCAAACATCTCATAGCCAAAGGTCACCTACCGACAGATCAGTACCTTACTAGTGTCCACCTCATTGTCCTACCTCAAACATCTTATAGTCAAAGGTCACTTACCTACTGGTCAGTACCTGACTAGTGTCCACCTATTGTCCTACCTCAAACATCTTATAGTCATAGGTCACTTACCTACTGGTCAGTACCTGACTAATGTCCACCTATTGTCCTACCTCAAACATCTTATAGTCATAGGTCACTTACCTACTGGTCAGTACCTAACTAGTGCCCACCTCATTGTCCTTCCTCAAACATCTTATAGTCAAAGGTCACTTACCTACTGGTCAGTACCTGACTAGTGTCCACCTATTGTCCTACCTCAAACATCTTATAGTCATAGGTCACTTACCTACTGGTCAATACCTGACTAGTGTCCACCTATTGTCCTACCTCAAACATCTTATAGTCAAAGGTCACTTACCTACTGGTCAGTACCTGACTAGTGTCCACCTATTGTCCTACCTCAAACATCTTATAGTCATAGGTCACTTACCTACTGGTCAGTACCTGACTAGTGTCCACCTATTGTCCTACCTCAAACATCTTATAGTCAAAGGTCACTTACCTACTGGTCAGTACCTGACTAGTGTCCACCTCATTGCCCTACCTCAAACATCTTATAGTCATAGGTCGTTTACCTACTGGTCAGTACCTGACTAGTGTCCACCTATTATCCTACGTGCATCTCAGACGTCCTATTGTTAGACCAGAATGATTTGTAAGCCTGAAAAGTGGGAGTATAGTAAAGGATGTTGTATCATGAAAACATGTGTGCTGTTTATCTGAACAATGAAAAATTGGTCATGGGCCAGAACGTAAATGTGGTCATCCAATAGGAATGAATTGTGAGACACGATAAGTAATTTTGGTCTGATTTAACAAATATATAAGTTATTATGGAATGGTGTTTGGTCTACTTAACCTCAAATCAAGATCCAAGGTGCATGGGTCATCGTTCCTTACCAGTGGCAGTTTGTGTTTCTCAGGAAGCTGAGAAACAGTCTGGGCTGTGGCCTTGAGTGAGACACTTTACCCTAATTTCTCTGTATAAAATGTGACAAGCCTCCTGTATGTTTTCAGAACAGTGAGGTAGCCATCAGGTATTACAAGAAAACCCCACCTCAAAATGACTCTGACTGTTCATTGGGTGATAAACCCAACAAATATAAAATTGCTACCTTTTATATTCTACCTACTTGTTAGAGTCACTTTTTGTGCCACACTTGTGTTCATCCAGTAGGTGTCAACCAGCTCTCAAAATCAATATGTTTTCTTTAAACTCTATACATGTCTTTTACGTTTCATCAACACAAGCATTTGTTTTATCAATTTTTTATGTACTCTCAGTTTAAGATAACATCCTTGCTAAAATTTTAATCTCATCTGTATTTTTCCAATATCAAGTTGAGTAAAAGTGTTGTGATAAGAGATTGAAATTAAACCTTGGAGTCTGAATGATTAGGAACAGTTGTCTTGTAAATAATTGGTCAGATTTACTCTGTACACATGTGTAATTATTTTAGGCCACTCCATCCCTGGTGTCTAGAATAGGATCAGAAGTTTTGAAGAAGACGTTGCTTGGAAGTTCCTCTCAGCTCAGAACTCTTGCTTTTGGAGGAGAGAAATTTCCTTCAATATCCCTAATCCAGAAATGGAGAGCTCCTGATAATTCAACAAAGTTTTTCAACCTGTATGGTACCACAGAGGTGTCATGTTGGTCTACATGCTATGAAGTGACTGACAGGGACTTTAGGTAAAGTTTATGCCTATTGTCCATGATGCTTGTAACCATTCATCAGACTCTTTTCTGGCTGGAATACATAGCCTTTTTCAATATTCAAGTACAAAATGTTTAGATGGACATGCAGTAATGAAGTAACAAATTCAGACTAAATAATTCTACTCATCATTTTTTCTAAAGCTGTTTTGTGTTTATCTTGTTTGGAAATTAGAAGTAGTCAAACTAATGCGTTTCGGACATATAGCAAGAAATACAGTTGAATGGTAGGCCTGCTAATTTTTTATAATATTTAGGTACTTATGAGTACATCAAATGATTGAAGAACATAAAGGACAAAAATTTGATAGGGAAAGAAAGTATGTAATATGATAAAAAATTGTCAGGTAGCAAGTTGTAAAAGAATGTGTTCTGTTGAAATTTTAAAAGATTTGATGATGTAATTCAGGATTTCTTCCTCAGGGTTGATGTAGGTGGAGAACAAGTCACTGTGTGTTTACATTCTTTCCAAAATGTTTACTTTTCACACTTTTTACAGTAACCTGACTGATGACATACCTTTGGGTCAACCTCTGAAGGATACCATAGTAACAGTTCTTGATAATTGTGGTAGGGAGGTCCTCAATGGCAGGGGACAGCTACACTTGGGTGGTAAGTCTTTGTTAAACTGGATTTATTGTGGTCATTCACACAATTCAATTTGCTTATAAGTGGCATTTAATACTTTGCCATAAATCAGTATGAATTATTAATGAGAGATTTCTATTGTACTTAGATAAGGCTATCTTTTGACCTGGAACTGTGCCTGAGAGTGCTACCGCTTTTACTAATATAAGAAACTAAAGATTTGTCCAAGAAACAATGTTATTGGTCACTTGTTTCTGCTGTCTTTTTTTTCAATTAATTTAACATTACTTCCAGTATCATATGCATTTAAAATCTTCATACAGGAATAAAAAGAAGGCAATGTTACTTGGTTGGAGAAGAAGCAGACTCAGGACAATCAATATTACGGGCAACTGGTGACACTGTTGCCATCAACAGTAAAAGGGAGATAATCTTTCTCAGTCGTGAGGATGACCAGGTCAAAAGGAATGGTCAAAGGATAAATCTTTGTGAAGTTGAAAAGGTAAGGGAAGGTAAAATTCTGCATTTACAAGATTTACTTATTTCTTGATACAAAAGTACATTTATCGCTGTCATGTATTATTCAAGGAAACATGTTTTTGAATTTTAACTGCTCATTGTTTCAGTCCTTTTTGTTTGTTTTCAGTTGTTTTTTGGTATCTTTCCGTTTTCATGTCACTACTAATGATCTTAATGATGTTCCTTTGTAGGATTCTATTTAAGGTCTAATTATATCATGAAATATAGTACCTTAAATATAAAATTGATAGAGAAACTAATGATTACTCTCTTGTGTATGTTTCAAGCTTTTGGTAAAACTGTAAATTAACAATATAAAGGATGTTTACATTTCACTTGTTTATCTTTTTTATGATCCTTTGTTGATGCATTAATAAACAAATATTGTTTATAGTTACAGTAAACACAACTGTTACTGAAATAAATTCTGAATTCTACGCAACTTTACTATTTTCTTCCAAACAGACAGTACTGAAGCTGGAAAATGTCGCTGACTGTAGAGTTGTATTTGATCAGAAGAAACTTCTGATTTTTGTCATATCACAAGGCACAAACAAAATAGTTCCACTGGAAATACACCACTGGATACAAAAATGCCTTCCTTCTCAATACTGGCCTGACAGTGTTGTTATAGTTCCCAAATTTCCTGTCACCAATCATGGTAAGATAGTGTACACTAAATTTGATCTTATGTGAGAATGATACCATCTAAAATATTGAAAAAAAAATTGAATAATTAATTTTAAAATATTCACTGGTTTTGTAGTATTTGTTAACAAGTGATCAAAACTGTAAGGTTAGATCATTATATTTACTTATCGTTTTAAGTTTTTTTTTTATTTGATATCTTCACCTGAAGGAACAATTTTGCTTGGACATTTTATCTTTCCTGGAATAAGCATATAAGCATTTTTTAAAAAAAATTTGGAGTGGAAACTGTTCACTGAAATATTTTATAACGGAGGAAATGTGATATATTCCTCAAAAATCCTCAAAATGATCACTGAATGAAATTGAAAATAATATTTACTAGAAGTGTCCATTTCATCATAAGATGATGTCAAATGTGGGAAGGATTTAACTGGTGAGTTGTGGACCAATTTCGTTTCAGCTATTTGTTAGTATTGGTCCATAACTTTCCAAATTCCCCAACCCCAACTCTGAAGGATTGTTTTGTTTTAAATCTTGATCAACACCTTTTAATTCTGACATATTACTTTGACAACAATGAGATAATCCATGATAACCATGCTCGGAATAGTTACTTTGTCACTCACTTAAAAGAAATAGTTTGATGTACTGAGAGAAAATTTGTGAAAGAAAAAACATTTGCAAATTATATTAAGTTTTGACATTATACATTGAACTGTTCCAAGTGATGCTTTGTATAATGAAACTATTGTAGGTAAACTGGACAAGACTAAATTACTACAAACATGTTATGAGCCTGGGACTGTAATGAATGTTGACACAGCTAGGAGGATACCTGTTATTGTCGAGAAGATCTGGATGGTAAGACATGACATTTTCATATATTAAACACTAATCCACATATAATTTCAGCAAATTTATTTCACCTAAAAACTGATACCTAACGTGACCTACATTGATACAACATTTGGATGGTTGAACAGTTCTGATATAAGTCCCTTTTAATTGGTGCTGTACTAATGCTACTGATCTCATGAGTCTAGAACTATGTAAATCAGGGGATTTTTCATTAGAAAACGTATGATGACTAATATTTATTTGACCTTTTTCAGGATATTCTGCTAAGAGATGAAAGACCAACCACAAACACAAGATTTATTACTAGTGGAGGTGACAGTCTGTTGGCAGTTCAGTTTTCAGACAAAATAGAATCAACTTTCAACATAAGACTTCCCAAACTTTTAGATGTTGTTTTACATGATGTATATACTGATATCCTTGGCTATATAGAGGGATGCCTCTGTGATCAAATACCACTACAACAAAACAGTCGAAAGGAGAAGGCGTGTTCACTAAATCATCTCAAAGCATCAAATAACACTGAACCAGTATTAAAAAGATTAAGGACAGAAAACTTGAATGTAAATTACGTGGATGATTTAATAGAAAAAAAGAAATTAGATTTATCCATCAGTCTTAAAAATAATGAATTGATTAAAAAAAGGAAATGTGCTGATAAAGATAATTTAGAAATTTACAAAGATGAAAATCAAGGCAAAAAGATTATATGTGATGAATCGCTGATAAGAAGTAAAGACAATCATTATAAGTCATTTGGTGACCAAATAATCTGGTCAGTTGGGAGAGGAAACAGCGGTATGAATAGAGGAACTGATATGAAAGCAGATTTAAGGAGAAAATACAGATCTTTCTACCACAGTAGTACATCTGATCTCCAAACACCAGACAGTAACCTGGAAGGACAACAGGCAGAAAACCTCTGTGGATATACACCACACCAGAGAGATATAATCTTGAGTGTCTGTTGGAAAGTTAACACAGGCAAATGTGTGGATGCCTCACCTGTTATAGCCAGAGACAGGTATTGAAGAAAATATTAATAGTAAATTATTGTTTCAAATGTAGAATACCACCAAAACTAAACCCTTTTTGTCAAAAATTACATTTCTATACTAATATTTTATAAATGATTATAAATTTAACTTTATAGGATTGGGGGACATACAGTATACATTGGCTCCCATTCACATGAGTTTACTGCCATCACCATGGAGACAGGAGAGGTGAAGTGGAAGACAACACTGGGTGATCGCATTGAGTCATCAGCTTGTGTCAGTGCTTGTGGACATTATGTCATTGTAGGTAAGTGTTTTGAAGATCAACTTTGCATAAGCTATATATTTCAGTAATATCATAATAGATTTTTGTGTTTAAAAAGAGTTTTGATGTTACTTATTTTGGACGTTGTAGGATGTTATGATGGAACTGTTTATGTGATGGAGCATTTGACAGGAGAAATCTGGTGGAAGTACAAAACCGGGGCAGAGGTGAAAAGCTCGCCTGCTGTGGATCCTCAAACAGCTGTTATCTATGTAGGATCACATGATCAACATCTGCATGCTTTAGATTTAAAGGTAATTAGACCTCAACAACTAAGATGTAGCAAACAGGACCTGCTAGTGTGAAAGTAAATGTGATTGTGAATGATATAAAGAAAAGTGCTGGCAATATTTGATGATTTTCTTTGTTCTGAAATTGTTGGGGTAATATCTTCAAATAGTCATATTAATATGTTGCTTGAAGAATATGTAATTTATATGTGTTATCATTAGTTCACAAATTTCTCTCAACAGTAAAACTCATCAGTTTGAAATCTTTGGCATATGTTAAAAATGCAATGTATTCGTATGGTGGTACAATTTTAGTCATAATTTACTAAACTTAATGCTTGTTTACATTTTAGATGAGAATGTGTCTGTTTAAGACTTATCTGGGAGGAGGAAGCGTGTTTTCGTCTCCCTCTGTGAATTCTTTACTTCACACTGTCTATGTTGGGACGCTGTCTGGTGCTGTGTCGGCTGTAGACTCAGTAAGTATCATGGACAGTATAACAATGATAAGTGATATATAATTCAACTGAAATCATCTATTAAATGCCAATTTGCTGCATTTGTATGGAACTGAGGTTCAAAATAAAAAATAAAAAATCAAACAATGGCGGTTTTATTTCGCAATAAATGCTGCTTCTGCTTAATTTCAAATATTTCTTTCTGCTGTATTTTAGAGAAATGGTGACATCCTGTGGACCTACGACTGTAAAAAGCCTGTATTTTCGTCTCCTTTTGTATCATCAGAGGGCATTTATATCGGCTGTGTGGATGGGTGCCTGTATCATCTGTCCACAGATGGTGTTCTGGTACTATCTCCTTACTGTTCTTTAAAAAAAGACAATTATTTTCAAGTACTCCATTGCTTACACCAGGGTGTGTCTTATCTCTACTTATCAGCCAAAGATTTTGATGAAAATTAAACCATGAGTAAATGATGCTAAGGAATATTTAAATGGGTAATTGCTATAACGTGCAATATCTATGATATTTAATCCCTGCTCTGTCTCTTGTAAAGTTAGAATGATTGTGCATGTGCATTAGCAACTAACTATTCAAATGTCAGAACCCAGGAAAATGTAACCACTAGATGATTAAGTCACGCGTAATTTGTAAGTGAAAACCCAGGAAAATGTTACTAGCAGATACTGAATGTATACATAATTTGTAAGACACAACCCAGAGAAATGTTACCATCAAATAGTAAATTTATACAAAATTTATCTCGTTTTCCTTTACAGATTTGGTCCTTTCACACTCTGGGTCCAGTGTTTTCCTCACCAGCAACTTATCTACAACTTCGGCAGCAAGATTTAAAATCATATAAAAATAAATCATCCAATCAGATGATCGTATTTGGATCACATGATCACTGTGTATATTTTTTATCATATGATGGTAAGTTATTATGGAAGAAGAAGTTGGATTCTCCAGTATATTCTACACCTTTTTGTTTTGATTTGATGTTTGATGAACAGTGGAAACAATCTCAGATTCGTTTTGAGTATGAAAGTGTTAATTCATCTAAAGAGGATTCTGTGCCTGTTGAGGGAGATGTTAATGTGATAAACGGATCAAAGTCACATCAACAAGAAAATATGACAAATTCAAATATTAACTTTTCCTTAAATCAACGTCATGTGCAAGAAAATTGCTGCACCAAGTTCGGAATTTCTGGTGAAAAAGACTTTAATTTTGAATCTATGGAAAGTGATGAACTTTCTGGTGGAAAAAATAAAACAAAATATGGACCCACGGATGTAGAGTGTTGTAATGATTTAACACAGTGCAATATCACAGGAACATTAGTACATCAGCTAAGTGATAAAGTAAATTCTAATGTTGAAGAGTTGTCAAAGGACCTTACAGTGCCTGAAAATCAGGAGTCAAAGTTATTGGTACCTGAACGGTTTACATCACAAGTTGGACATAAAGACATGTTAGATTGTCAGCAATACACAGAAAATCCCATGTCAAGGTCACCACATCACATTATGCCTTTGTGTGTAGTTGCCACAACAACAGGAAGTATCCACGTGATTGACAGACGTGTTGGACAGGAAGTGGGAATGGTGAGGCTCCCTGGGGAGGTTTTCTCCTCTCCTGTTGTTTGTGGAAACAATATCATAGTTGGCTGTCGGGACAATTATGTTTACTGTCTCAAGGTCACTCCTGGCACCACCAGCACAGATGCCAACAATACCTGATAACTAGGAATGCCAACCTTCAACTAACGACATACAAGTTGTGCAATAAATTACGTTTTATTAGTTAATGTTGTTCGAGTTTTACCAAAATGCCTTATATTAGAATATGTATTGTTTATATTCACTGCTAGGTAAGCTTGCTTCCAACATAACTCTCTGTACCATGTGACATGTCACTGTCAGGAAAAAATCTAACAAAACAGCATCCAATTCTATGAAATCAACAGAACTTTTGTAAAACTTGAGCAAAAGAATGATATACCGCGAGACTTTCAAAAAGACCAGGTGTTCCGGAATATTAACCTCCTACTTTATCGACAACACCGCGATGTAAATCTTGGTCAATGTCACATTGTCAAATGAAAAAAGTTTTAACAACCGTGAACATTTTTATCCATTCACGGAATCAATTAAATATCAACACATATTATGTGCAAGCTAATTCTAAATACCGATGTGATTGTGGAAGTACAAAACTACCAACGTCTTCGTGAATTACCGAAACGTCTCGGTAATGAAACCTACGGGTATCGAAACGCCGGTAACTCATAATGAACAGGCATACAAAATGAGCATCGAAAACGCATTAATTTCCATGAGAGAAGGAAATGCGAGTAACGCCTAAGGAGATCATATTGGCGATCATGATACTTTCACAATTTTCCATCTTCAAAAGTTTGTTAAAGCAATTCCTTAAGTATGCGGTTGCAGGGAGAAATTGCAGAAATGACTCTAACACGAAGAACACGTTTTATTACAATTTTAATTACACTGGAATTGTCCTTTTTAATATTGTGTTATGATTGTTTTTTTTATAAATATGCCACATGAGGAATCAAACTGCATCATGCAGGACTCGTCAGTGATCGTCCTCGATACTCCAGGAGATACGTTTACTTTCGCTATCAGCACCCCTGGAGCATGTTATGGCAAAACTGAAGGTCCTTGTGCGACATCTTGTGGACAAAACGAGATGACTTGTTTAATCCTTTGATGTACATCAAATGAATCTCGAGGTCGCAGGACGGTATATTGTAATGGCTTAGAAGTATAGCGTCGCTCGTTTGTAATCTTTTAAAGGAGCATAACATCCTGTGATTGGTCAGGTTTTCTTTCTCTTGGAACCAATACGATTACTTCACCCGTGTCTGCAATTTTGCCTTGACATGTTCAAGGGGTGCGGAGAGGGAAATTGATCGTAAACCTTGGAGTATCGAGGATGGTCAGTGATGTACATGGACTGACTAGAACAGCTTCCATAACATGCCATGACGTTACTTCACAAGGACAAAACACTCAACGTGTACGTGGTACTGCTGGAACCTTGACATTGTGAACAAAAAATGTAGGTGACTGTATGGTCTTATCTATTTTATCTTAGTCCCTAGTTCTATATGTATTGTAGATCTGATCAATAAACTTCAGGTTAGATCGATTTTTATTACTAGTATATAAATACTTTAAACATAGATTTCGGCTCCCCTGATTTTAACAACACTGATGATGACTTGTCGTACGATGGAGTTATATCATGTATTATCGAGTAATCACATTTGTTGATAGCTAATCGATTACTTTGTCTCTGCAGTGGTAAAGACAACTTTAAATTCCCGACAACTGAGATGATACTTGAGAACTTTTGAGCTAGTGTACTCCATATCTAGATATTTTACTTTCTTTCTATCGCTTTGGATTTTCCTTAGTCGCCTCCTAAACTTTTAAATTAACGTTATTAGGATCACTCACTAGCGAGTCCTAGAAGCACGGAACAGCTGTATGATGCAGTTAAATTCATTGTTTGGTTCCACTGTATCTGATTCTAAATTTGAATTCAAATATTTCTTTTGTACAATCTTTATAATGATCATGGACTATTACTTTAAGAAAATGAAAAGGGTATTGTTAAACTGAACCCCTTCATTTCCCTTCGACTTCGTTGTTGTCTGTCCTGCGAAAACACATGTTTCTGTAAACTTCTGAACGCTAAACAGTTAGCCGTTCAGATGAGAAATCGGAAATATGAAATTATTGTTTCATATCAATATCACAAGTGGTAAGATGGTTGGATTTTTATGTTTTATCCAGTATACTTTTGTAAAAATGATCACTGAATGATGATAAGTTCTAATAGAAATAATTAACTTTCAAAAACTTAATATATTTCTTCCTACTGTGGGTCTGATTTCGCCACTTATCTATCCTTAAAAGAGTTTTGTGATTGTGGTAGAATGTTGATGTTTTATTCTCTATCACTGACTTTTGACAATTTGTATGTAGAAATGATGATAGCTATCATGCGTTTGAAACATTCCTACCCTATTTTTTCTATTTTATTGCATCGAGATTGTAACCAACTTATACATCCACAGCATATCTATTAGCTATCACATTTGGTGACAAAATAACATGATAAACACTCTTTTGGTGACAACAGGAGTGAATGGGTTATGTCTTTTTATACCATTGGTGGCAATGTAACCTAATTAACACAGTTTTGGCGACAACAGGACCTAATGGGAAATATCTGAACTCACATTTGGTAACAGCAGGACACAACCATTCATGTCTGCATGCACTTTGAGCTATAACAACTAAGACCAAACGGTTGATGTCTCGACACTGTTAAGTTGGTGACAACAGGACCTGATTGTTATTGTTTAAGTCGATTGTTAAAACAACAGCCAAGACCCCAAGGTCACTGTCTGAATGATAGGACGTAGATTTTTTTTCTGATTTAAAGTTGCTGACGTGACTTAGATGATCGACAGAGCTAACAGTGTGGTTTACTTCCTTCAATTCGACTGAGCTCGTTGATGGGAAAAAAAGTAGATTATATATACTTTTTTCATCAGCGAGCTAAGTGCTTGTGATTGTTTATTTCTATTTAAATTTATGTTGAAATGGTACCATTTACTTGTGTAGGTGTTGTAAAATCTGTTATATACCTATACATTTAGGACTATGTATTCGCCAAGGAGTGTCAAAAGTGGGTCACTACACGTTTCTAAATATAGGACCAATTCAACCATAGCTAACTTTACTCCGGAAATCCCAGGATCTCGGGCCCACGGAAATATACGTTGATATAATTGTTAGGTGACAATGAGTTTCGTCACAATGCTTTAAGGCCACACCAGGGATGGCAGCTAGGAAACCAACAGGAACACCGCCTATGATCACGTATTAACCCAAACAGAAATGTAGGGGTGCAAGATTATCACCGCCCGGAATTGGGATTGAACAGGTGAATATATCTCCTCAAATATTACTTTTGGCTAGATGCCACAAACTTTCACGATGCTCTTTTAATACGAAACATATTTGAATATTCTTAATATTTAAGTTGATAAGTGCATGGCATGTTGAAATCAAAGTGAAACCAGTAGGGGAATAACTCGCTGTGAATGAGAAATCAGACACTACACTAATAAAGGTACGTCACTCTGTCGGCCTTGCGAAACGACCCGATTTCTGGACACTTGTGACGGTCACTAGACCGTTCGAGATATCTCACTGGAAATATTGTTCTAAGTCAATAGATAAACAATTTTCTTTAATTAGGTATTGTTTTCCCTATGTATGATGTCAGGACGAAAACACTGTATAATGCAGTCTAGCTCATTATTTTAGCGACACATCGTGGTAACTTTGTGAAATCGAAAAGTGATACTCACTTGCGTGAATCTTGTATAATCCTTTTATAAGTGTTTTTGAAACACAACCATCCATTGATGATATTTCTTGATTAACATCATCAATATTATTACCTATCCTTAATACATACATACATACATACATACGTACGTACGTACATACATACATACTGTATGTATAAAACAAATCAAGGAAACAAAGCAACACGTCTTTGAATATAGAGGCGTTGCATGGTTCCTTTGGAGTCTGGTCTCTTTTCGCCAGTTCTGACCATCTCTCCACGAATTATTTCCTACTTCTGTCGTAGCTGATTTACGAAAAACAAGAATCACGGAATGGTAATGAGATCCTTTCTCACTGGCTATGTTTCTGCAGCTGTCATTCTGTGACGATATTAACAAAATACTCGCTTTACAGATCAAGCATGGATAAGAAGCCGAAGTTTGTGGCTGCCATTAAAATCGGGCATGCATATTCCGGATATGCTTACTCCTTCGACGATGAATTTACACAGAATCCTTTCAAGATAGGAATATCTTCCTGGCACTCGTCTGCCAGGCATACTTCACTGAAGACGTCCAGTGCTATTCTATGTCAACCCGACAGGAAATTTCACTCATTCGGTTACACTGCAGAGGACCGATATAGTAATCTTGGCGAGGAGGCGAATCAATGGTTCTACTTCAGTACATTCCCAACATATGCGGTAGGTGTATCAAGATTATAACATATGTAACACTGATATTCACATCTTTAATCACAATTATGCCATCGAACTCAAGTTTACAAAGATCACAATAGACAAACTTTGCTAGCACAATGTATAAATTAGGACAATGTCATCACGTCAATGTTACCCCAAGCATCATCAAGGTGCTGCTCACCTGTTTGTCGTCTGTACAAAGAACAATGATTTTGTTCGTTTTTTGTATCTTTAAAACCTTATAGAATTTGACTTAATTAATATTTTATTGTATTAGATTCTTATAGATTTTTCAGACCAGTTCTCTTAAACCGTTCACGGCAATTACCCGATACTTAAAACTTTGTAGAGGAATCAAGGTAGTATGAACAATTAAAGATAACAAACAGAAATTAAACTTGTTGTAATATTACCATCTATATATATGTGTGAAATTGTGTGTCTGTCTTTAAACAGCGGGTTGCGGGGATTAATAACACACTTTGCATTATCTTGTTTATATGATAAACGCTTCGGCTATACAGGAGCTGATTACTTATTTGTCTTAAATGTGTGAATGTGACATTACGTAAACAGATTCACCAAGATTTACATGGCGGGTGTCGCTGATGATGCAGAAGACGTTTACTCTCCAGAACACCTGCTCTTATTCTTGTATTTTTTCAGGAGTCGCCGTGTAAATCTTTCTTTAAAGTAAAGTATAGAGAAAAGCACTAAAATATGATTAACTTTAGAAACATACATTTTCAGTAGATGTTTTGTAGCTTATCTAATGAATCATTCATATGATTGATTTTTTAAAACATGTTTTTATTACGGTAAGATTTTGTGTGAAAATTGCAGCAACTGGACGAGACCAGTGAAATGACAGATGTCACGGGACAGAAGAGCATGCTTACCCTGGATCTGTATACTATGGCTATACGATTTTTACGTAAGAGCCTTGCTGAAAAACTCCATGCTCGGTTGAGCAAATTAGACGAAACAGACATAAACTGGATTTTAGTTACTCAAAGGTCATACAACGCTGGTTTCATTTCCAAAGCGGCGGAACAGGTAAAATTGACATTGTGTTATATAAAATTATGCCTACATTAATAAAACGAAGACTGATGATTCGATTTATATAACGTAAAGTTATAGGTTGTAGAATTAGACATATATATGCTCCCTGACTTTTTAGTCCCAAAACCTCACTGTAGAGTCCTAGATAGACAAACAGCTTCGTATGAAAACACAGCAAATGGAGCGGCACAGTTCCAATAAGCATGCCAATAGTCTGTTGGAAAATCTTACCACCAAACTCGACGAAGATGTCAACCAGAATCTCATTTTCATGATTTTTGCTTCCATATAAGTTTTCACGAGATACACTTCAGTATAGTTCACGACAACATAGTTGTACCGACGTTCACATTTCTTGGTAAAGAATGCTATCATAACAAGATAACGGAGGCGCTCTTTCAGTTTATAATGGGATATGGTGGTGTACAGAGTGGATTTATTATAGAAGAAATGTTTTAAGTAGAGGATGCTGAAGAGTAGTCAAAAACCCTTTGAAGCTCTTTAAAATTCACATACTATTAATGCCACTTCTTGAGAAAACAAGATCACAATGAGACTGTAACTCACATTTGGTAATTCTAACAATGGTGACAAGTTGTTTGGACAGGGGTTTGATTGAAGAGCGAGATGATATTGAAGTAAAAGACGTTGTTCATATACATATGTATATGTCCTTAGTACAATGATTTAAAAGTATTGTATATTTTGAAATGAAATGGGTCATTGGCAATGTTTGAAAGAGTTAAGTTATTGAAAAATGTAGAGGTAGTGATGAAAATTTACTTCGCAACATTTAATACATAGTGAAGGACTGAAAATCACATCGAAAAATATCTTATTTAACCAACGGTAATATGTTCATACAGGCTGGGATCACTCAAAACGTCACAGTTCGCACAAAGATGAATTCCGCCTTGACATACTTAGAGTGTTCGTCATTGTTTAATGGCCAACCCTTCACAACGGGTGAAAAGTTTCTCGTCTTGGATGCTGCAGGTATGTGTTTCTTAAGTCTGCTGGCTTATAAATAGTAATGATAAAATAAATTCAATGCAAAACATTAAGTTTTTAGTAAGATGAACTAATATCATAAAAAAAAACAAAATACTAACATGCCACCTTAATCATAATCCAAAGTCAAATTCAATAAGACTAGGGCAAAGTATAAACAGAAGTAGGTTTATACGAAGACCCCTGAAATAGTTGAAAAAGGAGAATAAGATCAGCTGCCATTTTCAAATACAGGAAGTGTCATTGAAGAGCAATCAAGACATGGTGGTAAATAATGTGAGCGTAAATTTGTGCTTTTATTTGGCATATATAAGCATTAATATTATTCTTTAATTTTTAAAATTTGCAATCTTTAAATGATCTCTCCACAGCTTCATCAGTTGAACTGCTCACTTGCCGAAACGAAAACGGAAACGTGGTTACAACGAATACAATTACTATAACTGGAGGCGGAAACGTATTGAACAACGGAATCAAAAGTCTAATTGAAACGGTTTTGGGAGTGGACGACTTATCAGTGCAAGACGACATCAGACCACTGATTAAAGAGATCGAGTGCAAAAAGAAAACAATCAAACCCGGTTCCAGAGAAACGCTTGTCCTTCAACTTCCCGCTCGGTATAAAGATGCAAAGCCAGTGAATAAACGGATCGAGGGAAAGACAATTCCAGGACTATTGGATGACGCAGATTTTGACGGAAAGGTGAAACTAAAGAATGGCAAAGTTCACATAGAATTTGAGGTCATTGAAGGCATATTTATGGCTTGCGCACGAGATCTCGTTAGTTTGCTACGAAAATCCCAACAATGTTCAGAGTTGAAAGAAGTGAGTTCAATCGTTATGATTGGAGGATATTCTTCCTCAGCATTCTTGAAGAATGAAATTATCCGGGCATTTCAAGAGATCAAAGTACATACTTTATTTGAATCAAGTATAGCGGATCTAAAAGGGGCTGTGATATTTGGACACTCCAAAGGTGCACTAGAGATTAGTAAGTAAACATTTACACAATGCCAACTCTTTATCAATTGTAATGAATCAAGGTTGAAGTAGAGAATTCATGCGGGTTTTTAACTTAAATTATTTATAATATATACTTGGAAATTATAACATGAAGGGAAAACTTGTTTTATCTCTAAACTGCTGTTTCTACAATTTGTAATTTCAATTCAGAACTCGTGCATCTCAAGGTTAAAGAAGTGAGTACATTGGATAATACTTTCAAATTCATACAAAATTTAAAAGTACATTTGTATGTTAATGAATGTTTGGAGGTTGTTTGTAAAACTAATGAAAACATGTCTATATTTTCATGTTAATATCAGATATGTCAATCACTTGGTCCAGTATAAAAGGGGACGTTGACATTATGTATGTGCCCTCGGCTTTGCAGAAAACTTATTCATGCTTATTAGAAAATTATTTTTGAGTATCACAAATTTATTTTTCAGGTGATTCAGTGCGCTTTAGCCGTGAAAAAATCCAGCATTACATAAAGACTCTCCAGGATCAAACAGAAAAGGCGCGAAATATCCGGATTATAATAGTAGGCCAAGAACACGTTGGGAAAACGTCATTATGCAAACGATTATTAAATGAAAATGATGACGTTATTGATGCGATCACAAGTACTGATGGCATTGAGATATACATTCAACGGTTCCTCATCGATATGGTGACAAAGAAACGAATAAAACTTGACGCTAACACGGAAACTCAAAATGTGAGAACAAGGATTCAACAGTTGCTGCTCTTGAACAAACTGAGTGATAATGTGGAAGATCTTAGCACCGACGAAGTCCAGGAGCAGCAGGTGACTCTAGAGAAAGAACCAGGTACTCGAATTGTTTCGTTTATCTGTTGTTTTACCTTACTTTCGAAATTCTTAATATATTTTTACTGATATTGAGATTTTAAAAGAATTTTAAATATCTATGTATAGTATTTTCTACTAAGTCCGAATTTTGTGTATAATGGTATCAAGAACTATATTTTTTGTCGTATATCACCGATTTATAATGCAAGCATAACGATTAAGACCTGGATCTATCCAGTTTTAAGCCTGGGTATAATTCAATGCATTAGATGGAAACCCAACGTACTGTTATCGTTGGTGCCTTCATTGGTGGGAATATGCTCATGATTTTGTATTGACACACTTTAATTGATCATAAGCCTTCGATTGCTTCATACGTCCAGAATTTAATTTTTTTAAAATATGTTTTATTTCTCAAAGAACATAGAACGTCTGTCATTGCTGAAGAGACGACGCCACAAACGAAAAAGCTGCCAGACACAATGACACCACCGCTGTCGGCTAAGTCGCCTGTGTTAGGTGTGGATGACATGAATGTAGACACATTGTTGGAGACAATTGGGTCAAACCAAGTTGCACAAGAGCATTGGGCCAATGATTTGGGAAGATTTATAGATGGGGCGAACAGTATGAGCAGTCCAAATGCTGACCAGGCATATTTGTCATTGTGGGATTTCGGCGGAGAGGAGCCATACTACAACACGCATCATATCTTCCTCAGTAGTGACGCTGTCTTTCTGGTAGTTTACAACCTTGAGGAGTGTATTCTAGGATCAGAACAGGTCAAGGACGCAGCAATCAGTACGCTATTTGTTTTCATATTTGCTCATATGAGCCACTGATGGCTCTTTGATTTCCCTAGAAAAAAAAACCAGTATCTAATGTCACCTTGAATGAATAAAAGTCTATTTGATAGGCCCAGTTGAACAAAATTGTATTCAACTTGGTTTCGGAAGGCGTTCATTTTAAGCCAGTATCTCGGATATTATTCTCATGTATTCGTTGTTATCATGCACATTGATATCCATGTCTCAAACGAGGTGTTGTTTATTAAGTTTTGGTAAAACTGAACCTAACATATCATACATGGCTGTAATAAAGATGAATAGAGTGATATATGATTTCTTCGTTATTGTTAAAATTGGTCTTCTAAAACATGGAGTTTTCTACTGAATCTTATAAACGCTTGATGCCTTAACACGTACGCTGTTTACTTCTAGAACGTGTTGACATATGTAAATCTCACTTTCGCATGTTGTAGACGATCGTATCGCAAGAAACTTTCCTTACCTTATAGGTTTTCTTTCATACCTATTTATATAAATAATCATTTTCTTTGTTCTATTCGCATAGAAAGAATCAAATACTGGATTCGTTCTGCCGTGAATTACTCAGAGAAGAAAAACCCTCGAAAATGCTTTGTAGCAACACCTCCAGTGATACTGGTAGGCACTCGCTTGGATAAGTTGTCAGGAACGGTATGTATTTGAATGCAATCGTGTTAAAGCAAATATGGCCATAAGCTCATGACAAAGATAGAACATTGTAATTTATTTGATATATAAATCAGAAGGCTTCTCTATTGTCTTGAATGGTATATGTGAAAATTGCTTTCTTTGTCCGAAGAGAACTAAGGTTAATTATCTTAAATATGCTTAGAGATATGCTATTTTCGTCGATGAAATAGGAAACATGTTTTGTGATGAATACTCGCTATAAAAAGAAGCAAAATAAAAAATACACAAGTAGATCATTTAAGTTCATGATATGAAAGGCATGTCACGTATCTCTACCATATTTTAAGATACAAAGAATCTGATGTCTTTATTCGGATGTATGTACAAATTGAACTGATACTAAATCATGGTATACTAATACCATTTTCTTAAAATTAGAAAGAAGAAATCCAACAACACCTGGACAAGTTCGAAGAAAAATTATGCGGCATGGCAGATTTTCAAGCAATGAAAGGTCACATATATGGATTCTTCGAAGTCAACAATAAAGTTAGGAACCATCCGGGAATTGAACAGCTGTGGAATGCTATCATAGAAGTGGCACCATCGCAATCTCAGTGGGAGAAGGAATTGCCAGCCCGATGGCTAACTCTGGAGAGGGAAATGATGCGGATGAAGGAGACTGGAGAAAAGGTTATGTCGTTTGAAGATATTGTGTCTCTTGGAAGAAGATGTGAAGTCGAAATCAACGATGAAACAGACATACACATGTTCTTGAAGTAAGTACACGTTTGATGTTACGCACTAAATGTCAGTATTAAGAATTTGAAAAAGACAGTTTAGCAAGTGCAGGCTTGATCTGCGCATTTGATGATATATTTATGTCTTCATGATAATGATGTAAAAAACGAATATTGCTTCCTAGCTTCACACGATAAATTAACTTAGTATCCCTACAAACTATATTATCCAATAAGCTTATCAGAAATCATTCACAAGACCTAAACATAATTTGTTTTGTTTTATGTATCATGACAATCTGTGGTGATTCGAGAATTTGTTTATTTGGTATCTGAATAGAAATATAATCGCTAGAAAAGAAACATGTTTATGGCAAACAATTTCAGTACTAGACTTGATGCACATGATCAGTGCCAATGGCTTATAAAAGTGCTTGTGTTTTGCCTTTTATTAAGATGATAATCATGTCGATGTAGCACTGGCACTGACGTTAGTCTATAACTTGCAATTCTTAATTTTCTTAAAGGTATCTCCATTACACAGGCAGCATTTTGTATTTTGGAGACGAAACAGAAAATCTTGGTTTGATATTGGCAAAAACTGTCATTCTGGATCCCCAGTGGGTAGCTCAAGCCTTCCGAAAGATCATCACCGTACCCAAGTTTGTTAATCGAAAAGACAAACGAGCCAACTTCTTATGGAAGATGTATCAACAGTCTGCCATTTTGGATATGGAGTATCTGCAGATTGTTTGGAACGAGGAGAGGCAGTTACGATTATGGGAGTATAGAGAAGTCATTCTAGCCTTCATGGAGCGACTAGGGTTGATTGCTAGACCAAATCATCAGCAACGTATCAAATCTGCGGGGGACGGAAGTGGGCCAGAAGAGTCCGACGTAGCTGTGGAAATATATCTGGTCCCGTCTTTGTTGTCTGGGAAAGTCATCTGCTTCCCACGTGAAATGACAGACAGGTATGCAATAAAAACAAGAACACTGTGCCTCGTCTTCTCCAGTCGATGTGTACAATTTCCTGTATTTGATAAACTTCTTGCTGCATGCATTGAAAAATTCAAGGTTATGAAAACAGAGGATGAAATCTGGTTGAGAAGAGGGTTCGGCATTTTCCGTATTGACAGTGTTTGGTCTGTTGTCATCTCTTGTGGCAACAATATTATCAAAATTACATTATTCAAGCAGTCTCCCGTCCCAACGATCGAACCCGGAGCCGGACTTAGAGTGAGATTGTTTATTGAGGAAGCACTAAAGAACATTATGGAACTTTACGATCATAGAGATCTTAATTTCGCATATCACCTGCATTGCAAGGCAATCGTAAAGGACGGGGACGTGACAGTGCCTAAAACGGAACTTGAACAACGCAAACTACTCCCATGCTGTTTATCTGAGGGAGATAAACACTTCGTCTACAGACACGAATTACACCCATGGTTCTCGGAAGCCAGGCCTCCGGTATGTTACCCTCTTTTTTACTGTGAAATTTAAGGTCATGTTCGCTTTTCATTGTGGATATTTTTGAAATCGATTATATTTTTCAACGTTGATCTTAATAATACAATTTCAATGTCGTTTCAGTTGATGCAAGACGAATATGACGAAGGTAAGCGTTGAATAATAGTTTGAGTCATTTAGTTATTTAGTGAGCTAATTAAACTATGTGTCACCCCATGGAAATATCTATATGCAAAGTAATGAATACTCTGTATGTTAAGCATTCTTTTGTTTCTATTGCAGGCTATATAATATTGAAAATGATGACACAATATGTTATTTCATAAAAAAATTGTAATTTTTCACAACATGTTGAGCTAAAAGGTAAGTTGTATCTTAGGCCAGGAGTGCATTTTACAAGTTTATTTGTCATTCACTTATCTATACACTCAATGTCAACGAAAATATCCAAAGTTTCAAATGATGTCTTATGTAGCAATCTTACGTAATTAATAAATTGTGTAATATCTTTGTAACTGTTTGCTTTGCCTTACTGCTTACAGAATACAACCTGGCTTCAGAGGTACTTGAGCGATGTCCGACAGAAGTGGAAATGCTTAGGTTGTCCAAACTGATAGGTCTAGAATATTTCGAATTCTTCGTTTGGCTTGGACTTGAAAGCACGGCAATATCATTGGTGAATATAGAATATCAGAGTGAAACGATGTGTGCCAGATTTCTGCATATGTTCGTTAAATGGAAGAAGGCTGAGAGTGACAAAGCCACCATCAGGAGAATCATGGATGCCATGAAAAAAAGCGGACTTGATACCAGTGAAGTTGTTCGAAAGGGTGTATTTGACACGGCGATACACGAGTTTTGATGTGTGTTTGTTAGCGTTCGAGTGAAAAGTTTAGATCGGATAAATGTGTCATGACATTTATTAGCCCAACATCATCAGATAAACATGGTGAACAATTCCATACCACCCTTTATGGCTTTTTTGTGCTGGATCCCTAATGAGAACACAAAAACGGAAAGAAAGTACTGTTAGTACGGAATTTCAATTAATAGCTCCGGCAACTGAAGCGAGTCCCTTAAAAACAGAATGACTTTTCCCCAGGAACTGTTCGGTTTTTCACAGATGATCTCGCGTTGCCAACGCTTAATACACTGCTGTAATCGACAGCGAGACTGTGAAATAAAAATTGTGTTAATGTTTTGAAGCCAAATGATATCAGAATTTAGCTTCACGGCAAACATGAAACATAGATCACATAATCAGGTCTGTTCCTCGCAGTTACGTTTTTATTAGATTTACTTAAAGAGAGTTATATCATGTCTTCCAATCTATATCTTCCAAATGCTGAAATTATTACATGGTGTCTTACCCAAACTAGAGGTGTAAGAGTGAATGAATTACACAACAAGACCACTTAAAGGTAGAGAAAACATTGTCAGTATCCATACTTGTGTATAAACTGTTGATAATCTGTTATGAATTTGATGATCTTCTTTTCTCTCATAGATAGTGTTATGATTACCACTGTAGATGTGTTCAGTCTGTCGTTTGTAAGTCTAGTCTGATATTTGACCACAATTTATTTCGCTTAATGCTACACCATCGACGTGAAAATAAGGAAATGTTTTGCAGTACTGGGGTAGCATTAAGATTGAAGCATTCATTACCTTCAACGAGAAGTTACATAATGAAACAGTAATACAAACAAATAGCTTTGGTGATGGGTCCATATAGAAAAATATTTACCTTTAGCATTGTTAACATAACCATTATTGATTATCAATCACAGAATTAATGTTTTAATCTAATCATGATCTGTATTTTCGTAAACTTACAGTTACATTATTGGCAGCTATTATAGATTTTAAATTTTCTTTGCTTTATTTTTCAAACTACGTTGAATCGCAAAATATGTCGTATAAACTGGGACAGAGTCTCAAATGGCTTATTAAAACACATAAACGCTAAATCCATCAACCAAAAAACAATTATGGGAACCTTTCATGGCCAATGATGAACGTAACTGTATAAATCATACGGGTTTCAGATGCTATTGGTCCTGGGGTGGGGCCTTTTGCTGAATATTCCTCTTAGACCTTCTAACGTTTTGTATAAAAATGGTATCCGTGACATTGGATCACAGGTATCTCCTGTCGACAAGTTTTCTTTACCATAGATTACAAAGAATATAATACTTTCAGGTTACATTTTATTTATACTCATTTGGAAGTATTTGGTGAGAAGGCAACAAGGCCAGAAAAAGTCAATTTAGCAAATTATTCAATGTTATACTAATATACAAATCCTCATAGGACACATAACTATTTCTAAACAGTATACAACAAACTTAAACGGTTGTATTGTTTTGCCAGTGTTCAAACTATCTCAGAATAAAAATGTAGCCCTGCTCAAATGTAATTTTCCATTAGCTCCTGTTTACACTATTGAGTGATCTCGAATCAGTTTATTAGATTTTTATACTGTTTATGTTTCTATTCGTATTTGTTACCATTGTGGTGCTTTTTCTTACCTTTTTACATTTTGTAAAGATCTGTTCACTTTCATTTCATATAATGAAGAATGCTTATACCAGGCATATGTAATAACGAACTGTAAAGCTACTATTCTTTATATTCATTGGATATTTTTTCTTTTTATCAGTAAAATACATAAGGGTATGACTGAGATAAGAGACGCATGTTTATATCCCAAAGATCATCGATAATTTGATATGACAACGGAAATAAATGACGACAAAAGAAATTGATAACGCTTTGTTGTACGATTTGTGATATAATTTGATACTTACTGCGTCCATGGAGTTAATAATAATATATTGAAAATGGGTAAAATTTTGTTGTAAATTTTTAAAACTAAATTATACAGAATAGGAAGACCATTGCATTTAGATATAAAGATAAAAAACAAGTATATTTTAGAATTTCATTTTTTACTGAACATGTCATGCAATCTGCAATTCATACGACTTATGCTTTTTAAATCAATAAAACATATTTCAAATATTTTGTTTATTTCAAACATGGAATATTGTCTCGTTTTCCATGTATCAGTTGTGATGTCACTGTATATTTTCTTTGATTACTGAAACGTTCTGTAAATAAAATGTGTACTTGGTCAATTGACGTCGATACAACAGAAGTAGCTAACTACTAGTATTGTCTTATTGCAGTTTTTGTCAAAAGACCGTTGTACTGCGTTCCCTGGCCAGGCGGAGCCCCAGGTTAGTTGCAGGAGGTCGGTTGGGCAATCCCCCTCGTTTTGCCCAATAGCTCGCTCTGTTATTCAGAAAAGTACGCCCTCTCTCGGCATATATTCTCTCGTCAGATCCGCGTCCTGAAATAGTAAACAAAATTCACTGTTTACAATAGTGACATTCATTCTGAGCATTTATATTTAGTTAATCATTTACTGATCTGGAGGTAAAGCAAATTAATCATGCTAATACCAATTAAGAAGACATATACTGAAATTTATTCACTGAAGAGAAATCAAATTGCAATCATTTTATACATTTTATATTGTTTAATTCCATTGAACACTGTGATGAAGACCAGATGTATATGTTTGTGAAGACGAAGATGGGTTTATTATATAAAGATCCATAGAAAAACGAAGTTTAATATGAATATGGGCGAAACATTTAGGAGATGTATATACATGAGCATCATAAAAAACATAGCAGAAGAGTAAAAGCATGTTTCAAAATGATGACCGGCCCATGTGTAACAATGACAACTACACAGGACACATACACTAAATATAATACTAAATAGGATATCTATGTTGTAATATCACAAAAAACTGTGGTCGCAAAATTTAACCATTCTCCACTTTCATCCTTTTATATTGCAAATTAATTCCATTGTTTTTTCTCTGTCAAATTACATAAACAATATTGAAAACTCATTTTGACTGTGAAATTGCAAAGAAAAGAGGAATGCATTCCTCATCGCAATTACTTGATATTTTGCAAGATGATGTTAAAAATTCTGACAAAGGTATAAATTGATCTTGAATGTGACTCGTTATAGAACCTATCAAGAGTTCCTTATCGTGTATATCAAAAAGAGAGATTATTAAAAAATATATTGGATAGTAACGGCTCTTCTTCTTCAACCTCATTTTCATAATTTTTCTTCTCAGGAAAATGATCACATAATATGAAAACTCATGAGTAGCTATGAGAAATTATTGCATTAGTGTTATATGATAAATAACAAGAGATCCAAGAAGGAACTTGACGCCTTGATATTCTTTGCTCTTGCTCTTATTCATATGAAAATTGGAAATTTGTCCGAAGAAATAGTGAAAATAATCTTTAAGTGTCGCATTAAAGATGATCGCCTGTCGGCCATGTTATTATTTTATCACTCGCAAAATCAAATATGCACAACGAAGGAATATGTAATAAGTAATTCTATCATGGTCAAAACTCAAGATGGCCACCCAAAGTCATTGTTTTACATTATCAATTCAGAATAAAAAGGACAGCATTAGAAACCAAGAAGAGGAACTAACATATGAAATTAAAAAAAAAATATCCAAGAAAAAACGGTGACCAACCTTCAATGTCAAAATCCAAGATGGTCGCCTGTCAGTTTTTTGTGTTTTTTCTGATCAATCCAAAAATCAAACGGACACAATTAGGGACCAAGGTGAACCTTTTTACGAACTCTGAACCATCCACTAGAAAAACGACAACTGTTTTTGTCAGCATTTGAGATGGCCGCCTGTCAGCAAGTTTTATTTTCTGATCAGTCCCAAAATCAAAATAGCACAACATGGAACCAAGGGAAACCTATATATGATATTTGAGAAAGATTCCTTCCGTACTTCTCAAGAGATAATGATGATAAAAAAGTCTTACGGGTGGACGGACCATGGACTTAATCAATATGCTTGGGCCAGGTTCAATGTTTTTGTTTGTTGCTAATGTGTATATTCAATCAATAGATAACTATGCAGCATGTGTATTTTTGTATGGGTTTCCAGCCTTTCATTTCCACAACGTTATTATTCACAAGTCGGCTTTGTGGGGAAGACATTTTGTTATGTCTTTGTGGCGGTGGTTTTTAACCTCACATTGGCTTTTTATTATAACTACTGAAAAATAATCTTTTGTTCATTTTATGATTTATGTAACTTTAAGACATGTTTTTAATTTCATAAATAAATACAAAATCACCCTCTCTGTAATGGTGGCCTTTTCATTCATATTCATTGTTGTGTCGTTTCTTGTCGTAGTGTGCAGATACATAAAAGGCAGCTAAGACATTAGCGTAATTTATGTATCGGAAACACTAAACAAGATACTTTTATTGTTTAATTTTTTGTTAAATAGATATATGAGTTATTTTTCTGTTAAAGAATTATAAGAGTTATTTCCCTTGATTTTCTTGCCAAAAATAACTAAGAGTTCTGTCCCTTGGATCAGAGGGCCATCGGTCATCTGATTAGCCAGTTACTTTCGCGGGGATGCTGAGATCCCTCTCATAAGGCAGCCATCTTTAATTGTAGCAATACAAGTCTTACGGGTGGACGATTCCTTCTGAAGTGCAATTTACCTGTGTATTCAACAAACTTGTCCAAATACTTTTTATCCGTGTAAAATTCTTCAAGAAGTTGCGGCATCTTTTTTTCTGTCGGATAATCTGATATTGATGACGTGGCACTCGTTACAGCACGACACGAGGTGGCGCTGGCGACAGTCTCTCCAGTCCTTCCGGTGGTTACACTGAACCCGGATCGAGACATGACGTCACTCTGGCCCTTTGATGATTTGCAAAGTCTGCCGAGGGATTTTGGAATGGCATGACGTTGATCGTGGGAGGAGTAAAACCGCTGGGACAGAACGTCATCCGGCCAGTTCTTAATAGTCTCGGGTCGAGGTCTTAAGGCAGTGAACAAATGACCCAACTGGAATATAAGAGTTTTTGTGATTGGGGAATATACTGACAGTGGTTTAATGGCAGAACAGAATTCACTTGCCTTCGCGTGGTGGTGCATTTAGCACCGCGGCCTAAACTGACGGACTTGAAAGTGAAACGGTAAGTCATACAGAAGTTACAGAGAAGAGAAAACTAAATTCCTAACTTTGATGATTCACAGGTAATCTATAGCCTGCTGGGTGCAAAATACATCAATATGTCAGTTAGCGAAAATCCAGTTATCTGTTTTCGCACTTTCTAGCTGATGTTAATAGCCGAGTATTTTGCGATAGAATCTTTACACGTGCATTAATCTTCACAATTGACTCATAAATTGGAAAGTTATTCTTCATTCGAATAAGTTACCTGTCCAGTGCCTTTTTCCAATCCTAGACCCGGAATGCCGTCGAAAATGAAATCTGTTACCTGACCCCTCTTCACTCTCTGGCCCTGAAAGGAAATGAATGATTATGAGGCTTCAAAGAGATGGTAAATAATAACATATAATAACATATTAACCATTTGCTATATCATTCAGAAATGAAAACACAGAAATCCAATCCAAACTCAATTTGATAAATATGCAAATTTAGGTCACTTGTATTCCAAATTGTTTAATAACAATAACAACATATTAACCATTTGCTATATCATTCAGAAATGAAAACACAGAAATCCAATCCAAACTCAATTTGATAAATATGCAAATTTAGGTCACTTGTATTCCAAATTGTTTAATAACAATAACAACATATTAACCATTTGCTATATCATTCAGAAATGAAAACACAGAAACCAATCCAAACTCAATTTGATAAATATGCAAATTTAGGTCACTTGTATTCCAAATTGTTTAATAACAATAACAACATATTAACCATTTGCTATATCATTCAGAAATGAGAAACACAGAAATCCAGATTGTTTATCATTAAATAATGCATTCATGTCGTTTGTATATTTTCATTGTTTTGTTTTGTTACTATATTCGGCGATAAACTCGGGTTTTTGTATTTTATTTTCAGTGCCGAATAGAAACTTGTTTTATGTCAAATGTATGTCCAAATAATTTGTCCCCGAAAGATCTTTCTCATACACTTTTCTTGTAAATGTATATCTCATCTCACGTGGTGTATTGATTTACTTATAATAACTGAAAGATGAATTTTGTTAACGCACCATTCATGTACCGATGAGTTATGAATCATGGTCGCTGTGTAAGTGCATAAATGGTCGTAATACACGGATGTTTTAAGTAAATCCATAGGAACATCTGCAGACAATGTGTCTTGATTTAATTTTTTTATTGATTTAAAGCGTAATGAATGAAGAATAAACAAATTTATGTACATTCATTTATACTGTGATAAATATAGCACACCTAAACATAAGACAAATTCCCAGCAAATGTGAATTATGCAAGTGAACCCAAGCAATGCTTCTGAACTAAACAATCCAAAGTATGACAAAAGGTTTAATACTTATGTTCGCTGTTAAGCATTCAGTATTTTGAAACGGAAAGCAATTTCTGAAATAAAATCAGACCGGGAATCTAAATGAAATCAATTTAGCTTGATTTTAGAGTAAGATTCACTGACCATTGAAGAAACACATTTACAACTGCCATACATTATGAGGGAAAAGGGTTTATGTTTGTTTACCAGAATCAGCCGCAAGGGCATTCAAGTTTATATATCTATAACCATCTTAGATACCACCTGTTCTTCCTAAAGTAACTCACATAATTTACACTCAATATCAAAGAAGTGTTTTTCCATGTCACCATCACATCACACTTGAGCCAATTACAAATTGTAGCAAAGAACATATATATTGCATCTTGTCTATCTACAATGTATATGGCCTGAATATACTTCTAAACAACAATTATACGCAGGCCTCGAATTTAAGGCTTTTTACTGGCTATTTTCACGTAGAAATCCAAGAATTGCAAGTAGAAAAAATAATGACTTGCTTTTTTCAGCAAGTGGGTTCAACAGATGCAAACTGTGAGTGTCTGTCTATTTATAACATTTCACAGAATTAAATTATTTTGATTTTCAAAGTGTAAATATTGGGACAAAGCAGTTCTTCTATAATGTTGATATATATTGGATGAAGCAAGGTAATACATTATAAATCACAAAACAAAAGACATTATTTGAACATGGAGATTTGCGATAATAGCAAGTAAAAAGTCATGTTAGCAAGTACAAATTTAAGGCACTTGCTGTTTTCAGCAAGTGGCAAAAAATGTTAAATTCGAGGCCTGATACGTCCCACTTTCGGAAATAGTTGATATTATTAACATAACATGGTGAACGATGACAACCGCATTGGAGACAAATTATTCTTCTATAACTAAAGATACCGCACCCTTCGTGTTGAATGTATTTACAATAACGTCCTGATTTTTACCCCATCCTACATGTTAAGATAAAGAATAGGGCTACTTGCGTTTCATACCAATCGACAAACTGTCTTAAAACGAAAACGTGAATACACAGCATATGACAATTTGATTATATGCTAGTTTTATTTTTCCACTGGATTAGGGGGCGGTCCCTTTACTGTTTCCCAGAGTGAGATGTCTCTTCATTTTTAACGGGATATTGCAGCAAAGAATAAGAGAAAAACCAGCACCTTTACATTACACAACTCCATCCCAGACCTTCACCAACACGTATTCTAGACTGGTTATATAGATAGGCCGTGTGCACCATATAAAACCATGAAGCTTGGCTTAAGATTTAGGTTTAACTAGCTACGAACTTTGATATTCGGGTCAAATGTTACCGTTCTTTTCTTTGGTGTGGGTTCCTCCTGAAATCAATTTGCAAATGAGAAAAACGAACAAACAATGTAGATCTATCTTTCTTTTCGTCAGATGTTGATACTAAGGAGTCATGAGTCCGATGAGACTATATATATCAAATTGTTTAAACTGTGCTATTTGAAAAACACATTCAAGTGCCGGAACAGCATGTGATAGAAAAATCCAAACATCAATAACATATTTGTCATTTATAATACAATTATTCATATAAAGGCTTGAATGTTCTATAGTTTTTAACGACCATATTTTTGTTGTAACTGGAATAATGTTTGTTTACGCAAAACATATAAAATGTTCGGATATATAAGCATACTTATTTCTGTCAGACCGATTCTGAATTGTCACTTAACTCTACCTTTCTCATGTGTTCAGCCGTAGTAAACAGTCGTTTCCTCAACAGCTCTCTACTTGCCGAGGAAAGATCCGTGCGACCCTGAAAACAATAATACACCGTGGCGTTATAAGGTGATGGGAATTAAACTAATCATAATATTTTATTATGTCGTTTTAAAATCAACACATTTTTTGTAAAATTTGAAGGCGTTATATTTTGATGACAAGATGAATCAAACAATTATTGAAAGCGAAGAAGTACCAAATATTGATAACCCTTCTACAGTCTGTTTAAGTATGTGCGGATAATATAAGACTTTTTAGTACCTGTAGATCCCTGTAATTCAATAATACCAAGTGCACCTCACACATTAAAACAAGTAAATAAGTACACACGTTTATCAAACCCTGTGTGATTTACTATTCGAAACTGTTACAACTTTATAATGCGTCAACATATCATCGGTAACTAGGGCCCAAGTTTTCATATGCTATGTACATATGTACATATGACAGGCAACCAATGGTGTTATGTCTTTGCTACGATTACTTCAAAGTGCATATGTGGTCTGAAACTTTCATCTGAAAAACAGTTTGTAATACCGTAAGTCCTCCAGCGTGTTGACAAGAGTATTCATTTGACAACTTATTCATAGTTAAGCAGGTTTAAGTTTCGTACAAAGTTGGTTTTCTAAATGTGTTGTTATTCGTATAAATAATCGATATAGACTTTCTTTTGGTTGATGATTGAACAAAAAGTGTCCATTATCCAAACTGTGTCAGTATTGACGAGTCTTTGTGTCTATTTGTATCTTTTTGTTTATTCTTCTCAAAGAAATCTAAGCTTGTTCTAGCAATTTACTGTACTAATGCTGTAAATACGGATACACAATAATGGTTATATCTTGTCAAATTTTCTGTATGATAATCCTGATTCAGTTCAGTAACAATTACATAACATAAATTGTTTTCTTGACTTTGTTTTGTCACAAACCTTTCTAAAGAAACCTGCACTGTTGTCCCGATGTCGGCCACCGGACGACGCACGTGATTTTACATCCCTCGTGACAACAGACGCCCTTGACTTTACATCTCTCGTGTGCGTGGACAGCCGTGACCTGTTGTCACGTGCTAAGATCCCAGGTCGCATGCTTGCGGCATTTTCCAAAGCAGATAATCGGCCATCAATAATGGACACCCTGCCGCCAGCACTAGGACCATTCAGTCTCGGAATATCCGCGAATGTGACAGGTAGGTCCTGTGTTTTTCCTTCCGTTACAGACACTGAGGGACGGACATCACGCATGAGGGTGTCGGACAGGTTACCAACTCCCTGGGCGTTTGATTTGAAAATTTTCTCCAGTTTTTATGTTTAAACTTAACACTAGATCACCTCTGGAAGGAAGAGAAAAACTTGTGTTTCTAGATCTTATACACCTTCTGGTAGTTGATGAATTCATACCGATAGAAAAATAGATAACATCAGTGTAAAATTTGATTTTATTGAAATAAGAAGAATGCATTATGTTAAAGTAGAATTTTCAATTGAGCACACTTCTTCATTGGTTGTCAAATTCAGCTTCCGTTATTTACGAAGTCGATAGTTTAACACAATAAATGTAGCTGGACTGAATACGCCCATAGACATGAAACATCTATTCTGTGAATAACTCCTTTGTTGTGTCGACTATATAGTGAGGTATCGCTCTCAGATTACAATCGTAAAATGAGCATCTGCTAATGAGGGCAAACAAATACATATACATATACACACAAGTGTTAAAACCCAAATCTTATCTTCTTCGATCAATATAAAACAACCTCGTAAAATACGTATATTTCGATATTTGAGCAGTTTATATCCAGCATGAATTTGAATAAAAAACTGAATATCATTGGCATATTTTCGGTTTGGATAGAATTAGATAATTTTTTGTTTCGAGTAAAATTCATTTCTTCAGCTACAATATAGCGTCTTACTTGCTCATATATTATCAGCTGCGGTCATCTATCAGCTGTCCGAGCACCAAAGATTCCCATCACAATGGTCCAAATGAATGGAAGTAGAGAAAAATAAAGCTGAAGTTGTGTTATCCGTCGAACCCTACACAGTAGTATTGATTTCCAAAATGTGTCGTCTCTTACATATATATCCGCACCTGTTACCTGGAATGTACAGTCATAATTTATCAAATTTAAATCTCGGTACGGTGTCTTGTTAAACTTGACATGTTATCTAGATTTGGATCAAATGTAAAATCGGATTAAACTCTCCACCCACAATAGGGAGATCCTTTAATGATCAGATATATAATGTATTTGAGACCAAATTTAATCTGGACGAGGCGACGTCTTCTGTCATTAATTGGCTGTATAGTTGTCAATCCAGAAGCCGAACACCTAATCGTGATTATACATGTAAACTTTTGCGAAAGGTTAAAAGCTGAGGTTTTAATGTAAGGTTTGTTTATTTAATCATGTGATTAGTTGAACGATGTCCCAAGATATTTAGAAATTTAAAAAAACCTACTTGTGCTTCATACAATTTCGAACAATCGACACATAAATATAGGTACGTATATACTGTAATTTCTAAAATACTGACCCATACTTTAGGGCCACTGATTACTTGTGAAGATATTTAAGATAAAATAAAATTGTGATGAAATACGTACCAGAAGAATGATGTGCTCCACGAAGACTGGATCAGGATTTGAACATTAATTAACGACGGCAGTGTTCACGAGAGTATGAACAACACATACCCGTATTACATGTGGTGTGTATGAACACGGCGCCCTATCTGCATATCATCCATTGTTCTATAAACAATACGCCGTAAATGCCTAGACGGCCATGTATCTAACGACAATGCCAAAATCCCGAACTGTTCTATTAGATAAGAAACAAATGTGCTCGTGTGTAGATATATGGCTACCAAAATACATGTATATATATGTACTATCTTTAAAACATGAGGTCAAAACTAAAGCTGTGCGGAATACGATTTTGTATTCTGTTTACAATTATTGTCACTCAGATTTCTGGCGTACCTCTGGTAGTGGCTGGCGCACGCGACCTGCCTACTCTCTGGCACGGAATTTATTGTAGAATACAACTACCTGTACGTACAACAGGGGTATATAATGACTGATATGTATCATTATTGCAGCAAAATTACGATAATTGTCTTCTTCAACAGCAGAATGAAGTTAAAATGTCTCACGATACAATAGAATGAATATAATGTAGTTGTATCATTCTAGAAATATAGCAATGATAAGTGGAGCGAACTGTGAAGGGTACTTTTTTACGTTCTGTTGCTTCTAACAGACAATTTTAAGAGGGAAGAGGGGATATCAGTATCACAATCCAACAGTAGTTATTTAGGAAGTTTAAACAACTACGGTCGTTTTGTCTGCAGAACAATACAATATTTATGATAATCAGATAAAACCCGAGTCCTTGTTTTCTTCCTTTCATCCGCCAACTTAGAAAGTTCCGATGACATCCACGGTCTTAGAATCTTTATATCCTATCCCCATGACGTCACGGGACGACTGCAGCCAGCGTGACTGCAGCAGTGAGACAATGTACTTGCTATGCGCTTTGCTAGCTATTTATGTGATATTAAGATGACGAATCATTGGATATATCTCATACGTCCAGCAACATTATGCGTTTTGACTGGTTTATCAACGTATATATCATTCACCATCATTGTGATATATGGTATGCTAGGATGCAGCGATGGGCTCTTATATTGTCAGCCTATCAATACGATATTGAGTATCGGAGGACCGCACATCATGCCAATGCAGACGCGTTTTCGCGGTTGCCTGTCAAAAGTGATGGGAAGTCCGAGGAATTGGAGGTATACTACTTCACTCAGATGGATGACTTACCAGTGACATCTGAAGACGTCGCGAAGGGGAGGAGACAGGATGTAGTACTGTCTAAGGTACTTGACTATACGCTGCGAGGTTGACCTAATAATGTGTCAGATCGCGACCTGCAACCATTTCATCAGCGCAGGAACGAACTGTCTACTGAGCAGGGTTGTGTGCTGTGGGGTTTGCGCGTAATCATCCCACCAGCCTATCGAGAGCGTATTCTTGCCAAACTACATGAACAGCATGTTTGAATGAGCAGGATGAAATCTCTAGCCCGGAGTTATTTGTGGTGGCCTGGTCTGGATAAAGACATCGAAGCGGTGGTCAGTGCCTGTAATGCGTGGCAGGCTACAAGGAAAATGCCCCCGGTGGCACCCCTTTACTCCTGGTCATGGCCTACTCGAGTGTGGCAGCGTGTCCACGTAGACTTTGCGGAGAAAGACAAGAGAAACTTTCTTGTGGTTGTGGACAGTCACTCTAAGTGGGTTGAGGTGACTCATATGGCAACCACTACTTCTGAGAGGACTATCGAAGTCCTGCGTTCACTCTTCAGTTCTTATGGCCTACCTTAAAAAGTTTTTTTTTCTGATAATGGCCCCCAGTTTGCGTCCACACAGTTTGAACAGTTCCTGAAACGGAACGGGGTCAAGCATACCCTAGTAACGCCCTATCACCCAGCTTCAAATGGAGCAGCGGAACGCTCAGTCCAGATCTTGAAACAAGCACTCCAAAAGCAGGTTTTTGATGGTGATGAACAATACACAATTCAGCATAGGCTCAGTAACTTCTTACTGAAGTATCGATCTACTTCACAGGCTGCTACTGGTGTATCGCCAGCTGAATTATTTCTTCAGCGACAGCTACGCACACCGCCGCTCTCGTTGTTGAAACCTGACACTGGAAGACGCGTTCAACGGAGCAGGCTGAGCAAAAACGACAACATGACAAAAGGTGAGTTCGGGTTCGAACATTCTCACTGAGAGAGTGCGTGTGTGGAATTTCGGTGGTAGACAGAAAAAGTGGATTCCGGGTATGATAGTGAGACAGTTAGGTCCTCTTACTTATCTCGTGCGGGTAGGACCAAACATTCGCTACACCCATGTCGACCATATCGTAGCGTCAGGGGAGGAATTGTTACCTGACGATTAACCCGTGGTGTCCAATTACGGATCAAACCAGTCGCAAGTGGATACACCCGTGGTACTACCAGAGACACTCTCGCGTTCTCCAATACCGTCTAAGGAACCTGAAACACCTAAGGTGCCTATCTCTGTACCTGACACCTCAACAGTCGTGGCACCGTTTCCAGCTCCTCAGCTGGAATCGTCGACGAGTAACATTCAGACACCCGTATTCTCGAGCGCCAGTCCGGTCGTTAGTCGCAATCCACCAAGGAACCGTCAGCCCACGCAAAAGTTGAACTTATTCGTTGGCTGTTAGTCATATCATTGACAGTGATAAGTGCTTGTGATTGAGATCTCTTGTAATTACAGTATTTGCAGTGAATGTTGAATTATCGTTTCTTTTAGTTCAGAAGACCAAAGACTGGTTAGCAATAATTAACAGAGATTTTGTGTAATTTGAATATTGAACTTGACATTTTGAAGAGGGAGGAGTGTGATATATGGTTCAATCCAGTACGAGTATTTGGTACGACCCTGAGCGTTATCTCTTCTGATGGAAGGTAATAAAAGCAGTTGGAAACATGGATGCCATTTCAGAGTTGATTGTTCAGTAAACCCAGTATTAAGAACCAGATATACAATCATCATTGACTCAGGATCAGGAGGGAAGAATATCAGTTAATGAGGTCAAGAAAATGAATAAAAAATAAGATTACTCAACCCTCACAAAGTCCTTACACTTCAATGCTTGTACTTGGGACTAAAAAATACGGTTCTGTACGTTTCTGTGTGCTTAAATGATGCAATACCGAAAGACGCATATCCACTGCCAAGCATCGATGAATCACTAGATGCATTTGGTGGTGTCTTTTTCCTTAAAAAGTGACTATTGGCTAGTCGAAATGGATTCGACCAATAAGGAGAAGACAACGTTTGTCCACACAAATAGCTTTTATGAGTACAATGTTATGCCATTTTGGTATAATCAATGGTTAATGGAATGTGTATAGGATAGGTTATATGCTTACTCTATCAGGACATTATTATTTTTTCTATTGATTTTGAGACTCCTATTCAGAGACCCGACGTCGTGCTGAACAAGCTACGCCAGGCCATGTTGAAAAGCATACTTAAATACTTAACGCAAGAGAGCTTACGGTACCATAGGAAGGAGGTTGTGATGAACCCCGTGAAAGGAAGAAGATCGAATGTGAAGAGTTTATGAGAAAGTGTAGGGGAAATGGATGGCAGGCTGGGCTCTTCCCAGTGGAGGTTGGCTGCAGAGGTCT